GAGCCGCAGAGTGGCACATGGCAATGAGTGAGCCCTAATGATTTAGGTGGTATCTGTTACACAGCCCCGGAGAAAGCCAATCTCTCTGGGCAATCTGGCCGCGGAGAAAAGGCAGAGGCTTGAAAATGAGCCGCCGCTCGTTTCAGAGAGGGGCAGCGCTGCCTCGCCAGCGCGGCACGTCATCGGAATTTTCCCGCACAACCAATAATCACACACAGATGACCGCGCCGCGCCGGGGCAGATGGGTCGTGCGTGCAGTTGTTTGGGGAACCTAGTGGAGGAAATGCGGCGGGTGATTGTTTGTTTGTTTGCTCCGCGCTCAAAAGGCTTCGGCACCTCGTTAAAAGGGGCCTCGCTTGGTTGTCGGCGGCGGGACAGGAGCCTCTTCCGAGGGATTAGGTGAGCGTTTTTTTTTTTTGCCTCAGCTGGACTGAAAACAGGCCCTTTGTGCAGCCGTTTAAGACACTTGTTGATGCGTGGCGCGGCTTTCAGTTGCCTTAAAATACTTGGGTAAACATCGGGCTTACGCGCAGCAACAATGGCATGACCTTAAGTAGTGCTTTCAAAAGCAATTTTCCTCCCCTACTAGCGCATGTAAACAGAGTAATTGTACTTGGGAGACTCCCAGTGCCAGCCGAGTGTGATTTGTTTCCACGTCATACACAATGAAATCAGCAGCACTGTGACAGCAGTGATATTTAGCATAAAAAATTGATAATAACACATTAACATTAACAACAGCAGGGGAGGGGTAATACATGACGTGAAATCAGTTTGATAGAAATCCCTTGAATTTACTTTTGCTGCCCCATTTGAGACATGTACATGAATAGATGACATGGCATTTAAAAGTACATGAATTAAACTGAATTAAGCAAATCAACAAGCTGGAGATTACAATCAAATGGCAATATCACAACTAAAGCGAGCAACTAAGTATTAGAAACACAAAATGTCTGAACAGTCGGAGACGGATGTGAACTAAATCTTCTGCTACGCCGACAGATTTTCTGTTACCAATCTAGAGTATTCCGCTTGAGCTGGCGCTCGTATACAAAGATCCTCTAAACACCTGAGTTTTCTGCTCAACTATGCAAACAGATGTTTCCGTTTGTGTGTTGCACAGCTAAATGTTTTGCATCTGTCGGTCGGATCCTCTGTTTACAGACCTCCGGCACAAAGCGCACATCATCTTTTTTGACAGGCGCTCGCTCAAAAACAAAAAAAAAACCCTGAGATGGTCCCATTTATTTACGGCGTGCGGTACATGCGTCCAGTACTTGGAGCTGCGTCGCACAACACAAATAATGTAAAAATGAAAACATATGCAAGAAGTCTGCTAATAAGAACAGGAAATGAACAAAATGAAAGTCATTAGCAGTGTTCTGTGGAAAGATGTTAATGTGCTGCAGCTATAAAAATATGTATTTCACAACACATGCGAAGAGGAAGAAAACCGGGGAACGGTATGAATGTTCCTTTTGTACTTCTTTGTTATACAAAACTTCATGTTGATTAAATGTACCTCGGTTTAGCTGCCCCTCCATCCACCTCATGTGTTTAATACAATGTAATAGATATGATAAAACAATCTTGATGAATTCCACAGGAGTCAAGCGATGACATTGCAGTTCCTGCCGCTGTTCTAAGTTAGAATCACTGGCTTAGCTGACGTTCCATTGTCCCTCCATTAGGGTTGGATTTGGCTTCTGAGTACACAGGCTGTCTATTCGAATAGTACTTTTCGTCGTCTCGTCACCACGTGGTTTGTGGACTTCTGCTTTCGAACCTCCAGCTCGACAGCTTCGCCGTTGCCATGTTGGATGACGGCTGTTGCCACGTCGGTTCCGTTGTAGCCAACGAACATGGATGATCAAATCTGGAACGCTGAGGAGCGACGAAGAGACGGCGGACATGGCTCGGCGGACCCCGCCCGTCACAGTAGCCCCGCCCTAAAGAAGACCCCGCTTCAGCCTCCATTTGACCCTCATACCCATAATTTACTAAATGATCATCGTGCCGTCTTGAAGAAGAATTGAAGGCCGTAAACTCACGTTCACAGTATTTACTGAGGGAATAAATCAAGAGAGAAGAGTAATTTTCTCATCGATGGAATAATGCACAAGAGAAACGTGATTATGACAATGATTTGGATGAGACAGCAACAGATCTTATTTTTGCTGCAGCCTAAATTAAAGACATGTAGCACCGCAAAGACATAATTCAGTAAACAAGGATATGTTAGTTTTTGAATTGCCCTTTGTAGAATCTGCTAGTTTTAAGTGTTGGTTTGATGCACTTCCACAGTTTGATATTTGGTGAAAACAAATGTCACTTGAATGAATGCATAAGCACACCATTCTAGTCTTTATCGTCTAATCGTTTGATGAACGTTAGCGTGCTATTGCTCCATGGATTTATTCAATTAGCCAACTAGCCCGTGCTGCTGCATCGTGACTGATGAAAGGGAATGAAACCAGCGTTCCTTGGGGCTCGACCCCGCTTGCATCGCCGATATTCTCGGTTGGGTGGGCTCTCACTTCAATTATGACGCTTGTTTCCTTGACTGGCGTCAAAGAATGAACGGGGGGGGGGGGACGAGTTGTTTTCCAGGCCCAAAACCTCGGGCCTGCCAAAGGTTAAGGAAACACGGCGGGTTTAAAGAACACAGCCCCCGTGTGTTTGCCCTCAAACCGGACGTTCAAGTTTTACACCAATGCAACACTGCGCTTTGTTGGATGATGCTTTTAAACGAATGAATAAACCGAAGGTTAAGGAAACACGCGGGCGTAAAGGAGGAGCACCGGCTCCGCGGGTCCAGACCCTGTTCAGGCCGTCCTCAGCTCGCGGATCTCTGAGGAATCAGCGCGCCATTATTGCTAATGACAGCCTTGAACTCGCCGGAATGGGAGGGATGAAAGGCAGAGGGTAGTGTGAGTGCACGCGGGGGGAGGAGTGGGGGAGACGGGGGGGAGGAGGGGGGGGGGGCACGGCCACGCGAAGGCAAAGCTTAACCTGACATTCCTGTGTAATTAAGACATCTCTCACATGGCACGTTTCTCTTGCCCCCCGGGGACCCTTTGGTTCAGGGGGTGGGGGGGGGGGGGGGTCGAAGCAGCCGAGGGCGGCCCGTCCACATCTGCCATCGCTGAGCTGGTGCGGCGCGGCCGTGGAGACGGTGAGCCCGTAACACTCAGCAGGCATTGTTTTCCAGACACTGACATTTAAATTGTGATCCCACTTGCCCTTTAGGAGGGACCAACAACTGACAAAGAACCGAGGACGAGGCGTTCAGGGACCAGACATTTGATAAGTACGGTAGTTTGTAGTGTCACTTTTTACAGAGATGTGTTTTCTTCATTTTTTCCAGTAACAATGTTATTATTCGATTTAAACACATTCTAATTCAGTACAATTCAAATCAACTGCAATGATGCAATTTCTTTGAAGGAAATTCTGAAATTGGACCAATGTGTTTGTATTGAAAAGATATATTTATATTCAAATACATTTGGCATATTCTATAAAATAAAGGGGGTGGATCTGTGCTAAAAGAAATATCTTATTTACAAGAGAAAACTGGAGTCATCAAAAATCTTGAAGTGGTAAACAAATGATCCTACACAAATTTGAGATAAATTCAATACAAAAATGTTAAGCAAGATAATAGTCATACATGTGCATGATTTATTTTCTAGCTTCATTCTGCAAGGTTTGATTCCAATAGACTTGTTTGATGCCTCCAGTGGACGATCTTTACTGAGTGCATATTATGTTACAGAAAAAAAGGTAAATAAGGGTTTATTTATGTAGAAATTGGCCACTTTAATTAAAAAAATTATCCAGGTTTTTTTTTATTAACAACTTTTATCTGTTGTATTAGCTGAATTAATTTGTGTTCTATAACGGTCCCGATACGTATGATTTATCTTCCTGCCAGTTGACCACTGTAAACCGGCTCAGAGGACAGATGGTGCGGTTGTTTCACTTCTTGTTCTTGTGTTAACAATTATCACACAATAACATCTCACTTTGATGCTAACCAGGGTGGAAGCGGGGTCACGACCTCTTAAACGCCCGCACGCCCGCATCTCTCTCACACTCATGGATGCACCAGAGGTGAAAGGACACGTGCACGCGGGCAACGTGCACGCTCCACACTCCACACTTCCCTCCACAATTTAATCACACCGCCAATTTAAAATGTGCTGAAACTCGTTGATGTTCACCAACCTGAGCCCGTTTCTGTCATTGTTATAGGAAGCTAATAGACGAAGCATGACGATGATTTGAAAACATGCATTCGTTGCTTCAAATATTACTGGACTCCATCTAGTGGTGTAGACTTGCCGCTGCTTTTCTATGCATTGATATATATTTAATATTGATATAATTATATATTATAATTAATATATTAATATATATATTATATTTAAAATATACTATCTATAGAATCTAGTGGAGTAAACTTGCCAGTGTTTCAAAATATATATATTGAAAAGAATGAATTATGTGTCCTCGAGTAAAAATGGTCTGACTACTTGGAGCCCTTCTATCGTTGATGGCGTTGACGCAGCGCGCGCGCGCGTCTTTGCGCCAGTGAACACACCACGCAGAGCGCGCGCGCGTCTTTGCGCCGCGGCGCAGCGGCCGTGAACACACCACGCAGAGCGCGCGCGCGTCTTTGCGCCGCGGCGCAGCGGCCGTGAACACACCACGCAGAGCGCGCGCGCGCGTCTTTTCCACAGTTACTGTATTGCAAAAGTAAACAAGGCGGAGAGTCAAATCATCCAACAACAATATGCGCGCTCCTCCATATTTGACCAATTCTTCCATGTCAGTAAAAAAAAAAAAAGAAAAGACGTTGAGCCGCGAGCTCGACCAGAATCAGTCTACATACAGAAAAATATAGATTCGGGTCAGAAAGGACAGTAAATACTTACTAGTACTCCTTAGTAGTAGTACTGCGAGTAACAGCGAGGGAAGACGACGGGTCGCTGCCGTGGAACAGGGGAAGCTTCTTTTAATAGGTCGGACATAGAAAAATAAACCACAACAAAGCAGCACACGTGTATTGTACAAAACGAAAGCGTGAAGAGTCCCAGTGACACGCGGGGACGCGGACGCACGAGACACGAAACAAACGGGCCGATGGACGCGTGAACGCAGCTGCTCAAAAGTATAATATTCACAATGACGATACAAGTTGCAAATGTTTGGCGTGATAACATCATGACATTGGGTGAGCAAAGAATGGAGATAGAAATTTAAATAAAAATTGACGATGTAGATTTTAGCGTGTAAAATGTTCCCAAAAGACACGCACATCCCAAAGAAACCGAAAAGGGGTCAATTCACAAGTCGATGATATATTCAAAAACCGAACAAAGAAACTCTTTAAGAATTGTACAAGTATAAAAAGCTACAAACATTAATAAATTACATCACTGACACATAAACACGTCACAAGGTGCTAGTAAAATAATTCCGAAAACCCTTCAGGATACTAGAACTCCAACAAGAGGCTGGTGTGTGTTTTTTTTCTTTCTTTTTATATCATTTTCCTCCTCAAGGTTCCGTCTCTTGTTCAAACAGAATCACAATACAATTAGCTTTGTGTGTGTAAGGCCATAGGACAATAACATGTATTATTTCTTCAGTTGTTTTCCAGGCAACACCTTTTAAATCCAACAGGGAAAAGAAAGAAAAAAATTGAATCTCTGCTGTTAGAAAAAAAAAAATCCGGGCTTTACTGTTTATCCATGTATATATATATATTTGTATTATATATTCATAATTAGCAAAACTGGTAAAAATGTAAAATCAAGCCTTATGGGGAAAGGATACAAAAAGTAGTAATTTAAAAGTCTTTGTACAAGCTACATTCTACATGGTGAATGGGTGGAGATGAGTGGAGCCCGTCGGTGCTGCCTGTGAAAACAAAGGAAGAGAGAAAGTATCCCCGTGTAAGTGCAGGCCTGACGTGGACGAGTCTTATCATCAGCCACAGGTCCCACGTGTAGCGTCCCCCATCGCACAGCGTCCTACGTCTGCTGCTCGCCGTTCGGCCTTGTGCTTCACAGTCCTTCCTCGGCGCCGTTGAATAAATACCGCCGCTGATAGTGCTCTGCAAACCCAAGTGTTAACGCCCAGAGACACAAGCCCAGGTGCCCGGCGACGCGCGCACACACTTGAATGGAGGTTGTTTAGTTTTTTTTTTATTCCCACGTGAACTCTGCTGATCTTCCGGGTCGGCGATGATAAGCTGCGTCCGTTCGGTGGGAGATAATGTGGAGAATCCCCCGAACGCGGCCGAGGGGAGCATGCGACTGAATACATGCAAGGGATACTTTCAAAAAATCTTGGAATGACTGCCATGTACTTCTACTTCATGTTTTAGCGACCCCTGAAAAACTGACAGCTGTAGTAAAATGAGACATGTTCTCTTAAAAAATATTTATAGTAGGCTCTGTACACTTTAATATCTGAAAGTTATAAAGTATAAGTAGAGGCAAAAAACCTATTCGAGGGATGTTCTTCTTAGAAATTGAAAACTGCGTGATTCTCTTGATGTGTTTGTTTCCTTCCCCCCTTTGCTCGGCTTTAATCGACGGGACGCTCAGGAATTCCCAGTCCGACAGCTACAGGAGGAGCTTTCCGTTCCGGTGGATCTTTAAAATCTTTCCAAGTCTCTGTTTGGCCGTGGCCATGCCTTTCTTTAGCCGCTTAGCTGCAGACAACGAGAACACAGTGTCAGTGCTTTGAATGGTAAAATCCTTATGAAGTAAATTAACACATTACACAGACGTGTGCTCAAACCCCCCAAACACTAAATGATGTTCCCAATTAATCTGCATTCTCCATTAGGTTTTAAAGCAAAGATATTTGCACAAATGAGAATTCAAAGCAAAGCAGCACACAGTAAAAGGCTGTGGTTTGGGTTGTTACAGCTGTAACAGGTGTAATAAGTGTAACAGGTAATAGGTGTAATAGGTGTAATGGGTGTAAAAGGTAATAGGTGTAATGGGTGTAATAGGTAATGGGTGTAAAAGGTAATAGGTGTAATAGGTAATAGGTGTAATAGGTGTAATAGGTGTAATGGGTGTAATAGGTGTAATGGGTGTAATAGGTAACAGGTGTAATAGGTGCAATGGGTGTAATGGGTGTAATAGGTGTAACGGGTGTACCAGGTGTAATAGGTGTAATGGGTGTAATAGGTGTAATGGGTGTAATGGGTGTAATGTAATGGGTGTAATGGGTGTAATAGGTGTAATGGGTGTAATGTAATGGGTGTAATGGGTGTAATAGGTGTAATAGGTGTAATGGGTGTAATGGGTGTAATAAGTGCAATAGGTGTAATAGGTGTAATGGGTGTAATGTAATGGGTGTAACGTAATGGGTGTAATAGGTGTAATAGGTGTAACAGGTGTAATAGGTGTAATGGGTGCAATAGGTGTAACGGGTGTACCAGGTGTAATAGGTGTAATAGGTGTAATAGGTAATAAGTGTAATAGGTGTAACAGGTGTAATAGGTGTAACGGGTGTACAAGGGTGTAATAGGTGTAACAGGTGTAATAGGTAATAGGTGTAACAGGTGTAATGGGTGTAATAGGTGTAACATGTGTAACAGGTGTAATAGGTGTACCACGTGTAATAGGTGTAATACTAAAAGGATTCAGTGTATTGTGTTTATTATCATATATTAAACATAACATAACTGATGCTGAGGAAAAAGTCACCAGTTTAGCAGGTATTTCGTCCCAAACCACATCCGTCACGGGCCTCGTTAGCGTTGCCATCGCAGAGCAGACTCACCTTTGGCGTCCGCCGACGCCGCTCGCTCGCCCTTCGCCGCGCCGCCACCGTTGTTGTTGTTGGTGCTCGTCGTGTTGGTGCTGTTGTTCGGAGAGGATATGGACGGCCGCCTCTGGCTGAGAAAAACCCCGGGCGCCATGGGCCGCGGCCCGCCCGGCGACTTGGCCGCTCCAGTGTTGAACTCGTGGTCCGTCAGGCTGCCGTCTCGGGAGTCGGCGTTGTGCTCCGGCGAGCTGCTGTCCTGAGAGGGCTCCTCAACCACCATTGGCTTCTTTTTGGTGCTTTTCTTCTTCTTCTTGGTTTTCTGCTGCTCCTCCTGAAGGACACAGACTTCATCGGTTGGCCGGCGCTCACAGGTGTGCCGACGGGAACTGAGTCTGTCACCACTTACCTGGTGGGAGAGCTTTGCTGCTGCTGCGGCCAGACCCGTTTCTATGGAGGCCACTCGCGCCCCGTCTCTCGCCGGCCGCTCCTGTCGGGGAACCGAGGGTCCAACGCGCGCTGCGGCGACATCCATGTGAAGCTTGAGAACACATTAACTCCCGAGTGTCAAACTTAGGTGGAAAATGCCGGTATTTACCTGTCGGGCTGTAGGGGGTGTCGTCATTGCTTTTCCGTTTTTTTGACCTGGATTTGAAAACGGGATTGTCCTCTTCGGACTCCAGCGAGGGGTAGACTAAGGAATCAAAGACACGGAACCGATTGAGAGGACGCGTATGGATGTCTGGCCAATTATTGCCAGATATGAAAAGCACAGAAAGTGACTCAGGCGCACTTATTTCTGCTTTCCGCTCGTCTAAAAGGTTCCAGCGACAGCGTTCGCTACAGCTGTGAGACAGCTGTGGACCCCCCCCCTCCACACAGCCCGAACTCCATCCACGGTTTATTATCAGATGATTGGATGATCAAGAAGAAAAGAGTGTGTGAGAAAAGCCTCACGCCGACACGAGATCTCTGCCTGGGAATGTTCAACGAAACAACTAATTAGACACCAATTAGAAGTTCAAAAAGCGTGTAAAATCGGCCTTAATGGCTCATTAACAAGCGCGCAGGACCCATTCCGCTGTTTGGACGGGGCTCACCAAACATTTCAAAGCGCCGGGGGGGGCCTGGGGGGTGGGGGGGGGTATCACAAAGGGGCGGATTTGAACGAGTAGGCTAGAAAGAATGCTAGAAAAACCCAAACCCTACAACCCTCAAATCTGAGACTACAGGCCGTCGTGTTGACCCGTCGAGGTCGCTCTGCATCTCCTCCGATGCTGCCGAATCAGAATCAAGAGGGACGACTGGTCTGCTGCCGCTCACCGTAGTCGGAGTCCTTGAAGCACGCGTCCATGTGGTCCTGGTCGTCGTCGTAGTCCAGGCTCTCGATGCTGCTGCTCTTCCGGGGCTTCTTGGGCTGCCGCTTGGCGGGCCGCTTGCTGTTGCCGGCGGCCTTCTTGCCGGCCGGCGCGCCGTGCGGGCCGCCCTTCGGCTGGCTGCTGCTCCACGGCGGCTGCAAGCTGTCTGAAGACGACAGGTTGGCCATGGACAGCATGCCCTGAATGGCCTCCTGTGTGCTGGGAGATGCAGGTGGCTGACTGTAAGTACGTCAATAAAGAATACACAACAACACAGCCATTACACAGCGGTCGGCACGCCGGGAGGAGGTGTTAAGAGTGAGAAGAGGACTTTGAAGGCGCCAGTTTGTGGCGCAAAACTGACCCGATTAGAGTATCGTCTACTGAGAGCTACTTTAAAAGGCAGTGAAGGAAATATCTGCGCAAACGTGCAAAGCTATCAGCAAAGTGACTGTCAAACACCGGTGCGAGGACTCCACGCGCTCCCCCTGCAAAGCCCCCTCAGCTGTTTGAGGAATAAACTGATTTCAGCCCACGTTTCTGTCTTTCCCTTTACAGCTCGTTTGTAGCTTTCAGCGTGGTGGAAGTAGACCATCAATAGCCGAACGCAGCGGCGCGCAGCAGGCGGAGGGAAGAGCCTGGAGCGACAAACGCCTCTGATAGATTACAGCGTAACGAAACCGCCACTGCCGATAGAACCTGCGCAGATTGTTTCTTCCGTTGGAAGTTGATTTTGCAGCTCAAAGCAAAGCTTTTTCATCCAATCGTACTCGTCGTTGAGCGCAGCGTTTGTTTGCCACTGTGGACTCTAAGCGTAATTTGGCGAGAGGGGAAGGGAGGTTCCTGCGTGTGCTGGGATCGGTAACAGGCGGAGGTCCGTCTACCTGTTGGCGCTGTAGTCGATCCCTCCCACTTGCTTGCTCGCCTGCAGCAGGTCGAGGATCCCGGCGGCGCTGCCGCCCTTTTTCTTGACCTTGGCGTTGCGAGTCTTGGCCTCGGGCTTGGCCTCCGTGTCGATGTGCAGAGTCTCTTCGTCCGAGGAGTCCGCGCTCGGCTTTTTTCGGGACAGGGGACAACAGAGTGGACATGAGACACGCAGACATTTGCAGCCAACGCTCCCGGTTTGATCGGATCTCCGTTTAGCGGATCTTCTCCTCCGATCTATCGATGTGTTATGCGCGTGGACTTCAGTTTTGAAGTGTAGGTTTTGACACAAGAGGGGAGAGCTTAGCGAAGGCTGAATGAGACCGTTTTAGGAAATCAAAACGGGACAATTTCATGACCTGAAAACACTGAAAACGTTGAAGCCTCCACGAATATGACCAGCCTCGGAGGAGGCCCGTCCATCACGAGGCCGCCGCGCTGTGATCGTCTCTATCAGGACAGTTTAAATGGCTTATCCTCTATCATCTATGTGCAGGGAGGTTGTCACTGGGTCGTCCTCCAGTTTGTCTCTGTTTAATCACCTTTAAACAACCAGTAAATGGACTTTACCACTGAAGCACCTCGACGCCACGTGTCACCGATTCACACTGATGACAAGACACCACCTGCCCACCGGGACCCTCACAGCGCCGGGGGCATTTTGGGTTGTTGGCGAGTGTCTCGTGGTACGAACCTTGGTCACCGACGGCTGGAGCTTTGGTTTCTTGGCTGGCTGGATGGGTTCTTTGATGTCTGACAGAACTGGAAGAAAATCACATTCACCATCGAGCGAGAAGCTGAAACTTCAAATCGAAATGAGATCTGTTCATTAAGTAGAATGAAATGCCAACAAAAGCAAATGTATGTGAAGTGAAGTAAATGTGCGAAGCTGATCGGGGAATTCTGTCACTATTTCTAACACTACAAAGCTCTGGTTGCTCATTTATTCACCCAACCAGGCAAATGAACTCCAATTATTCAACACATTTTAAGCATTTTTACACACCCGAATGTACATAAATGCTTGATGCGTACTAAAAAATAAAAGAATACGTCAAATATTCACTTGACATAAATCAAAACAGGAAATATCAGATCAAAAGAATGAATGATCTGTTAAATAACTGAATACCGACTCACGTTTCAGGCGCCAACACAGAAAAGCGTTTGACACTCACAGGACAGATCTCTCTTGACGGCGTTCTTTTTCCGCCTGATGGGGAACTCGTCAATCTTCAGCTCCCCCTCGTCGGAGACGTACTCGTACTCGTCTCTCACCGGCTTGGATTTGTCCTCTTTTAGGTTTTGTAATGATCCAAAAACACTCGAGTTGCTCTGAGGTTTCAGCGACTTGGAGCTGAAAAAAAAAAGGGAGAAACCGCGGACAATGAAACCCGGGCCGGCCCGCTGAATCGGCACTAATGGCGGCGGTGCTGACGGGCCTGTAATCGCTCTCCTCTGCAGAGAGCTTCGGTCGCAGCCGCTCCACACGTACCCGAGTGTTTTCTTGTGCGACATGGTGAAGCTGAATCGCTCTTTGTTGCCCGACAGCAGCGTTCTGTCGAATTTGCCCTCCTCCTCCATCTTCAGCAGGGAGTCGGGTTTACTGTTCTGTTAAAGGGGAAATCAACACAAACCCTTTTTTATGAGCCGTTCATTCAGATTTAGTTCTATTTGTAGCTTGATTAAGCCGTTTATTTTACCACTTCTCCTAAAATCTACCAAACATTACCGTTGAATAATTCCTCATTTCAATATCTGAGCTGTAATGTCGTCTTAATAATCAACTTGGAAGGTTTCATGGTGATATTGATTCATTTTTCGCCAAAAAAGTGTCTCCCTTGAACTAAAATAATAAATTGAACTTCTCAAGTGCACAAACTAAGGTCATGTTAACGCCTAAATAACTAACAATAACAAACAAAAAAAAGCTGTACAACCAGTAACTTTCTAAACAGCTGCTGGTGAAACACAGCGTATGAAAAGCCATTTGATTGGAATGAAACATTTCTGTCAAACAAAGAAAACCTCAAAGCACGATATTCTTTTCTGCCACGTCTGACAGCGAGGAATGCAACGCCGCTGTGTGATTAACTGAAACCAAAGACTTTCATTTTCAAATAACGACTCCAAAGCCGACAGGTCATTTCATGCTGAGCGTTCTGTGCGGCCGGCGGCGACACGGGCCTTGGACGCCTTGAACGCACGCTGCAGAGGAGCTGTGAACCTTTAACGTAATTCAACGGGGGTCCCGGGCCCCACACCTGGGGGACCCTCCAACAGGGGCCTCCAGCTCCACCTGTGAGTGCCTGAGGTGAAGGAGCAGTTGGCTGGACGCAGCGACTGCAAGCGCTGGAAAAGCCGCCCGGCGTTGAGTTTTCCACGAAATCCCTGCAAACGTTTCCCGTTTTACAAAAATCACACTTCCCACGAAAAGGCCTCTCCTCTTGGTTGGGCCGATGCAACAAGCCTCCATGTGGGCATGTGTAAATACTTAGGAGGGAAGGCAGAGGATATGGACGTGGCCTAATTCCATTAGGTAAACTCTGGGCCTGTGGATTCTTCTGGTGCAGCTCTTGATGAGCTGCAGGCCTCAAATGTGCGACTCGAGGGACGCATCATTATTTTTGCTGATTGCTTTGAAGTGAAGTGTGCAAATCACTTTTGGATGTTTCACCCTTTTTTTGGGGGGGGGTGTTCCTTCTGCCGAACCGCTCGGCTGGCAACCTTCACCGCCGCTTGAGTCTCCCATACCGAAAAGGTTTATTTGAACACGTGAAGGACTGCGATATTATTTATCTTAGCCTGTGACCAGCAGCCGGTCTCACCTTATACTTCCATTTGGCTTCAGTCTTGTTTTTATTCTGCTCTCTGATGTCAAACTTCTCCACGTTGTTGTGCTTCGACATCTCCCTCTCCGATACGCTCAGGACGTTCTTAACAGCCTGAGGAAAGACACAGAAAGACGCAGAAAGTTCACAGGACACAATCGTTCCACAACATCATTTTCCACTGACGCTGCCTTCCGCTCGCCTTCGTCTTCTTCGGCTGGTCCATTTTACTCAGGATGTCTTTCGCGTGGGACTCGAGTGCTGCGAAGCTGGAGGGTTTCGGAGGCGGCGACGGCTCTTTTGCTTTCTTTGCTTTCTTCTTGCCCCCTTCCTTGACCTTGGGCACCTTAGGGGGCTTCGGGGCCTTGGACATCTTCGGGGGTTTGGGGGCCCTGGGGGGTTTGGAGGCTTTCTTCCTGGCCTTCTCTCGGCCGGGCGAGGGCACGTGGGCCGGGGAGACGGGCTCCTCGGGCTCGGAGTGGGTGGACGGCGGCTCCTCCGCGGGGGCCTTGGCGCCGGGCTCACTCTTCACCGCTTTCGTTGCGTTCTAAAAATACGGCCGAGGGATCGTGAGTTTTAGTTTTTGTTATAAAATAAAACCTTCATCAAATGAAATATGATTATTCTGATTATACAAATTACTTATTTTATACCTAAACTCCTGCATGGACCAATATTAAGAAATGTCTTTTAGTTTTCCCGTTTCACCAGAATCACCGTGACTGACCACAGCGGACGGATGCCGGTATCGCAGCTGCGGCACTAATCACAGTATTTGTGGAAAGATTTCAACGGCTGTCTCCTCCCGACACGCCGGTTCCACCACATTGTTAAAAGCCACCAGGGGCCTTCGGGGAGCATACCTCTGACAGCCTGATCTCCTTGGCGAGATCCTTGATGAGCTGTGATGGTTTCATGTTCTCCGGAAGCTCGTCTTCATGTTCCAGGAGGGCCTGTCACCAGGAACACAAACACAACTGTCATTGCTTGTCACGGCGGCTTCGACGGACGACCGACACACAAAACACATCTCCACGTGTCCGGACCTGTTTTTTGGTCCAAGCTCTGAAGGCGCCGTTGATGATCTTGGCCCCGTGCACCAGGTACGGGGCAGGCTGCTTATTTGCTTTGTGCAGACCTGCAGAAGAAGAAACTCAATGTTACGGTTGGGTGAATCCTGACTTTTGAACTTCAACGGGGAAAAGACCGGTAAGATATGAACATGAACATCAAGAGATTTACTCAAAATGGCACGAGGCGTCATGTGAAGGTGCTGGATTCTATCAACTGGATGAACGTGAATAGACAAACTGTCCCCCGAGCAGAGGGAGAGACGGAACTTAACACCCAAACAGATGAAATACATGTAAAAGTTCTTCACAATCCAGCTCGCTCCCGCTCTGGATCGCTGAGCATCAGAGGCAAGAAACAAAAACGTATTTAAAGGAATAGAAAGTGTAACAGCCAATATACTATTACTGTAAAGTGTGCACCACGTGTTTTATCTCATCATTTTCTGTAAGTTCCAGACAACAAAATGCCAATGTCCGTTTTTTCTTGTTCGATGTGATTTATTGCAAGAACCGATTTCTACTTTCTAGCGTGTATCAGTTTCTGCACCTGCACCCATGATACCGAGCTTGTTAGCTTAGCACGTTGCACGGACTCTTTTTGTGGCACGCACATTACAAACAAGCCTGTTTTTTTTGCGATCCACATGAGCATCTGTATAAAAATGGAAGATAGTATAAATGATTTATGCCCCTTTCATATCGCGCTGGCTACGGCTTCCTTCAATAGGCCCCGTTTATTAATTATTTCAGCGACCAAAGATACCAAAATCTAGCAAAAAACGCTTAATTTTGAGTAGAGAATGGTTGATGTTGCACTGCACCACTGCTTCCATGACAAGCTGAACCTTAGCCGTCCTAAAGTCCCGTCATGACGATGTCATCACGTTACATCCCGTTTGGTCACCGGTCAAATTATGCAAATCGCTTTTGCAGCGAACTGGTTTCAGCCTGTTGGGTGACAAACTTCTATTCTATTAAATGGTATTTATGTGATTCAATTTGTGATTTGTTAGGAACAAACATCCCTTCATCTGGATTAAATGACGTAGTCGGACTTCGTTTGCTGAGCTCGTTCCAGAGAGGATTCCAGAACACAACGCAACCGAAAACAGGAAATCCTTCATAACATCAAGGAGTCTTTTCTTTTATTGCGCTGAAAGAACTGACCTCGAAGTTAAAAGGCAATAGCGTTATTTTGTCGTTTAGCAATCTGGCTTTAACACACTCACACTCTCACACACACACACGCACAACACAGAAAAGAGTGGAAACATAAACAGCTCGGGCCGAGCCAGCTGAGGGTGGTTTAAGCTCAGGCTCGTAATGGAGCAATTGATTCTAGCTGGGCCAAACCGTTTGAAGCTAATCATCTGTGAACTCTGTGATTTCACCGATTAAATGACTGAAAAAATACGAAGAGCATCCAGCTCCTCATCTGTGCAGCAGACCGGCGGCCGTGCCGCTGACACGCTTTGGGCCTCCTCCGCTCTCGCTCGCTGCGCAGCGAGGACTTCCGCTTTACATTGAGACGCCGCAAGATCACGGCAAAGAAAGTGAGTTCAGAAGCGTCGCTATGAATACGCCCGGCGGACTGAGGGGTTTACCTTTGAATCGCTCGAGGTAGTGTCGTCCCACGTACCAGCACGCCGTCTCAAAGTTGGAGAAGGGGTTGAGAGTTCTGACCTTTAGCCGCCTCTCGATTTCATACGCTCTGAGGAGGAATGAAGCGGGACGTTTGGACTAAACATCCACGTGCATCACCGGCAGGTTTACTGCAACAAGCTATGCAGCTCACGAGGTATTTTCCAAAAGGGAGAGGGTTCGTAAACACATGAAAACAAAGTTCTAAACAGAGCAGCCAGTGGAAACTACTGTGTGAGATCAGCGGGGGACAAATACTTCAGGGCGTGCGAGGCTGTAAGACAGGTGGTCCAAACCTCATCTGCATCTCCACACTCAGGTTGTGGACAAAGTGTCCGGAGAACGCCAGGCAGTCGACGGGAGTCAGTATTGCGTTGATCCAACCTGAGGAGAAGATTAAGAAATAATTGAAGAATTAAGAAAATAAATGACGATTTTACACACTTACACTTTTGAAAATATCTTTTTTTTTTCTCGAGAGCCGAACTTGGCCTTGTTGTTGCACCACATGGGGACGAATGGTAATTAATCTAACAGTTTAATTAATCTAGAAAAATAAAATGTTCCATTTCCATTAGTTAAGTATTGAAAAAGACAAGTAATTTCATTTATTTAATCTGATTTCTCTCAAATATTGTCATTTTAAAGTAAACAAATCCCCTTTTTGAACGATCTGTACTGTGTTTGATTCCCTGTCAAAAGTGGACTCCTTCAAATAATCGAGCAACAGCTTACGGCCGGACTTTTTGGGATCGCCGCTACAATTTCCAACCTTCCCCGACGCTGCAGTGACGGAGCAGCACCACCTACTGCCCACTGCGGGTGTTTCTCGGCACGGCGCTCTGACCTGACGGGATGAACAGCGTCTGGCCTTGCTTCAGGGTGCACTTGTAGCACTTGTCCACCTGGTCGGCGAAGAACATCTCGCTGTGATTGGACGAAGACCTCCAGCGCTCGTAGAGCGACAGGTTGGCGGAGGTCGGCTTGATGAGGAAGAAGATCTTTTCCCCCTGCGAACACAGACGCCGTCACGTTTTCTGGCCCCATCATCTCAACCTTCATCGTCAGCATCATTGTATGAGGTATGGAGTTGAATTAATTAGTAAACTCAGTAAAAAAAAAAATGTTTACTTAAAAATAAATGTTATTGTTCATTCTTTTACCGTAATTGTTAAACTTGTTGATGTCGGATACAGGGACAAAAATGAATTTAAAGGCATTCTGATTGGATAAAAACAGTCTCCTTTTTGTAATATTAAAAATATTATAAAATTATAAAATAAGTTATAAATAAATTATAAAATAATTATTAAAAATATTTTTATTATATATATATATAAAATATTAATGTCATGCATATAGTGGTGAGTTCTTTACGCTGGGACATTTTTTGAAAATCAAATTTAAAAATAAATCGCTTTGCGTGCAGTATCGCGTTATGTTGAATCGTAACCCCAGTATCGCAATACGCCACATTCTTCTCAACACACACACATACACACACAGGTGTTTCTGACCGACCTTCAGGACGTGGTACCAGACGGAGGCGCCGCCGCACTCGATGTGGAAGTCGGTGTAGCTGTCTTTGACACAGATGAGACAGTATTTGGTGACTTTGGGCTTTCCGAGGAGCGCGTCGTTGGGCCAGTAGTTTTCCGCCCAAGACAACCGCCGCACGATCTGCGGACTCTCCACTATGGAATTCATCCTGTCCAGGAAGAGCAGCAGAAAAGTAAATCGGTGCCGCTGGTTTTCCAGACGATCCCGCGACAAAACGGTCTCCCCGCCGAGGCGCCTACCTCGTGTCGGAGAACTCCAGGTTGATGACGTTTAACACCTTCTTCCTGTTTGTGCTGTAGTAATAGTCGACAAACTCCTTGAGCTTCATCTTGCAGTCCGTCTGCTTGGTGACGTCAACGACGTCCACGCCGACGTCGGGGCCTGAGACAACGACAGGAGGGACACGGAGGACACGGTGAACCCCTCGAGGACCTACAAACTAAAAGCTTTCTGTAAACCGCAAACCGGTGAACGAAATATATGTGTGGTGTTGATGTGTAACAAGTGACCTCATCACTGAGCCTCAGTGCACGGGAGGGAACTACAGGAGCGATGCGCCCCCTGCTGGCAAGCCAATTGTATTGTCTGTTCTTCGTCTCACACACACAAAAAAAGTATTAATTAAAAAATGAAAGATTAAAAGACATTCTTTCAACTTTTGCTCTAGCACCAGTAGTGTATTCCCAGCATTAATGGTTATAAGGGAAGCAGCTGTAAAATAAACCAGTAAAATTGATAACCCATGAATACTGCGTGTAATACAGCAGATTGTAGTAGATGTAGAGCAGAACTTCTTAGTATTTGTAGTAGTCGTGCAGCAGCAGTGGTCACAGTATCATCGTCGCATTTTCCCGTTTCCAACGCTCCTGAACGCATCATGTGTGTCAAATGCTTGATTATGCGCTTAAATTATTGATCAATCATGTGTCTCATTTGAAATGTAAAAAATACTGTTTGCGAGAATCACATCCTGTTAAAAACATTTTGAGCTGAGAGGACAACAGAGTCAATAAGTACAGGATGCAAATGGAAAATAGTTCAGGTGAAATAAAAAACACTATCAGCGGCGGTATCCATGCAGTGGACAGGTGCGTCCTTACCGACGTAGTTCTCCACGTCGCTGATGTAGAAGGTGGGGGCGGGCATGGACATGCCCAGGCCGTCCTTCTTCTGGACCAGGATGGGCTCGTTGAAGCCCCCCTCCTCCAGGTAGTCCACGGTCAGCTGACCGCCGCTCAGCTTCACCACCACGTCGTCAGCGCTGGAGGCCGCACGCAGGGAGGGACAAATGCCGTCAGGTTGTGTGATGTCAACGTGCCAGGCTACCGACGGCTAACAGGCAGCGCCCCCTAGTGGGAATACCACATGGACGTGCGGCGCTGACAGTTGTCCTCGGGGGGGGGGGGTCCTGAGATGGGTTTACCTGGGGAAGGTCCTGCTGCGCAGCTCCTTTATGAACACCTGACTGCCGTTCAGGACGGCTTTGATGTCGGTGCTCTGCCCCGTGTCGTGTTTGCTCCAGTTCTTTTTCTTTTTCACTGAGCAGCAGAAAACAAAAACATCAAGTCTCTCAAACTCACACAGATGAAAAGTTCGGGTCACGTCACGTGACAGGAAGTTGCGGAGACTTTGACTCACGTGTGGATTTGCCTTGGGTCTTCTGCGAGTTGGACACAGTATAATATATAATTTTCGGGGGTGTTTTTTTCTCCCCCTTTTTGGCAGGGAAAACAGAGAGAAAGCCGCTCTTTATATTTAGAAAAATGTGCCCTCAGGGGCCCCGGGGGGGGGGGGGGGGGGGGGGGCTTGGCCTCTCATCACTTCAGGATCACTTCCTGCATTTGTTTGAAATGGGCGTAAGAATTTTCAAGTTATTGACCTTTGACCTAAAACGTCTGAATTACTTGATCCTTAAATGAAAGTGGATGTTAGCGCAAAATATGAAGAGGCTCCTTCAAATTTAAGCCTCGAGAAGCGGCGAGGTTGCTCCGCACTTGACCTTTGACCTCTAAAATCAGCCCAGGTGGGGTTTTGTGCCGGCTTTTTATTGAGATATCACTCTAAGGCTGCAGACAGACGATTCGTAACGGATGTTGCGGATAATGTGAGGAGGGATAATTCCAAACCAAACGTGGCATAAAGATCAGTTCAGTCTCACCGCTTTTGTTTCAGTGATCCCCGCTGTGAACAACCACTGTTTTATGCTCAATTCATCTCGTGAAACGACTCATTGTTTCAGCTCTATTTGAATGTGCATAAGTAGCCAGTCAGAACGTTCCAAAACATCTAACTTTGGCTCTACTAAACAGCCACACAGCTTCTGCACAGAACGGGGGTTTGTCCTGCAGTGACAGCAGGGTTTGAAAACCTAAAACACACATTGGCCTTGAGCAACTTCAAAGGAGACGCGTCATCCCCTCTTCTGGTTTCCACTGGAACATGTTTTCATGCTTCGATGTAAATAAAGTGATTGGCTGGCGTGTTCTGCGCCTCTGCACTCTGGTTTACATTCAGTGTGCTGCATTATTCTCTCAAAAAGACGAGACTGCACCGACAACATGAATCCAAGAAGGGATCTGTAGGTGCAACCAAGAAAAAGCCCTAAACGAGGACGAGGAGGTACTGTAATTACCTGTTGCCTCATAATCATTGACTGCTTTATGGCCTTTTTTGTGTAAATGATGTTATGAAAAGCAGAGTAGTTATACCTCGCACTCGACAAACGGCCGAACGCACCAAATGCAAAAGTTGACATTCCTCCACTTTGGCGACAGAAAGGTGTGATGCTGCTTATGAGGCTTATCAGCGTTGAGATGATTGGAGCAGTTGGAGCATCTCGCTGCTGATTGACTTTCGCAAGACAGCGTCTGGCAATTTATCCGCTTCGTTCAATTTGCTCTTTCGCGTCCTGCGTTGAAAATTTGACATTACAATTGAGGGTATTTATTTCATTTTTAGTCTCTTATTATTTTCTTATTAGTTTTTTGTCAAAATAGCTCAAAAGAGATTTTTTTTTAAAGTGAATATTTGCTGATGTAATGTTTGATCCATCCTCTTTGTTTACCTTTGGTTACGTCTCTGTGCGTTCACTGGTTACCCTGTTTTTAACGTCACGTTGCAATGACTTCTGGGTAATTCCCTTAAGCAAAGTCTGCATCTCATGCTGACTTACAGAAAGGGGTCACGAAGGACTGGAAATCTCTGCTAGAGAGCCTCAAATAATGGAACAGAAGCATTGCTTTGAAATGGATCATGGCCTACGGTCCTGGTGTACAGTACAGCAAAGGTCAAAGGTGACGGGGGAGGACAGCGTCTCATCCCACAGACTGCTGCACACCGCGGACGCAGAAGCATTTCTATGTTCCAACCAGTTTGCTCTTCTTCTTCTTTCATGTAATATTGTTTGACAGGTTGCATTAGTAACAATTGACAACGCCATTGATTTCTCATGAAGCATTTTGGTAAAAGTTCTTTTTGTGTTTTGTTCTGATTGAATGCTGTAGGAGAGATCGATCAACTTTGAAATCAAATGACGACGGAGGACGCATCGCTCCGCCCCAAGCGGCAGCTTTTGCACGAGCAAATTCCTCCCTTCTGGAGCCGCTACTCTCAAACTCGAGTGATCCGCGGGTTTCCCACCAGAAAAGCCCCCCCCCTCGTCCCCTCGCTCGCCTACTGTGGCCAGATAGAGGAGTGGGTGGGTAGCCGGGGAAAATGCCCGTTCACGATCCTTGTTCCTTGTTCTACAATTCAAACTAAATGTGAGACGTACACAGAAGCTCTTTGCCTGACCGCTGGTTTGTGCTGTGAAAGAGAATATATTTAGCGAGGCGCCTTCACGACAAGCTGCATGTGCTCTGTTGAGGCACGTTTTTTCTTCCCATGTAAGTAGTCAGCAAGGCTTTCAGTAACACTGAGGTCTACACCAACATCTCACCCTGAGTACAGTGACGCTGCTCCGCTCGACCAGACGCACGTCATAAGATCCGGTTACCTCGGCTTCAACCTCCGCGTTGGTCTCGGGATGAATTCCACCAGGCCAGGTCGTATTTTTTAAAATTTTGGGGCAATTTCTGAATGACGTCTGAGCCCGTTACCTCACTTCTGAGCGTTACTCCGACCGTCATCCCTCTTCCGGCGAGGTGCCAGAGAAACGACTCCTCCTCTGCAGATACTGATGAAATGTCCTATCGTATGTTTCTGCCCTCCTACATAATGTATCAATGTTATGCGCTTGCAAACATCTACACGTGTGGCGATTTCCATACACAGTGCAGTAAAGAGCGGTCTGCCATGCTATTTAAAGGTGTACCTTCATGCATTAATCCTATTCAGTACCGTTTATGACCTTCTGCAGAGCATTCAAACGCGGGGGCAATACACACCGATCACGATGACATCATCGGGTGATCCCCGTTTGGGTTTTCATTCTGTGTATTTTGAACGCAGAGTGTGCAACAAGCCCAGGCGAATGGAATGGGAAGGATTTTGATGTCTATCAGGTGGGAGGAGGATGGAAAAAAAACAAGCACACGCATAAACAGATGAGATGCATTATGGGAAGTGTAGGTTTCAGTTGTACTGGTCCATACAAATCTTGACCTCTGCTGCTTGGAACTTAGTCCTTCTCGCCGCTCTCGCTCTCAAAGTGCAACATTAAGATTAAAAAAGAGACGCCCTTTAAAAAATATTAACTGCCATATCAGCTACTGAGTAAGTGATAAAGGGCCGGCTGCCTGTCATACTTCATACTTCATACTTCATAACCAGTCAATTACTCCTCCTCCTCTGCTGAGCCATTGCCGCTTTGTACCATCAAAATTAGAGGTGGGGGAAAAAACGATTTTTCGACTCTCTAGAACGATTCGGTCTCGATTCAGAAAAGTTAATAATCGGAATTAAAAAAAAAAAAAAAAGTCTGTCTCGCGCAAGATATTTGCTTGGGCGTGAACTTCCTCGCTCGCGAGGTTAGTCTCCAAGGGGTTTTCTACGCTCTCGCTGTTTTTCTTTCTGACAGTAAGGGGGCGGAGCCAGTCACCACGGCCTCTACAGCTGATTACATACATACAATACATACACAAATACATAAATGTCGTGAGCATAACCGATTAAATTCCGTTTAGCTGCATTGTATTCATGCGGCAAGAGAAGTCCAGTCCGTCTCAAAATACGTCAGATATCTGAAAACTCCTGATAGAAAAGTAAAATAAGCAGCCTGATGCCACTGAGCCGTAACCATTAACGCTGCACGCTGAATATCAGCCAGAAGAGAAACACTGTGCAGTCAGTGTGGTGAAAGCTCAGATCTAATCCACTGACAGTCAGGCTTTGTGGACTTCCAAGTCAAGTCAGGACAGATTCATAAGTGCTTTTGACAAACAGGAACGGATAGGAAAGAAACATTGTAGTTGCCTATTTTATTGTGTATCTTCAGTGTCTCTTAATCTCCAAAATGGTCCATACAGGTGAGTCACAGAGCTGCAACGATGGGTTACAGGCTACTGCGCCTACATAGTGACTGATGCCATCGCAGCCGAATCTTAGTTTCAACGATTTAATTCTAGAAACAACATAGGAATTTATTTGATTTTTGAAAATATTCTTGCAGTAGGTAACTTTTCGATGAATTGGGGACAACAACTTTTATATATTAGAGGCGTATGTTATCATTGATCAATCAGACAGAAAGACGTTTCAGAAAATCTCCAAAATATGTTCGTCATAAATGGGTTTTTTTTCCAAATGCAGAGCATGATGACACGGAGCTCCCCGTGGTGACAGACAGATGTACCTGTGTTAACCTGCAGCACTTCACAGCATTAATAATCAACCTTCTATAATAACATTGCTTGTTAAAAGGGTCGCTAATAGTAACAATCACATTAAATTCAATGTGGGATACGGTGACCTCGTCAGGTGCAAATATGAACACAGGGATAAAAGAACATAAAACATGTTCTGTCATTAAATAACTGTAACCAATGTATTTCTTTTTTTTGTTCCTTCAAAATAAAAGTTTGCAATGTCAAAATCAGGGGGGACTTATGTTACAAACCAGTTGTAAAACAATCTGTACCTGCTGCCTCGTCCTGTCACTGCTTTTGAAAACTAAAAATGAGCAGAACCTTAACTGATAAAACAAGTCTACTGGCAGAGCAGAGAGGAAGGACGAGCAGCACAATTAAAAAACGATGGGAAATCCAATGTGTTCGGCCCGAAGAGTCAACAGGACACACGCTGAGTTACCAGCAGGCGCATTCGATCCCAGAAGTTGAAAACACGACGGCAACCAGCAATTCACTCACAACAGAGTAAAAAAAAAGAGTCTTTGCGGTTTGAAGGCGCAGTTCGGGTTTGAAGCAGTTCCTGATCAATAGCAGATGGACATAAGAACTTGCAAAGAAGCATGTGGAAAGAACCCCTCCTGGATGCTGTTGTGACTCAAACATGGTGGAAACCCAAGATGACGCCTGAACAACACGACGGCTCACAACTTGTGGGAAAGTCTCTTGTTTCCTCGGCCTGTGCGTCCCCCCCCCCCCTGCTGCTGCGCCTCTTTGTGGAGCTCAACACACTCCAGTCCAGTAAAAAGAAAACCGACGCCAGTCTTCTTCCTCCACCCTATGAGAGCAAACGGGCTTGTTCCTAAAAATGTTCCTTTTAACTGGTGCGCGCTCACACGTGCTGTTACGTCTCGTCATACTTCCACATCAAACAGACCCACTCAGTGTTTTCTATCAGTTGACAATGTTGTTAGCAGTTATCAGCTCCTCCTGCCACGTGCACACGCGCACATCAGATAAAAAGAAAAGTATCTCCATCACATCCTCCTTCAAAGGACATTATATGATGTGGGTACACAGAATGTGTTTTTTTCTTCATTACCATCATTTGTAATGCGAGTTCAATTACGGAGTCCGTCTGTTATCTTTAACCTTCTATTACCAAAGTATCGCATGAGACACACGCGGCCGTTCCCACCCACGGGAAATGAACATATTCATTCGTTTAATTAAATCTTCATCTATTAACCAATTAACCTGAAATGCATATCATTGGAATGTGTGGGGGGGGCGAAGAACCTGGAGGGACCCGCGACAGGAGAAGAGGATGCAAACTGCACACTGAGGGATACAGGAGGTGTGTGTGAGTGTGTGTGTGTGTGTGTGGAGGGGGTACAGGAGGTGTGTGTGTGTGAGTGTGTGTGTGTGTGTGTGTGTGTGGAGGGGCTACAGGAGGTGTGTGTGTGTGAGTGTGTGTGTGTGTGTGTGTGTGTGGAGGGGCTACAGGAGGTGTGTGTGTGTGGAGGGGCTACAGGAGGTGTGTGTGTGTGGAGGGGCTACAGGAGGTGTGTGTGTGTGAGTGTGTGTGTGTGTGTGTGTGTGTGTGTGTGTGTGGAGGGGATACAGGAGGTGTGTGTGTGTGAGTGTGTGTGTGTGTGTGTGTGTGTGTGTGTGGAGGGGATACAGGAGGTGTGTGTGTGAGTGTGTGTGTGTGTGTGTGTGTGGAGGGGCTACAGGAGGTGTGTGTGTGTGGAGGGGCTACAGGAGGTGTGTGTGTGAGTGTGTGTGTGTGTGTGAGGGGGGTACAGGAGGTGTGTGTGTGTGTGTGTGTGGAGGGGGGTACAGGAGGTGTGTGTGTGTGTGTGTGTGGAGGGGGGTACAGGAGGTGTGTGTGTGTGTGTGTGTGGAGGGGGGTACAGGAGGTGTGTGTGTGTTGGGGGGGGGTACAGAAGGTGTGTGTGTGTTGGGGGGGGGTACAGGAGGTGTGTGTGTTGGGGGGGTACAGGAGGTGTGTGTGTGTTGGGGGGGGGTACAGGAGGTGTGTGTGTGTTGGGGGGGGGGGGGGGGGGGGGGGGGGGGGGGGGGTACAGCCTGGGAATCGAACACTCTGCCCCTCTTTCTGTGAGGCAGCAGCCACCACAGCAACCCGCGTTACCCCGTAACAGATGAGACTAGATGATCGGATTATATAACACGCTGACCACACGTTACTGCATTTCATCACCTTCCAGGTGAAGTGATGGAATGTCCCGCTGCACGTCGGGGAACAACATAGTGAGCAGCGTTGCGGTCGAGACGCAAAGGCGGCTGGACGGCTTGTGCGGACTGCGTGTCGCCCCGCGGCGATCCGTACTGTACCGACGCGACGGCCGACCTGCAGGCCGCCGAAGGGTTAACGTTCCGGCGCGTAAATACTGCTCGCTGCAGCCTCTGAAGGGCTCGTTCACCGAACGACAAAAAAAACAACCACGTTTAACAAAATGACCCCCGTACACACGCGCACACACACACACACACACACAAACCTCCGAGTAAAAAACCAGACTAGTCGATTGCGGGCAAACAGCGTGAGACGCGAGAGAAACACAAAGAGCGAGCGGGGAGACGGAGCGCGTGACGCCGCGCAGCCGAGCCGAAGCAGCTCGAGCCTCGGCGGGGAAAGTGACGAGCGGCCGCTTGCAGACAGACCCCCCCACCCCACCACCCCTCCCCGGTCCAATAGCACAAACAGCCGCCCGCTGAAGCACAAAAGCATGGCGGCGTGTTCATTTCTGTGTACGCGGGCTCCGGAAAGGGGCATCCGGCGCGGGCTATTGTCAGCCATGGCTGCAGCCCGGCAGGGAGGCTGGGACGGCGGGCTGAGCTCAGATTCGAGTCGTGATTTCTGCCCCGCGCTCGCGTGCACATACCGCTCGGAAAGCGGTTGGAACGGGACGTTTTTACACATAAACACACGGGAAATGTTGCCCCCCCCCCAAGAGCGGCTGTGGAGGCAGTAAAACGGGAGAAGAACGAGCGGCGAGTCCGCCGCGGCTTCTTCCCCCCCCACCCCACTCCCCGCGCTGCCCGCCCGCTGCAGCGGGAGCGGATTAGTTCGGCGGCGGACGCGGGGACGTTAGACCCCCGCCAAGTGCGACTCGTTCACCCGCACCGCGCCGACGGCTCCCGGTAAACCACCGGAACTTTTTTTTTTTTTTTTAAAGGGAGAATATGTTTTGTGTTATTCGCGAAAAATGTGTCACAACCCCGGCTCGTCCGCGCTCAAACTCCGCCTTCTTCTCCTTCTTCTCCGCGCGGCCTCTCCTCAGATGCAGCCGGGCGACCGAGAGCCACAAAGCTGTCAAACGCGCCGAGACTTCGCCATTTTTGTTTGTTTAAAACAATCGCGGAGCGCCGCGCACACGACAACGAAACGCGGCGGCGGCGGCGGCGGGGGCGCACGCCGCGGCGGCGGGCGGCCCGGGCTTACCTGCCGTGGAACCAGTCCTTGCAGGCGTCGCACTCGATCATGAACTGGTTCACGTCGTACGGTAATCTGCAGATGCAATACACTGGTACAGTCGCCATGTTCAATTCGCTACTACGTCGGGATGGACTGGGGGGGCTGCGGGAGGAACGGCGTCCTGCAAACAATATCATCCAATATGATCTTCCCCGAGAAGAAAAAACGCCAGGGGCAGAGCCGCCGGACACATGCAGCCTACGCGCACGTCTCCATCACGCCACGGCCGGCTGCTGGCGACGACTGAGGCGGCTGCGTTCAGCGCGCTTTGCTCCGATGCATTATTATTATTATTATTATGGTTACGGTTATTGCCGCTACGCACATGCCCCCTGGTGACCGCGCCGAGGCGGTCCCGGTAATGAGCCCGGAGAAGATGCAGCCTCGACGTCAGTTGCGAAATAAATAAATAATAATAAACTTTTTTTTTTTTTTTTTTTTTTTTTTTTTGAAATGTGAAAGTTACGTCAGGGAGCAGGTTTGAATTTACGGAGCTCAGGTGAATGAATGCTCGGATCAATAAACACTGCGGGGGGGGGGGCGGGGGGGTCTTGTTCTTCACAACACCTCCATGGAGGAAATACCAAGAAAGAGATTTCCTATTACGTAATTGAGTTCATATGTAATCCAATTAAATAGCGATATTTGAATAGTGCGATAATAATGCTATTAAATATATTTTTTAATAGATATGTAATAGATATGTTACATACGTGTCATCTATTATATATATATATATATATATATATATATATATATATATAAATAAAAAATATTTATACATAAAAATATATATAAACATATAGAGAGAGAGCGAAAGAGAGAAAAAGAGCAATGTTACATACATATAAATAAATACATTATATTATATTATTACCATAATACAGACATGGGGCAGCCGGGACGCGAACCACCAACCTTGCGATAATATATGTATAAATATATATATATATATATATATATATATATATATATATATATATATATATATATATATATATAAATATATATACTTATGTAGTAATTGATGCAGTAAATACATATGTGTATGTATTTACATGTACATATGCATGTATACATACGCATATATATACACACACACACACACACATTGGTTGGTGCGGTTCGGAACCAGCAGCAGCCCTTCATAGTCCAGGTGTAAGAAAACAATTTCCTTTTGTTACACAGCATGGATTCTCAAAAATGCCCCAATTCATTGTATGAATAAAACCAGTGTGTTCTTTTGAATTTTGTTGTTATAATGAATAGAAAGCTGATGGCCACATCTCTGACCTCACAGTAATATTCACAAATAAGTCTAAAAGATCATTTTGCATGATTTGCAGAGGCATCACAATACTGACAAAACACATTTTTTCTTCTTAATTAAGTAATTGATTAGTCAAAGAAGTCCAACAACAACGACTACTATTAATACGTCGGGTAAAGCATTATGAATGCTAGAGTGAATATGAAAAATATTTGTTAAATGTTAAAATGACAGGTTTTTGTGATGTAAAAATATAAATCATGTCTGAATTTTTAACAACTTCATCTTGACTCATAACATCAACAATCGTTTTTAAAAATGAACAAATAACGTACAATAACCTGGTTTCATTAATATGATGACCCTTAAACTAACATGGAGTTGAATCATAATTTAGTTTTATTACAGCACTGAGTCTTTTGGGCTAGGAGTCTATAAACGTGGCACATGACTTGGTAATATCTGCACACTCAGGCGCTGAAAAAAAACCCAGCTCCAATGTTTGATGCTGCCACCGCCGGCGTCACTGTGGGTGTGACGGAGACTTGTCACGTGTAGTGCAACAGCCAGACGTTCCTGCACCTCCTTTAATGTCGCTGTCGGCCTCTTCAACGCTTCCCTGACCAGTGACCTTCTCATCTTCTCATCAATTCAGGAGGGACGTCCAGTTCTTGGTACCATCACCGTCGTATAGAACTCGGCCTTCTCTGTGCTCCATGGTGTATTTAATGCTTTGGAGAGTCCTTTGTAACCTTCTCCTGACTGAAACCTGCCAACGTTTCAGGTTATTGTACGTTTTCTTTTTTAATTACTCCTCCTGAAAGGTTTGTTTGTTGCCTAAATGAATTGTTGTGAATTAACAGGTGTAAAAAGTTCAGACACAATTTATCTTGGTCCCATTTTGAAATGAGTGTGTAGACTTTTTATGTAAACTGCACGCTGTCACTTGTGGAGAGTTTGTTCTCATGCGTTTGCTGTAAGTTCACTCACACTTTGCAATCGTCTGGTTAAAATCTCAAGAAAAACATCTTTGGGATTGTCAGTATATCCATATGACCCGAGGCCGAACATTGAGTATTTATTCTATGACATTTGATGTCTGCACGATGTTGCAGTGTGATCAGGGAGAAATAAACCAGCAACAACTCTTAAAAGAAGAGTTTTATTAAGCCTTCGAACGCAATCAATCCATCGATATTTCCTCCTTCACCCTTTGGAAAAATAGGCGATTTTCAATCAAAGTAGCCCAATAGCCTGCAATATTTACTTGTATAAATGTGACGGGAAGTAGTAAAAGTAGTAATACAACTGCTCATCAACGTTTGACAGCCCAAATTAGTATTTACAGCAGGTAAGTTATGCAACAGTGGTTTTGTACAATCCTGCATGGAGCAATTGTTTTGACCAGAATCATTTCCTTTCTTCCTCATCAGTCCAGAAGATTTAGAATTCGTTTAATAATATATGCAGATACGTTTATACATTTTTAAGTTATGAGAATCAGAAACATGGGGACTCGATGAATCGGTCATGGAGAAAAGTCCAAATGTCCCAAATGCATGGAAACAATCCTGCACATATGAAGTGATATCTGCATATAGTCTGCTAGAGGGCAGCAGTCACTCACTGGTGGACTTGCAAACAGGAGCTGCATTCCAAATCACTTTTTTTTTTCTTTGACGCTGTTGCTCTGTGGTGGAGGAGGAGGAGGAGAAGAAGACACTTTTATTGCATTATTTACTCATACAGGAAATTGTTCTCTGCATTTAAAACCCATCACGCAGTGAGAAACGGACCCGTCACTCATGTGTAATGAGACTGTTCAACATTTATATTTCCTTTGTGCAATTATGGATATTTAATCATTTATCAGGTTTTATCTTTCACTGGTGCTTCTTGTTCTCACGGATAAGAATATGTTCTTTGACAGTTTGCTATATTTACTCATCATATCTTAATTATTCATTCTGAACATCAGCTGATCAGCATCACCAAGAAGGCTCAGCAGAGGTTGTTCTTCCTGAATCAGCTGAAGAAATTCAACCTGCCAAAGACGATGATGGTGCACTTCTACACGTCCACCATGGAGTCCATCCTCCGCTCCTCCATGACCGTCTGCTATGCTGCAGCCACAGCCAAGGACGAGGGCAGGCCGCAGCGTGTCATCCGCTCTGCACATCGGCTGCAATCTGTCGTCCCTCCACGACTTGTTTGCCTCCGGGACTCTGAGGCGGGCAGGAAAAAGATTGTAGCCGACCGCTCTCACCCCGGTCACAGACTCCTTGAGCCCCTTCCCTCGGGCAAGAGGCTGAGGTCCATCAGGACCAAGACCTGTTTTTTCCCGTCAGCAGTTACCCCTCAGAACACTTGCATAGTGGTTTGTCTCACCATGGAAACACATACGTGTTTTAACATACTTATCTTATTTATATTGTTAATTCTGGCTTGCATATACAGTATTTTATCTTATTTTACTTTATCTTATTCCTAAATTGCAATGCACCAAGTCAGATTACTCTATATGTAACATATGTGGCAATAAATGGCGTCTGACTCTGATGTTTTTCCTATGCTGGAAGAGCGAATAATGAAGTATTGAGGCACCTTTCCTTAGTATTTTGATAATTCTAACAGCTTTTATCATGGTTATAATTCTGTTTCCTTTCACACAGTGATGAACCTTCCAAAGAAACTATTCAACCGAAGCACACTCTAAATACCATATTCTTTCTTCAACAGAGGGCACTCGAGGTTCATATTAGAGCCCTTCAGACAGACATTCACAAAAAGAATGAGCTTTCAGTTTTTAAGTAAACAATTCCACATGTGTTGTTTGGGAATGAGCAACACATTTATTTTTAAATATTTACAGAGATATTCATAAAAAGTAGACTGTATCAGACTACTACCCTGGAGAGGACACCTTTTACACAATAAAGTAATAAAATGCATAAATCAACCATATAACAAATAATATTTAGAGAATACATTTCTTTTGTAAAATATATAAAACAAATTATGTTATACTTTATATATTTTAAAAGCATTTTTAAATTGGCTTGTGTACAGTATCCTAAATGTGCAATCTAGTCTTTTATCGTGCTACAAAATACAACTCTATTTCAATTGTTCTGCCACTTTTCCTCATATTATTAATATTTTAACCAGCACCTGCAGTCAGAAAGCATCTTTTTGGCTCGTGAAGCTTGAATGTAGCTGAATATGGCAATAACATAAAAGGACACTGGCGACGAACAAAACAATGTCTTTTGCTGTACAAACAGGTCCACGTGCTCCAGGCGTGCAGCCTCACACGTCAAGCAATGTCCGAAAGTGCTGTGCTCGTTGGGCCAGTTCCTTCGCGAACTCCTGAGCCTCGCGCAGAGCCTGCGTGTCCGGGAAGTGCACCGCCGCCTTCTTGGTGGCCACGGCCAGCTGCTTCAGGAGAGCACACAGGTGGTTGCTCTTGCCCAGGAGGCTCTGGGAGGAGCCCCCCCGCTGGGCCTCCTTGTACAGGGTGTCCACCAGCCTCTGGCCCACCATGATCACCAGCTTACTTTTGGAGATGAACTTCTCCGGCGGGTGGCCGTCCTGGAGGCTGCCCACAAACCCCCCGATGGCCTTGTGGAGGGCGCCGAAGTAGAGGCGGCAGTGCTCTGTCAGGGAGGCCGACCGCGGCTCCTCTGTGTCGCCGCCGGACTCGCAAGAGAGACGCTCGTCTTCAGGCTACGCAGTGGACACATCCAACAAACAGCCTCGTGTTATGTCTTACAAACCACAGTGTCTTTTTCTGACCAGGAGGAATGTCCGTAATCCTGAATAGCATCATCGATAGGACACTTAGGATACACTAACCTGTGCTTTTGAGACCGGGACGTTTTCTTTTGGTTCCTTCTGCACTTTCTTCTGCTGTTTTTCGAAGTCATTTTTTGTCTGACAAAAGCAAAACAAAGTGAGTTAGTGTAAAGTTACATTGCCAAATACACTTGGGGTTTTTCTTGGTTTCCTGCCCGTCATCCAGTTACCATAGTGACTCGTATTATAGGTGATGACTCACACCCTGATAAGGCGCGTTTTACGGCATGATACGGCCATTTTGCAGTTTGCGTCCGCTCACATTAGATTGAGGCTGGCCAGCCATGAACAGTACAGTTCAAACAAAGGTCACAATCTCAAGTACGGCACTAATTGCCCCGCCGCTGTTTTCTGTTCAGATCCAGGGAGCCACAGTCGGTAAAGGTATAGAGCTTTGCGTTTCCAGCAAAAGGCGCCATAGTTTAATTTTGATGTCAGGGGATTTTCCACCTAAAAAATAATTACAATTCAAGGGCCCTCCAGTGAAAAAGGCGGATTGGGGCGGTGAGAAACGCGACGGCACCGTTTTATTGACTGTCAATTACAAAAAGCTGCCTGGGCCGCACAGGCGCTCTGTCCAATCAGGGCTTTTAAATGTAAGAAGCTCATACCTGTAGCTCTACGTAGTCGTTGTCATCCTCCACCGAGTTCCCTCCATGTCCACCGTCAGGACCTTCCTTGGTCTCTGGCCCAGCCTTGGTGTTGGGGGGCACCGGAGCTTTCTGGGGGGCTCTGAACAGCAGCTTGCCATTGGCGTTGACGATGGACACCAGGCACTTGACGTCTTCTGGAACAGTCCGCGCCACCATGACGAAGCGCTCCAGTTGGTCAGGGGTCTGGACCTGGCTGGGGTCCTGACAGAGCGTGTCGAGGGGCCAGCCAGCCGTGTTCAGAGCGCCCACTGTTTGTTGTAGGATCACCCCTGAGTCTTCTACGATGGACAGCTGTTTAATGAGCCTCGTCTGAAGGTTGGTATCGGTCAAACGGCGGGCGTTGCCCTTGACGTCCAGTGCAAAGGTCAGAAAGGACGTCAGAGAAAACACAATACCCTCGGCAGCTTGTTTGATTGCCGTCAGGTGTTTCTCCAGATGTTCTCTGCTCCTCCAGTGACTGCTGACGAACTCCATGAGAAGGGGGACGGCCCGGCAGACAGACTCCCGCAGCTCCAGGAGCCTGCAGCAGGCCTCGTCCTGGGCGAGCGTCACCTCTCGCAGCAGCTCGGGGGATGACGAGCTCAGGGCCAGAGAGTCACAGGAGCTGGTGGAGGAGCTGGAGGCCGTGCTGATTCTTTGACTTTCTGCCGCGGAGAGAAGCTGTGTTCTACCTCGCTCGCCGTCCTCTCGCCCGGGCAACTCCCCTTTTCCAGGAAGTTCCCGGAACGTTGTGCAGGCCATGAAGTTCCTCATCCGCTGCAGACGCACCTTCGCAAGTACGTGAGCGTTGGTTGAGTCCCTCCTGCACTCCAGGGGTATATGATCACTGGGGGGATCACTGACCACCTCTGTAAGCTTCTGAGTTGGGGGCTTGTCGTAAATGGACACTTTGGGTGGACTCCAGATGTCGGGCAAGTTGGATTTCGGTATATCATAGTGCGGGGCAGTGGAACTGCCTCTTTGATTGGGCCAAGCGTGTGCTGGAAAAGTGTCAACAAGTTTGGCTTTGGAGGGGTCATAGGAGCCTTGGGGTGAACTTTGTTTCTCAGGACCCACGGGCACGTCATAGATCCACTCAGGCTTGCAGGAGCCGGGAATGGTACTGCATCCAGCCGTCATTTTCTGTTGGGCTTCTGTGGCCGAGGGAACGGGGATGTCATAGCTTGAGTCTTGAGGCAGAGGCGGTGGGACGGCATACACCTGTGCACCAGAACACAGTTGTCAGAGAGGCCTATTGCGAGCATATGGCAGGTTCTTTATTCATCAATCCCTCTAAATATGGGAAACATACGTAAGAGGCTTCCGGACTGCTGCTCTTTGGCACCCGTTGTGGAGTTGTTGATGCCTGCAAAAAGAAACATCACAATAGTCGGAAAATGTCAGCATACGTTCAAATAGCCACTCCACGTTTGATGCATTTTGTTGGTGTGTAGTTCCTGGAGCTCACGGTGAAAAGGGAGGCTCGTCTGGCCTGGCTCGGGACATCGTAAACCTCCCCAGTGGGACGAGACGTCGCGCTGAAGATTGATGGCTGCGGACGAGACAGACGGGGCTGTAACATTGGGGTTGACTGGTAACATTTGAACCGCGTTCATCAAAGCCGCGTCTACCTCATTGACCTTTGCATCAACACGTTTATGGGGACAGTTTTTGCTCTGAAGCTGGTTGCGAGCGCCGGAGAGTACCCCATAATGCATGCACGCTGCCAATTAACACGGCTGTATAATAGAAACCCATGCTGCTCATTGAATATTAGGTGGCTACTGCAGAAGGGAACAGACTCCCCTGGAGCAGGAAAGGAAATCGTGAACATGTGGGTTCAGTTCTTTCCCCCTGGCTCGCTTCTTACGCACCCGTACAGACGCTCCCGTCTTTCTGGGGCCCACTGTTTGCAGTTAAAAGTGTCTGAAGTCTGTGTCTGTTGGTCTTTTATGGTCCCATAAAGAGCCCGGTGCTGCATGCCTGTCCCATGGAGAGGCCCCTGGTCCCCATCTGTAAGCTCTTTTGCCAGCAGGGGTTTCACAGCATTGCATTTCTGCAACAGTCTACATCTCTAATCATGAGGGTGAACCCTTCCCCAAGGGAGAGGCCCAACTTTGACCCCAGAGAATACACAGTTAAAGGGTCCTGGGGGTTCTGTGAGATCAATTAACTGTTGTTTTCTGTATGGATACGCAAGTATACACTAAACAAGAATATTTCGCCATACAAGGAATATTGTTCTTAACGTTTTCCCCATTAAAGAAAGTCATCCACTAAAGGTGTTGAGTTACAGCTCTATCTATTTCTATTTGATATGGACATCACAGCGGTGTTAGAGTTGCGTCATACAATTATGCACAATAACTACATGCACTGTGTTTGTAGCGAAATGCTAACTTACAACACCTGCTCACAGGAGGGTTTATTAGAGGGAAAAATTTAATAAATAAATAACAGAGCAAGAAGATCAGTGCGCCCCCTGAAATGACCCCCTGGCCTCCTAAAAAAGTCTGGAAAGAAAAATGTATTACTGGTTTTAATATTGACAAAGCCGGCGAGAAAAGATTGACAAATTTAGTTCATGCTTTTCACAATAAAAGTAATTTACATTTTATTGTTGTTCATTGACCATGTCGTGGGTGTATGAAGGCCTTAGTGGTCTTTTTAAATAAATATAAGTCGAGGGCTATTTCTGCAAAAGGGAATGAAGGGAAGGAGCAGATTTGGTCTGCGCTACCGTCGACAAGACTTAAATGAGTAAATGAAAATGCCGTTTTAGTTTGGAAAACGGAACCTAGGAGTTGTTGATTTGCTACAACTGGCAAAAATATTTGTGAAATAATCTCAGAAAGAAACGCTGCCCCCCGTGTTCTCAACATGAATCCAGTTCTTGTAGAAATCCAACTCGTACCTTGTACCCGTCAGGTCCTTCTCTCCTCTTCCTCGGTGCTGGCGAATATGGAACCTCTGAAGTTGACGAAGGAGTGCACGGCACCTTGTAGATCACGTCCATGCGCTCATAGGCCGGACTGCTGCAGGGTCGGGGGACACTTGGGATCTGGTAGATATTCGGTGTTTTGTCGTTGGTCGCAGCATCGCTTTGGTTGGGTTGGGCTACGTCGTGGCGCAGCGAGGCCTCGGCGGTTCCTGTTTGTGGTAAAAGCTGCAGCCTGTTTGCCGGGGCCAGACCGCGGCGTCCGTAAAGAGAACACATCCACCATCCGCTGGTGCCGGCCACGTTCTGATCCATCACCGTGACGATGTCCCCCTTTCTGAAAGCCAGCTCGTCTGCACACTCCGCAGTGTTGTCGTACAGAGCCTTAGCAAGTTTGTTCTACAATCCAGAGCAGAACGACGGGGAAGAAAGATCAGTAAGAAACACCCGCGGAACGTGTGGCACATTTTAAATCAGCAAAAGTCAGGTTCCCAGTTCCCCCGGTCAGTTTCTCGAATGTCATTTGCATGGCAGAAATACCCATTTAGAAGTTGCCATTTCACACGGAATGTGCTGCGTTTCCTTTGCTGCTGTATGACAACATTTCCTCTTGTCACATGTTGCTAAAAGTGTCATGACTCATCTTATGAGTCACAAGAGATAACTGCACAAAGTCATTTTCTAATTCATAATGAACTTACATAGTTCTCAGTCTTGCACTTACTGTTAAAATGATTTAAAAGCAATAACAACAACAACTGGTGGTCTGAAGGAGCCTCATGCGCGGCACCTTTGTGCAGCCCGGCAGAACGAGAAGCAAAGCCGTTGATGCGTGACAGAGAGAACCGGATTGACACTCATCTGATGAGCTTCCCACGAGAAAGTTGTGCGTTTAAATGTGACCCGGCTGTGTGGTTGTAACATGATGGTCCCCATCTTTACCTTTTAACATTTGGTCAAGACAACAAAAGGGGAGACTTACGGAGGTGGAGCATTCAATACGGTTGACACCATAATGGAAGACGCGATCTACAATAGGTTGATATTTGTAACCGCAACCCTGCTATGAATGTATTATTTTTTTAACTGTATATATGACAAAAGAGCCAATCACTGTGCTCCACGCCTGCACAACTAACAATGGCTATCACAAAATAATAGTTCCCATGCTGTCAAAAGGCCACCTGTTATTATATACTTCGTTATTATTATTACGGATTCATTAACAGATCTTTGATTTTCTAGTGGGACTCATTTAGATTTCCTCATTTATGTGGTTGGTAGTTTGATAAATGGTCATGCTGAAGGAACCACTAACAAAGCCTATTAAACACAACTAGAATGGAACCTAATCTCCAATATTGTCCTCTTAAGGGGACAGTGTGTTGGACTTGCAGATTGTAAGCAGCTGAATGAAAACCTTCGGGCCCCCACCCAAAACCCTACAAGTGTGTGTGTATATATATATATATATGCATTGTTCTGGAGTCCTAGAGTAATATCAGCACAGTCTATCCTGAATCTCATATCTCTCTCTTTTGTCTTTGTGTCTCTCTTTAACATTGTGAACTCCGATGCCATCAGATATCCGTGTAATTGGTCATACTGAACTTGTCCCCTCAGGATGGGAATGTCAACATGTCATTGGAGTTTCCTATATTTAGTCCACCCCCACATTATTTCTAGTTACTTTGATTTATTCACCACTGTATTTTTATTCCTTATTGTATCCACTTTTGTATTTATTCTAATGCGATCGGGGCAAAGCGTGCGTTCTCTGTGCATTTTTGTATGTTAAGCAACACAAAGCAAATAAAGCAATGTATGAAAAGAAACAAGTTGTACTTGGTTATTACGTCAATGACACAAAGGAACATCCAAGACACTGAAGGAATATTGGTGCAGACGGACCCTCTCCAAAACAAACACACACCCCTCAGCTGATGAGTGTGTGTTTGCGTGCACGCTGTCATCTGCAACAAAGAGCCCATTGACCATCAGAGCCCAACGCGCTCAGCACCTGTTGGGATGCAGGCCTGCACTGTGACACACACACACACACACACACACACACCAGGCCTCCGCAAACGGCCTGGCCTAATCCTCAGGGTCATGCTGCAGACATGCAAGTGAAATACGTGGGGTCAGATGACAGTCGGCAACCGCACACCAAGATTTACGCAGTCCTACTTCCTTCCCCCTTTGAGTCATCCTTGTACACAACCCCCCCCCCCCCCAAAAAAAAGTAGCACCCGATTGGTTTCATCACTAAACTGTATCTGACCCACCATGACTTACTAACCCAGGCCATAAGGGCCAGAGCCATGTAAAGCACATCGGATTATCAGTGCAACTTGTATTCCCAATACTGGTTACTGGTCCAAATGTGCCCATTGAATCCAGGCCACTGGTCCCCGGCGTTGGTGCTGTGTTTACTCGTGTGTTCTGCCTGCTGATCACCGAGTACAGTAACAAAGTCAGATTCAGCTGTGACTCTTTTGGATTCCTGCACACGCCTGCTTGTGCGGATCAGTCCCCTGACAGCTGGCCGTCAGCACTTTAAACTGCACAGCTGTCTGTGCCTCTCCCGGCCCTCTCTCTCTCTCTCTCTCTCTCTCTCTCTCTCTCTCTCCATTCCGTCCGCGGATCAACGTCGGCCGTCAGACACAACACAGGAGAGGCTTTTAAAAGCTCCCGTTTGGACAGTGTGTCCTCGCGGCCTGAAGGAAGTTACTTCGTTTCGTTGTTTTCTCAAGGATTCTATTTTTAAGTTGCCTTTATGTGACATGGGCCTTTTACCCGACCACCCAAAACTTGGGCTGCAGTTGTGGATAATTATCATTTAATTGGATTATTGTTCAAATTGATTTATTGTTGACGTTACCTTGAATGTCATGTTTCAAGAAAACATCAAAAACACTCCAAAACGCGACTACATCGAAACAAAGATAGCGCAAAAAGTTTGCTTGACAAATGAGCTAAAGCAGAATTGTGTTTGTTCCCTGTGAAAATAATGCTGAATGCTTACTATAACAGTAGCGTCTCTGCCAGCCGATGATGACATCGGTCATCTGTGCATGCACGTGGTAAACGGACTATACTACCCCTAACCCTAACCCTAACCCCTAACCCTAACCCCTAACCATGATCAACAGCCACGACGGCGATGAACAAATCCGTCACACACAACTCAAGGTTTAAAGTTGCACGGTGGGTACAGGTTGTTCAAGATGAGGCCGGGCACATTGTCTAGATAAGACATCCCGTCAATATGAAATATTAAACCTTCCCACGGAAACAGAGGTACCGAGAAAGGGGCAGACGGACCAGAATATTTTGTATCCCCGTAAATACGTTTTCTGGCACGCTTGGAATTAGTTCGAAGGCTCATCAATTTCATCATCTTAAACTTCCCTCAGGTTCCCTCCATGGAAAATCACCTTCGCCAACCCGAACGGATCCAAATGGGAGCCCGATTCCAGCTCGGCGCCAGAGACACTGACTCCCTACAGCTGCCCTGGTATTTCCTGCATGGGAACTGGTGAGAACTATGTCAAAATATCATAAACAAAAAGCACACACACACAAACTTCCAGGGACTCTTCAGAAGGCATTCCACACAGACAGCTTAGACTTCTTCTTCTCCGTTTTATCTTACAATATTAAAGTCCCCACAATAGTAGACTTAATATGTTTCAATTTCTTTCCTGGAAGCAATCCGAGTGTTTGAACAAACACACTGAATGCAAACACTGCGGTGAGCAGTTAAGCGTAACAGTGGGTCCATCGCACTGAGCCATGTGAGGAGCCGGCGATAACGGCCGCAGCAGGAACTCATCTTGCCGCTAACGCTCAAGTTTTATTTATACTCGCACTTCCTCTGTCTCGCCTTCTGCCTTGTGTCCCAGCGAGGTCCCTTCGCCAGCTTTATTTTAAGCTGGTACATTTAGACATTTCCGGTGAGCAGGAGCATGGTGGCCGTTTGAGATCTTGGACCCCCGGGTCAGACTAAACGCTGGTTTGTTGCAGATGTTACATGTGAGTTCATAAACATTTAGAGACGACCCCATATTCTGCTTTCCCTTGAAGGAAGAAGCTTGCTAAGTAACAGCAGTGAGGACAAGTGATGACACAATGTATATATGTGTATATCTGATGGATTCTCTTTACCTCTGCATGACAAGTTCTATACTATTTATTAGTTTCATTAATATTGTTACTAGTATTAATAGATAATTACTGGTCCAGTAAGCACCAATCTGCTTTCATCACACAAAGTCAATCAAAGGTAGTCCAAGACAATGAGACTCAGTCTCCAGTTGATGAGAGACGCCTGGATCACTTCACCCAGAATACAAGTTGACCCACAACCGAGGAGCCCCCTTCAAATCCACACATCCGTGTCCTGGCTTCATGCTGCACACGTTACTGTGCAATACAATAATAATATCAAGCACACGGGAAAAGTCTACAAAACATCTAAGAGCCCAATTACGTGCGTGCGTGTGTGTTCCTGAGCTGATAACATGACCCCCCCCCCCCCCTCCTTCACCTGCCCCTTCCAGCGGGTCACGGGGGGCAGTATGTGGAAATAGAGAATCAAATTGCGATGCAGATGCAGGAGGTCTGCAAGAACTTCAATGTTGGAGAGGAGAAACAGCGCGGACACACACACACACGCACACACGCACACACACGGCGATGAGAGGACGATCAAGTTGTCTCACCATGTTTGAGTGGCGTCCCGCGCGTGCAGAAAGTGAGTTTCTCGGTGCACCGTCTCACTCCATGGGTGGGAGCGCGCGCGGAGGTCTGTGTTTTAGGGGAGGGGGGTGGGGGGGGGCGGGGCGGTATTCTTCTCGTCCGGGCTTCTCAAGCACGTTGTCTGTGCTGTCAGTGGGAGCCCCGGTGTTTTGCACAGTGGGCGGAGTCACCGGGGCCCGTGTCACCGATGGAGCGGCCTCATTGGTCAGCGCCCCCCCCCCCCCGTGCAGCTGCCCCACCCAGGACTGTTGTGGTTCTTTCTTCCCTTCCACTCAGCTTCATGCCACTCTTTCATCACACGATCATCTTTTTAAAAAAAGCAGAAGTGCGCCGCTCATCGCGGCTCTGCTTCTAACTAACTTTGTGACCGAACTTCCTTTTTTAAATAATTGGAATGTTTCCTCCGAATGCATAACAGATTTTTATGGCTGGAGGGGGGGGGGGGGTTAAGTTTGTTTCAAAGAAGAAATTCTCCGCAGCTTTGCCCGTCGTCCTGACGACCAGGCCGCAGCACCGTCTGGGTTGTTGTGATGGGGGCGCGGTGACCTTCAAGGTCTGTGGACGCAGGTCACAGCATCCGATGACCTCTTGCTTCACATGTAGAACACAGAGTATCTGAATGTGGGTAACGTGCTTCGCAACATACAACTAATCCAACACAAACCAAAGTCTCAACGCGTGTGAGTCCACAGCGACCGCGCGTGTGTGTGTGTGTGTCACCATCAGCCCATAGTGCTTCCTGCAGGTTGCGGCATTTCTGCAAAAACTGTGCTCTTTAAAAATAACCACAAGATATTATCCCTGCTGGGGGGACTTTTCACCATCACATTCACACGACACACTTGTTCCTTTTAGTTCTTTAATACAAGTGACGGAATTACAAAGAACACAGACTAAGTAGAAAAGTTGACCTCTGTGGGCAATGAAAAACAACAACACACAGCAGATGGATCGGTGAGGAGTTGAAGTGTGCGGGCAGAGAGGAGTTTAAAAAAAGTCTTTTACTTAAAGAGGAACTTCAGTATTTTTCACCCCGTAACCTGTTGTGTCGCCTCTCGTCGTCCAATCAGCCAGACTCAGAGGATTAGTGAGAACAGCATGTGGACACAAGTCAGCAAACGTTACGTCTCTGAGGTCTTCATCTCCAAGAGAGGAGCCGAGACCCCACCGTTCAGGTTAAACTGTTAAATTGCAAAAATCGGACTGAATTACGGGGGCGGTTTCGCTGTGGATAGACGCGCTCGTCCAACGCGTAGCAGCCGCGCCTTTGACCAGGACACGTGTCCAACCGGTCGGGTCCTGTGGACTCCCCGTCCAGGCGAAGAACCCCAGTGAAACCAAAATTATTGTTAAAACAATATAGAAGTCGCCCTTTAACAACTCTCGTTCCACCGGGGGGAAAATATTTAAAAAAAAAAAATAAAAAAAAAAGAAAGTCACCGCGCATCAGCGATGACGTGGCGAGTTCACGCGCCTCAGTCTGTGGTGGTGCGGCGGTACCAGAACCGGGCCCGGAAGTCGTCGCTGCAGGTCATGAAGCCGGGGTTGGTGGGCGAATGGACGATGCAGCGGACGATGTTGTTGTGTCCCAGGGACAGCAGGTTCTTCCTCTCGGCCGTGCGCGAGTCCCAGCAGCACAGGCTGATGGTGCGCTCGTCCGGCAGCAGCACGTAGTCCTCCGTGTGGTTGAACACGCCCTGGGTGCGGTGCATCTGGCGGCCGCTCAGCCCCGCTCCTAAATATGAAGAAAAAAAAGACGGGACGCGGTCACATCGACACGGAGAGCAGGTCACTACTGGAACATCCTTTCGCATTAGGGAGAGTCGACCAGTTGCCCATTTTACAAGGTCACACTTAAATGCATCTTGATATAAAATCAAGGCGAATAGACATTGAATGCATCGTTCATTAGCTAGCTAGCGTTTAGCCAATGAGGGCAACGCTGCTCATTGGCTAAACGCTGAAGAGCTTTTTGACTTTCTAAGACCTCTAAACAGTGCACGTATGTTTTTTCCATTTTGGGTGTGGAAATGTAAATTAAGGAGCGGTAATTAAAACAACGTTCGCGTCATGATAAAATGCTAAAAAAAACAGATGTCCCTCAGTTTGGAAAGGCAGAGTGGGGGTTTTTTCTTCCACTTCGCTGCAATAAGTGATGTCATGACTTGACTTACGTATTGGAAGGGGGGAGGAGGGGGGTACTTTTAGAGTAGGAAAAACATCAATGCTGTGGCTTAGAGCATTTTGTTCCTCCAGCTGCAACACAAGCAGCCTGAGGCTGTTCAAATAATGCTAAAGGGCAGAAACAAGAAATGAAGTTGTGTGTGTGTGTGTAAGAGTATTTAAATGAAATGAATAACCATCTGAATGTGGATCACTTGCCCCGTGTTAAATTGATTTCCTCTCGCCTGCCTCCAAGGACGAGCAAATCAAATGCGTTGAGCTCACAACCATGAACGCATGTTCACCATCTTCACTGCGGGAACAAACGAGGGAGGAGGAGAGCTGTTGTCTCGGGCGTCTATGGGACCGGAGGAGTCGGAGGCAGCGTTAAGATGCTTTGCGGCCTGGTAGTGTCGCATCCGTTTAACATAGAGCCCACTTTGAGTGGCCAAGAGGTGTTCATGGACGACGGTCTTCTCCACGAGCTCCACTTTTGTCCCAAACTGATCACGCGCTTCACTTGCTCACAGAAACAAGGCGACGGGCGTCTCCAGAGGTAAACGTCTCCTTGGGGACGCACCCAAAGCCTCATGGGTAAGATGAGCTGTGGAATGGTTCATCTAGCCTCAATCACACTGTAACAGTTACACTCTGACGCACCACGAAGAGCTTTCTGTTCTTGTTCTTGAGAAGAGACACGCTTCTTCTCACGATCTTACAAAAAATATTGACCTCAAAAAAGAAAATTCCAAAAAAAGGAAAGAAAAACGCGTCAGTCACCCTGCAACCCGCAAGAGCGAAGATGGCGCTGCCGTCCCTGTGACTCTGCGGCCTTCTACAAACGAGGAGGATCAGCTGAAGCTGCATCACTGGGCTTCTTCCTGAAAATGTGGTCAGTGTGATGAAAGCGTGCCTGCGTATTGTGCGACATTTGTGGAAAAGTTGACTTTTCTGTAAATAGCATTCGGTTTGAGTGGGTGTAAACACAACGGTTACACTTTGGTGGCGAGCGAAAAAACTGATTTGGTGAAACCAATAAACAGTCAAACCAAAAGAGTATACAATGAATTTAAAAAATCTTTTTCCTTAAATGTAAAAAAAAAAAAAAAGTAATCTTCTAGGGGAAAAAGTAAAAAAATCTGAAATGTACAATAACCTGGTTGCATAAGGCCGTGGTAACATCGTGCTGTGGGATGCTTCTCTGCAGCATGTACACGGAAACTAGTCAGGATGGATGGAGCCAAACACAGGGCAATCCTTTAAGACAATATGATGAGGTTGGTGTTTTAAAATAGAACAGTCCCACACCTCAACCCGATTGAAAGACGGTCTGTATCCAATCGGACTGCTTCAGCTTTTTTACCAAGAAGAATGGACAACATTTCCATCTCCAGATGTGCAAAATGGGTGGAGACACCCCAAAAGAGCAAAAGGGGGTTCTCCAAATTATTGCCTCGGGAGTGTGGGGGGGGGGGGGGGGGTTGTTCTCATTATCGTTTATGTCTCAATAAAAAAGGTATTTTACACCGTCAAAGTAGCCTTTTAAATGCGCCCATAAACATATTTTGTTGAATGGAGCTTGAACGCATGATAGATAAATTAAACTGTGTCAACATTAGCAGGATGCGGACAGCGGACGCTGAGCAACTCATTGTGGTTTTCAGCAGCGTGTGCAGCGTTTTCAAGGAGGTTCAACCGCAGCTCTCAGCTACATAATGGGTGCAACCACTGGGGCAAAGGACGATCTTTTGGTTATTAATTATTATTTTGTGCAGTCTCACTCTAAACTTTAGCTTTATATATATATATATTACATTACACACACACAGATGAAAAAAAGTTATTTTAACATATGTTAAAAGAGAGATCCTCCATGTTTTCTCGATGGCCATCCAGTGTTCTAATGAGCTTCAGTTGAAATGCGCTGAATAATCCAGAGTTGTTGACGTCTTGTTTTCAGCTGGTTCGCACTACGGAGCCGCTGTGTCAGTAGCGTGCGCGCAATGCATCCTGGTGCATGAAGGCGCAGCAGGAGAACTCAGCTTTTCCGGTCAGTATAGCACAAACTGAGGAACGGATTGCAACAACGAACATCTAGAATCCCCACTGACTGGACATCGATGATTGAAATGCGCCTTTTAAATTTTAAGCACTTTAAAACAACGCGCGCCTCATCCTCCTTACCCGTGTACTTGACCAGCGTCCGGCCCGTGGAGATCTCCCACAGTTTGACCACGGAGTCTTTGCCGCTGGACAGGATGTACTTGGAGTTCTTGGAGAAGATGGCGGAGCACACCTCGGCGCCGTCGTGGGCCTTGTCGAAGGTGGTTACGCACCGGTTGGAGACGCCGTCCCACAGCTTGATGCTGCCGTCCTTGCTGCAGCTGACGTAGCTGTTGGCGCTGGGGTTGTAGCCGACGCCGCTGATGGTGTCGGTGTGCTGGTCCAGCGGGTTGCAGGACACAAAGCACTGGAAGGTGTTAACGTCGTAGAGGCGGAGGGTGGGGTGCTGCGTGCCCACCAGCAGGAAGTCGCCTGACGGGTGGAAGGAGATCGAACGCAGCATCTCGGCTTCCTGTCGAGGAAAAGAAGAAGGGAGAATTGCATTACAAGATCATTATAGTAGTCAGTATAGAATCAAGAAATAGTTACATTTCCTAACCTTGTTTACGTTAGATTACCAGAGATCTATTGCGTAGCAAATCATACCTGTATATGTTTAAACGCTCTTTTCGCAGAGGGCTTGGAGTAGTCAAACAGCTTGAGGGTGTAGTCTCTTGAGCCGGACGCTAGAATCTGTTCAGTGGGATGGAAGGCGAGGCAGGTGACCTCGTCCACGTGGTCATACAGTGTCCGGATCACGGGGTGATTCTCCATGTTCTGCTGCGCCGTCTCATTCATCATCACCTGAAATGTAAACATAAGCATAGGAAATCGTTAACCAAAAGCTTCAAGATTTAAAAAAGAACTCTGATTTGAAATATGCCTCACTTCGATAGGCATAGCACTCTTGGCCAGCATGCGCTCGGTGTCCAGGATCTTGATGGAAGCGTCGGCGGAGCCAGTGGCGATCAACTGGCCGTCGCGGCTGTACGAGGCGACGCGGCACGGGCCCTTGTGAGACGTCACATAGCAGGTCTCGTACTCGGACGCCTCGGGGGACATGGACTGGACGTCGGCGTCAAACTCCATATCAATGCCCACACCGGGCGCCACTGTGTCCGATCGCCCGATGGCATACTGGACTGCAGCGTCATCGTTCTCCATCCCTAAAAAAAAAAAAAAAAAAAAAAAGAGAAGGTTGGGAATTACACACCTGGGGCCTCCCGAGCCATCACGTCCCCTCAACAAGCCGGGAGTTAACGTTACCGGTCTTTGCCAGCTGCATGAGCTGCTCGGACGGAGACACGACGTTCGGCGGTTTGACCTCAGTGATGAGGCTGTTGGCGATGTTGGTGTATCCGTCGTAGAGCAGCTGGCTTATGATGAGCTTGTACAGGTGCTGTCGGTCCTTCAGGGTGGGCTTGGATCGATACATGATGCGCGGCGCGTGAGTATCACAGTACCTGGCAGAAATAAACAAAGAATGTCAAATATTAATCCTAGTTATAGGTTTCGAGAGACGGCGGTGTTACCCGGTGCGGTATTTGGAAACACCAGCTAGCGGGTTGCTAGCAGATGTGCCACACGTTTGTAAACATACACCGTTGGCGGGCGCAGCTAAGCCAACCAATGAATCTAGGTGGTGCTTAGCATTGCCGCTAGTCATGTTAGCTTGGTTGCTAAAGGCTAGACTGAGAGAAAAAAACGAACTACACCCGCGAAATTGAATCCCGAGCCATGTGGACGTGTGCACTACGCGACAACGACGTTATGTGTTATTTAAGGACAAGAGGTAGGTGGGTTGATTTTGAAATATGAACACCGCTAACCCTCTTCAAAGTTCCAACTGCCCTCCTGGACACAAACGTGCGTTACGTCGTACGCATTTACGTCCTACGTCACAGTGGTGCGCGACTCTCCGGAGAGGTTGCCTTCACGGTAAACCGAATATGCAGATTAAAAGTGCGACATTAGTCATTACATATCGCCATAATAGTGAATTTGAACAACTTCGACTGAAAAAGGAGACGTTTAGGGAGAGAAAAAGGTTGTCACGTGATGAATATTTTAAAATGTGTTTCTAAACTAAATGAAAACATATAAAAGATTTAGTTTAGGCTAACGTACGTGAATGCAACATTCATTCAAAAGCCCTCTTTTTCTCTTTCAATGCAAAAAAACAGCCCAGATACTTGCTGAAATAATTAATTGATTGACATACAACTTATGAAAAACAATTCTGATTTACAGTTTAACGAGGACACAAAAAGCTTAATATTTACCTTCCAGCGTCCAAAGAGCAAGTAACTTTTCTCTTTGTCTAAAATAGTACAAAAGTGTTGCTCTGGATATAAAACGCTGTATAATCCTCAAAACAGTGCTGATGAGTTAACTGAATTAAACAACAACAACAATAACTGTTTGAAATGGTATCTCATTTCTAAAACATAATTCATTTCTATTGTGACCCAGCAGAGGGTGCACAAATACAGCGTGTAAGCTTCTGCTCAGGATTGAGCACAGCTTTGTTGGCATATTTGCAGTCTTTGCACAACATAGATGTATAGTTGAAGATGCCATCTGCTGAACACAGCGGCTAAGATTGAGATTTATTATGGTTTATAGTTTAGAACTGACAGATGCACGCTGTGATTGCAGCTGGTGGCGGTGGTGTTACGACTGGAGGTACGAGACAAAAGTGGCGAAGGAGACTGATCTTCTTAATCTACTGAAACGACACAAAAGAACACGTGAGTGGATAAAGGCCTCCAGCAATTCAACACCCACCCACACACAGTCTCTCAGTTGCCACTTTCCTCGCAACGTGGCTCATCGCTTCATGAGCTGGCAAAAGAAGAACGAAATGGAGAGTAAAACATACAGATGGATGTTGGTGAATAAGTCTGTTAGAGAAATGAGTCTATTCAAATGATACATCTGTCATTCCATGTGTGTAGAGGCAGGCAGCTTCACAGTCCCTAAAATTATGTCATGTTTTGTGAGTTAAGGGCGAGGAACCGTTTGTCCTACCTCACTAATGTTGTTCTGCCATGATGACATTATCTTTTTCAATCATTGTCCAAGATGTACCTATTTTTGACAACAGGGTAGGATCAACACTGCTGGCAACGATTTATCCTCATAGGCTCAGCGAACAGGAGGAATAGTAAAGTATGTTCTTGCTTTCTGATCACCGCAGACCAGCAACCCCTGTTTCCTAATGACTGGAGCAACAAGGCCAATACATCAACGACAGGACAGAAATCTGTGCAAATCCATCTAGACTATTAACATACTGTGATGGAAACACTAAGCTGACTCTGAATCATACCTGAAACTCTGCTTGCACCCTGCAGGACTGCGAGCTGTGGTAGAAAGCATGCGTGGTGGGAGGTGTCCCGTTGCCATGTCAACACAAAGCATGCTCTAGATCGGGCTTCAGTTGCCTAGGTTACCAGCTGGAGTCCGTAGCAGCGGAATTATTTTAAAAATATTTGTTTTTCTTTTAGCAGATGTCATCTGATTACCGCACAGTGGATCCCACACAATGACATAATGTTCATAAGAGAAAAAGGCTTTGAAAACATGACACTGACATGGGAGCTATTGAGAGTGGGAACATCTTTGGATTCTGTTCATGTAGCCTCATCAAAAGAAAATAGAAACAGCTTTAGCTAATCATTCATGTATTGGAGGTCGAGCATTTGGCATTTACACAAAGTCACAACCCTGAATGCCACGAACCCATCGGAACCAGTCACGACTCTTCAGATGGCCTGCTAGCTCGTTTGGCAGCTAAGCTAGGGCCACGGTTGGCGTTGTTAGCACTGTTAGCTTATAGCTATGGGCTCATTTTTTGCCATATTGAGAGTAGTGTGAAGGAAATGGATATTAATGTGCTATTAAGCACCTTTAGCGACCTTCATTTAACAATTTTTAAAGCTTTTTTTTTTACAGGATTTTCTTCTACTGAGATTCAAAATCTCTTTTTGCCGAAGGAGTTCTCTTTGCAGGGGCACCATAAACAAAAGGTCACATAAAAGAAAAGCCTTAAAACTTAACTTAAAACCAACTACTTGCTACTGCAATTTCTACGAGTGTCCGGAGTCAGCGTAGAGTGTTACTTCGTACCCGCCGTGTCAGCATCTAAATCAGAACAATGTCTATTGGCAGCTTAATTTAACTTTTCCTCTGCTCTTCACATACTGTACACACAGTGTCTTTTTTACAAATGAACAGCATCATTGTAAGTATATCTATATATAAGAACATAACTTAAACATACAGTATTTACAACAGCAACAATGATATTGAGGCAAAGTGCCAATGAGGGTTTTGGTGGTTTTGGCATTCCGGAGTCTGAACAGTTTGGCTGTGACGGTTCTGCAGTGATCCTTCCTGCCCGTTTTCTGAGTTCTCAGTAAAATGTAAGGCTTTTATAAAAACGGCACTATACTGTGTGAACTGGTTTTCCCTCTGCAGAATAATACATGCCGCGATGAGGGGGCCTCTGGTTGGAGGTGGGAAATTGACTCCAGCCACTCACAGCCCATCCATTTGTTCAGTGCCTGAGAGAGCCAAAGCAGTGCATCAACAACCATCGCTGCACCCGCGTCTGTGTGGGTGTACGAAACACAGTGTGTGGGAGGAAGTAGGTAGGTGGGGGAGCAAGTAGGCCAAATAAAAGTCTCTCCAACTGTTGATGGTGAAGTCCGTCAGCCAGCCAGCGGGACTGCTGTAGGTGAGCTCGCCTCCGTCACCGCACTTCCGCTTCCAAGCAGTCGCTGTCACTTCTGCACTGACTCTTTTGTATTCGACTTAACGCCTTCCATCTGTGCTGGGGGCCTCGTCTCTCTGTGTAATCTCTGTTTTCAACTTGTCGTCCGGAAGTCTTTGTTTGACAGCTACACACCCACCCAGCCAGCCAGCCAGCCCCCTTCCCTCCCTCTCCTCCTCTGCCTCGACACTTTCGTAGTGCATCTTCTCTCTCATTTGCATTTGTTCCGCTTCCCCAAAGAGAAACGGTTTCCGTGAACGAGCAGTGAGGGATCGCGGAGGAACACATGCCTGGATGACAAAACATATGGCAACGTGCACCGCGGTGGGGGCTGTTGGGTGGAGGAGCTTTTCTCAGCTGGACTATTGTTGCTGAGTGAAGTACCGAGGGGGGAAAAGTGAGGTAAGGGAATTATGTGTGATGGTTTTATACAGTTTTGTGTTGCATCTGACTTTGGGAATGTTCTGGTTCATCGTTCTGTTATACTTACTTACACTTTGTGACGGCAACACTTCCTCTTTTCAAACATCCCCTCGTCTGACCTGTGTTTACATTTTCACGCCACCCGTTCCAGCCGGCGATTGTTCGTTCTGCAGGCAGAAGCTGCTTTTCTGTACAGTTTGACCTTTTTTCTTTAAACCCAACTGCTTGTGAAGTAAAACATCCTTTTGAATAATTGAAAAAAGTTGGGATGCACTGATACTGATATCAGGTCCATATCACCTGAAACAGCCAGATAGTGTATCATGACAATGGGGCCGATCTATTAAGTGCATTTATACACTTAATACATTGCATACTGGAATTTTCATTTTTCATTTTTCATCACGTTGGTGCGGTTAAATTGTATTCTCTGTTATTTTACCAATTTGCTAGTGCCATTTATAATATTAGCATTAAAAAGTAACATTACATTAAAGTATTTATCTTTTTAGATTTCATTTTTCAATGTTAGGAAAGCGATACTGCTTCTTAATTAAACACATGTATAGAAAGCACGCTCAGTATCGGCTGGTGCTAAAAGCGAGCGATCGCTATTAGGTCAAAAATCAGTTCATGAATCCGTTCATCTCCAATTAAAATGTCAACATGGAGTTGTGTATGTAGCAATATGACATAATAATATGTCTGAAAGGAAGTGAAAGCACATAACAGTAAGAGGGTGGTTCTTAGGTCAATATTCTCTGCAAATACACTGATGTTTTTAGTCCGGAGACTAACTTTTCCTAAATTCACAGCGCCAGAAAACTCTCCATCGCTCTCGCTGTACAACCAGCAAACCAGGCACTAGCTAACTGCTCCTCTGTGGGTGAAATAGGAAAAAATCGCTTGGAATATGCACGGAGGTGCAGCATCGCGGCAACAGGAAATCAAATTTGCTTGAGCTAATACCGTCTGCTTCCTCTTTTCTCGCCCTCATTATGCTCCGACTACATTTCTGCACAAATGTGACATTTGGACTGGAGAGAAAGCCGCCACGTGCCACTATGAACGTCAAGGGTGTGCCGTTTAATTGGCGGAGCCTGGTGACTGAGGCAATTGCTAATTTCCGCAGACACATCTCATCTGGGAGGATAAAAGCCTCTGATACAAAAATATCTGCTCTTACTCCCTGATGTCTTTCTCTCCACTCTCCGAAATCAATTCTATGTGTTTGTATGGATTTCATTAACAAGACATGCAGACTGGATTAAGCCATCTGCCCTAAAGGGCACTGTCATCACGGAACAGCTTCAGTGCATTTATTCATGCTCCTTTTTTTCTGTTCCACTGGGTGAGAACCAGACCTGTAAAACATCCCCGCTTAAAATAGATGGATCGGCCTTGTTTGATCTGAGGCAAAGCCAAGGTATAATACAAACTGTTCTTATCTCACAGGTAATTGGAGACCTGGCCCTGGAACATCACGACAGCAGCAAGGTTACCATGGAGACTGGCAAGCAGGGGTTGGCGAGTGCTCTAGTGCACATCGGCTGCGTCTCATCGCAGACGGAGAAAAGGACGGACATCCAGGCCCCGCTGACCGCCGTTTACATCCACGCGCTGCCCGCTCTACCAGCGCAGCCTCACCGCCTCCAGCCTCAGTCCTCAGCCGCCCAGGAGCCAGCCACGCTGCACATGGCCGTGTCGCCGCTTTACTCCAAGGAGACGCTCCCTTTCCTGACCCTCCATATTCCCGGTGGACTGCAGTCCCAGCCGGCAGCCGCCGTTCCTGCAGCCAGACCCAAGTCGGCCGGAAAACACGTGTGTCCTCACTGTGGGCGGGACTGCATGAAGCCTAGCGTGCTGGAGAAGCATCTCCGTTGCCACACCGGGGAGCGGCCTTACCCCTGCATCACTTGTGGAGTCTCCTTCAAAACTCAGAGCAACCTCTACAAACACAAACGTACTCAGGCTCATGCCCGCCTCTCGTCTGAATCAGAGAGCCTGGATGGCAGTTCCGGCTCTAGAGACACCTGCACCTCCAGTCTGTCGATGGATGACCGCAGCGAGGATGCGGGCAGCATGGACAAGGAAACCATATCAACTGCTGCCGAGATCGACTGTCCAGCCGTTCCTGCAAGGGTCTATTCTGTAAAAACACAAGGTTCTCTGAGTGGGCAGCATGCAATGACCTCTGCCGTAAATGAGACGGAAGCACAGGGGAAGGAAGTAGATAACCAGAAGTTGGAAAACAAAAAACATCTTCCCCTGCAGAGGCAAGAAGCCACACTGTTCTCTAAGCAGTGGGAGAACTCTGTATCCAAAGGGAAATCGCAAAGCCATGAGAGCACCGACTCGGGCTTCAGTGAGAGTAGTGAACACTACCCGAGCCCTGTCAGCGTTGTACCTGAGCACAGTATAGATTCTCCTACCGAATCAACCAAGGAGCACCTAAAAGAAACACAAACGCCGTCTGGACCAGGCCGAGGCGGACCAGTACCCAGATGCACCGCAAAGGAGCAGGAGCAGAAGACGCTAGAGGAACGCATATCTAAGCTGATTTCGGAGAATACAGCTGTGGTGGAGGACAAACAGCTGGAGCACGTAAGGCCGCGGAAGACCGTTCTGTCGAAGCAGGGAAGCATTGACCTCCCAATGCCGTACAGGTACAAGGACTCCTTTCACTTTGACATGAGGATCAGTAAGGCTCCGAATGTCGGGTCCCAGAGGAGCAGGCACGCCGGCTTCTACAGCTCTGTGCCCACTCCAGGATCCGACAGCGTGGAGCACGCCCCCCTCACCCGCAGCAACTCCCTCCCTTACAGCGTTGCCCTCCTGCCGCCAGAGAGGAGCAGCCCAGCCTCCTCCTTTCAAAGCGATTACGTAACCGCGCGGACGGGCAGCTGCGGCCAGATCAATCCAACAGGTTTCGCGGTGAAACCCGCGAACCAGCATCCGTCCGCCCACCGGCCACTGGTTCGGCAGACGGCCGTGGACGGCCACCACGCAACAGACGGCCTCTTCGCAAATTCATCTGCGGAGGAGGCGTGCGCCGGCAGCCTCGGCTGCGACGGGGATGGCCGTGACATTTGTGGCGAGCCAAGCAACAGAAAGTTTCGCAGAAAGAAAGCACAAAAGTTTGCATATGACAAGTGGTACATGTACGGGGGAGGGACATTCAAGAAGCTTTACAGCACCGAGAAGGGCAGCGGCGAGGGCGTCAGCAAAGGCAGGAAATGTCTGGCAAACAAGGAGCCCGAGGTCGATCAGAGCCCACCAAAGGGCTTAGCCGATCAGAAGGAGACGGCAACGACAATAAACTCCACAAGCAGCAGTGCGACAGCGTGCCAACAAGGCCTCTCGCCTGCCAAACTAAACCTCCTCTCTGCCGTGGATTGGAATGTCAAGGCTGGCCGGGTTCATGCATCATGCAGCTCTCTCAAGACTCCACTCCGGAGAAACCGGTCTTTGTCAGTGCTGCCGTCATCGCCAGTTGGATCATTGGTTAGCCAGCAGACCAGAAGCATGAGCCGAGCAGAAGAAGGGACGACGATTGAAAAACGCACCGACTCCAGATCGCGGTTATGTGGAGCCCAGGTTCCCTCAGACAGGAAAAAACAGAAAACTCACGATAAAATAATTTGCCCTCTGCAGATGGAAACCGAGCCGAGCACACCGACCCATCCCCGGCCTTTGGTCACTCGCAATGCGCCTCAGCAGGATACAAGTATCAGCTACATCAACCTGCAGAACAATCAAACACATACCCAGCTTACAGCAGCTCTCTTCCCATCGTGCATAATCTGTACAAATACGGCATCCGTCAGCTGCTCGCCTGCCATTTCCACATTTGCCCCTTCGAAGGCCAGCTTCCTGCCTAAGTACCAGCTAAAGTTACCTAATGCCGCTGAACCGGATTCCAATACTTCACTGCGTGTTGTGGATAAACTTCCAAGAACTGGTGCCCGCGCTATCACCTCTGCTCTGTCACCTTCTCTCACGGAGATGACCTCGCCCTCGGTCAAAACCTGGGATAAGAAATGTGACGTCCCCCGTCCAACTAGTGACATTATAAAGACAAAGGCTTTCAGTTCCACTCCAGACCAGCTGCCTTTGCCGTGCACAGCCGCACCGCTTTGTCGGGCTGAAATGCCAGCACTGAATCTGAATGCAACAGCTTGTTGTGCTGTCGTGCACAAGAAATGTTCGGCAACCACAATAACCACGACCTGCCTGCAAAATGTTCAAGCAGCATTATGCAGCACTTCAATACAACCCTCTCAATCTGCAGCGGGCTCCTTGTCTCTGCAGCTACCCACACCCGTTTCACAGACGCTCCCGCTCCTCCCTCCTACCACTACCATGGCCACGTGGGAAAATCCGCCGCCTGCTGCTGTCACGACGCCTTTTGCACCGGGTCCACCTAACCTCAACCCTCTGTCACTCACGCAACTCTCGGCTGCAGCAGAGCCTTCGAACAGCGCGTACACCAGCCCGGTCGTACCTTGTCACATAGTACCGTTTGACCAGATGCAGCCGGATGACCGGAACGTGTTTCACGTTCACACGGCGGACCTCCAGATCTGCTTTCAGATCATATCTGACGAGCAGCTGGCGCTCATTGAACCCCAGATTGAGAGGCAAGCGGGTAGGGTCGTCTCGCAGAGGCGTGATGCAGAAGTGATCGAGAACTCGCCTCAAAGTTCTGTTGCAATAGAAAGTAGCAACGATGGAAGGGGCTGTCAACCGCGAGGACATCAACAAGGGTTTGACCAAAGTGAATCTTCACTCGACACAAAGAGACTAAAACCTCAGCTGTCTGCACAATTTGGGGCGGCGGAGCCAAATCTCCACCTGGGCGAACGAAATGACTCCCCTCGGGAAACGGAATCAGCCCGATCTACACACGCCGGAGCCGCGCCGCTGCGCCCACACACATACGATCCTGTAAACACGGCCGCGGTGACTCAGAGCTGTATGGGCGATGTTGGGTCAAGTGCTGCTTCGCTCAGAAGTGCAGAGTCAGAAGGGAGCCGAACCTCTGAGCGGGAGCGAATCCTTTCTCTGGCCTGTTGTGCAGAGGAGCAACCTCTGCCGGACAGAAGGGTCAGCCGAGGCAAAGCAACCTCTCAAACCGTCTCCGGCCAACGCGAGCTCGGCGAGACCCGTCTCTTGCCCGCCGTCTGTCGTGCAGGCACAGTCAGAGCCACGGACGAAGCCTCTGCATACAACAGCAACAGGCCTGAAAGGGCGGAACCCGATCCCCCTCTGCAGGCTGGACTCGGTCAGGCCTCCAGCGCTTCATGTACTGATGAACATCATGGGTCTGTGTCCTCATTTCCCATCAATAAATGCAAGTTGAACCCCCAGACGTCCATCTGCTGCAGCAATCCAACGGAAACCGCTTTATCAGAGGCTCCGGATTCATGGAAACGTGCAAACACAGGATGTGACAGGACGGTGCAGCCAGATGACTTTGTCTCTTCACAGCAAGTGACTGAGGATGAAATCCGCTCCCCTCACCCAGAGCAACAACTCGCTCAGTTTATGTCAGTGTCTAAAAGCAGCCCAAGTATTCAGAGCCATCCTGCAGGTATATCTAACTACTTGGATTCTATTAAGTATTCTACTGTGAATCATATGCAGAGCAATATGTCATGTTGTCATCTTGGAGACCAGAACATTGGATTTAAAGGCTCCCAATACAGAACTCATGCACTTATTGTAAGTCGTTTTGGATAAAAGCGTCAGCCAAATGAAAAATGTTAACATTTACTATGAAGGTAAAAAGCTTAATTTAAGGGTTGTTTTCTAGTGTCCACGATTCTACGATGAAGAAATATAACCCTAAATATAAAGTATGGACATGGATTCCGACGTGTCAATCAGGAACCACTTTTACCCACAAGGTGGCAGCATGTGATCAGTGCTTCTGCAGAATGGAGGCCTCGTCCTAACCCGGTTTTGTGTACGCAGAGAATCCCCAAAACCTGCAAATGGCACTACTGTTGAGGTGTCCTCAGTATTTGCCGTTGTCAATCCACCCTTCTTTGAATCCTTTGAATTCTTTGCAAGTCCTGGAAACCCAGATTATTTAATTGAAAGGAGTTTACACAAGTTGCAAATGAGACATTCTCTTATACAATATGTACCAATTCCCATAACAGAAATCTGATCGTAGGAAGAAGCATGTTTCAAAATGACCATTTTGTTTTGTTGACGTATTAGAGTGAAAAACCTCTGCAAGGGGAATTAAATAATAAATAAGTATATTTTGGCCATGTTATTAGAAATAGAATAAATCAGGCCTTGAACAAACGGAGAATAAACAGAGAATACAGATGGACAATACTACAAATTATATGTACCCACGTTTCTCCACGTGCGAATAGGCGCTTCCTTCTGTTAGCGTGGTGTCTGACGACATAAATAATGCATTGCTTGCTGTACTTTCATTCATCACGATGGTTTATTTAGCTTCGACTCCATTTTCTCCTCCTCCAGGCCTCATGGGGGGATGTGCGGCCCAGAAGGAGCTGCACGCTGCGGCACGCGGAGGGACGTCAGGGAAGCCGGGCAGCCCAGACGGGAGGCCGAAGCAGAGCCGAGAGGCCGGGAGGACAAACCCACGGCGCGCGGAGGGGGAGGATGAGGACGGACGAGTCCACAGGAACAAGGCCGAGTCCACCTGCACGTACACACGTCCGCCAGATATGTTGGAGGTGAGATGAAATGAATCCAGTCAACGCAACGCTAGATGCAGGTTACATTTCACACCTTAAGAAGACCTGTAAACCCAGAATAGATCATCTGGACCGGGGACCAACCCTTAAACATGTTCGCTGTGTGTGTGTACACACTCCTCACTACACAGTAGATCCTGGGGAGAGACACCGTAATGATTGCGTGTTTTTTCTCCTGAAACAGCTGCACCACAATAAATATGTGATCCCCAAGCAGCCTTCGGACAGAGAAGAATGTGGATTGAGGGAAACAAAAAAAAAAAAAAAGTGAACTAGACGAAGCAAAAGCAGATGGATGATTGTCGCCTCGCCGCAGCGCTAAAAAGCAGTTGAGACCAGCTCTCGGCATCAGTTGATGGATTCATGTCGCCGGGCTTTGCTCTGTGATTCGAAAAAAAAAACCTGATAACCGGGTGGGTGCGTTAAGCTCGGCGGTATTTGAGCTATGCATGAAGATAATGCGGAGGGTCCCGAGGACGGGGACAAGGGCCGTGTTATTGTCGCGGTATGACGGTGAAATTCTTGTCTTATTAACAGGAAGAAGACAGGGCGGTCAACTCGGGTCCCACCAAACTCTCTTGGCCGTCCGAGCAGCATCTTCAGCATTTTTCCCACACGCACTCAGGAATGTGTGAGTGGCCCCCACGGAGCCCCCAGCGAGCGCAGAGCCACCTCGATTCACAGGTGGACACCAACAGCTTCTGTTTCTCACACCAATACTGGGAAAGCAGCAGCAGCCGCATCCATAACCAGCAAGCCTCATGGGAACCCAGCGCCAAAGCGCCGGCCCAATTAGCGGAGGCACCAAGCGGTTTCTCGCGCGGCACGTCCGCCCCTCGGCCTGCGGCGGCGCTCCCGCACCGGGGCCGAGAGCGGAGCAGCGTCAGCGCGCCTCAGCGAGGGCGGGCAGACGCTGAGTGGGCACCGGGGAGCCACCAGAGCCCGGGTGTCTCGCCTGATTCTTGTTCAAACTGCAACGTGCTGGATGACAACGGCGGGCCGCCAACGCGGCGTCTCCCGTCGCCACCACCCGGTGGCGACAACGACGCCGAGGACGGGTCTTCCTTCTTTCCGGGCGAGGACGCGAGCGGCGCGGCGAGGCCGCTGCAGAGGTGCCTGGACGGCACAGGAGACATCAGCAGCAGCGACGATGAAGGGAAGCTCATCATCGAGCTTTAACCCAACACACACACACACACACACACACACACACACACACACACACACACACAGCTGCCATTTGGAGTTTTTGCTGCTACAGATTTATAGCTTCACCAGTGAAGCATAGCTGGGAACTACGTGTGTACTCCAAAGAAGTCAAAGTATGAATTAAAATAATCAACACTGACGATTTTATCTGTTACTTTCAATAGTGCATTTAAAGGGAAATGGGTTTGCAAGAATGTCCCGTGGTGCCATTAAGTTGAATTACACGCTGAGTAGGAAACACTGCTTAGGCGCTTCCAAGTAGGAATTCCAAGTCTGACACACAGGAATTTCAATATCTCCCACGTGGAGCCGAGAGAGGCGGCCGTCACTGAACCGAGCACACGACGTCGCACGCAGTGACGACCCGACACTGACGACAAGGGGGCCGATTGTGAGGGTTAAAGGCCGTAAAGTCGTTTGTATATTCTGTCACTGTGTATGAGATGAGGCACTAAGGAATGAACTGCTGTGGACGCAACATCAGCTGGGATCTGAAGGTCACACAATAACACAAACAAAGCGGCGTCCATTTGCTGAGAACAATATAATCACTGTTATAATACGCATTGTATTATAGGTGCAAGTTACTTCAAGTGGTCATAGCTTTAAATAACGTGGGTGTTTTTTATACTTACGAAGCAAACACACAGGTTATAAATGTGTCTTTGTGTCACTTAAATCAAACGATGAACACTGATCATTACATTGTCAAGAATAATAAACAACCAGGACATTTGTCATCCTCTGTATTTATATAACGCCTTGTCAACGCGGGCCTCATATAAAATGCTGCCAAATGTTGCACTACTTCCTCTCTGCTTGTTCGTGCTTTCACACACACACACACACAGTCATTCCTGTTGTTCTGCACACACTCACTGGCATTAATTGCACTCTGTATCATCCTGTAACCTCCTGCAGACAGCACCTGTGTGTGTGACTCATGTGCACATGCTGTTGGCTGAGCTTTGTCGCGAGTGAGCACCTATGATTAGACACGGACGGTCACGGCGGCAGGAAGCGGGTGCATGTGAACGACCCGCTGCAGAATTCCACAGCGGTTACTCACGCTGACTCGCTTGTCGACCATTAGTGGTCATAAAAGGTTGTGAACTTGACAGGTGTGCAAGTTCAATCATCATTGTGTTCATTTTCGAATGGGATATTCTTGTAGCAGAAAGCTGACAAAAAAAGAAAGAATTAGTCACAACTTTATTGCACCTCGTTTTGATTGTTCATGCATTTAGAAGCTGCTTTGAAGAGCTTAAAATGTTGTGGTGATAGTGGTGGTTCATGTGAACTAAGAGCAGTAAGATCTGCGCTCTGGAGTCTAAGAGTGTTTCCTGTGGACCTCCGTGATTTCATCTGCTTTCACCAGAAGCATTAAGAATAACTAAATGGAAAATCTTCTCGCTGATTTTCTTTTTTTCTGATGCAGAACCAGGATTAAAGAAGACAAAGAAAACAAGTTCTCACCATCTACTCCCCACATCCAGTTGAAACATGTTTGATCCATTTAAAACGCATGTATGGTGTATGAGGACACAGCAACACAAAGGCTTGATGAGCGTCGTGAGTTCTCTGATTTGTTTGCACCATGCAGGCCTCTGCGCGGCCCAACACGGATTCCTTAGAACGGCGGAGAGCCAATGTCAGACAATCATCACCATCAATGTACATGTGGGGATCTGATGGAGAATTAAAGAATGCACTGAACAAATCCCAAGTTGAGCAACGGCTGAGTGTCGTACAGCCTTTTAGGGTCGATCAAAGCAAATGCTTGTGAACGGGCCAAAGCTTTAGTGCTCAGCGTTATTCTCACAATGTCACGGCCGGCTGAGATTTGCCCAGAAAAAGTCTAAAATCAGGCTTCCAACCATCTGTGGAATTTGAGATTATACTGCATTAAAAGGTGAGGTTGGCTGTGTTATCTCTGCTTTCCATCACCAACAAATCTCCCCCCAAAAAGACAAAAAACATCAGGGAATTCATAAAAGCAACAAGTGCCGTTAAACTCCACTACCCTGTAAAATACAGGGGCGTATATCTTTTCCATTGACTTCCAGCATCTAATCTATCTAATGCATTCATTACCTGTATTGTTTCAGGCTGTGCAAGAGATGTATTTTTCTTTGTATCAATGCATTTATTTTGCATCTTGCATAATTGCCTGAGGTGTGTGGACGCCAATAACAGAATGCAGCTGAGGTTGGAACTTCTCCCTCTCACATCTCCGCTCTCTTGTCTGTCACACACGCTGTGTGTTTTCGAAGGTCACGCCTGTGAGACATCGGTGCAGTGGACACGACTTAAAGTACAGCACTTCTTTCTTTTTTCTTTTCTGGTACCCACATTCATAGTCCCCAGAGGATGAATTACAATCACTTTGAGCCCTTTGACTTTCCATCCAGTGCTGTCGTCACGGGCAACGTTTCTTTTTGTCGCTGACATTCGGCCAGCGAGGTGAACGCTGGCTGGAAGGGAAGTGGCGTCTGTGCTTTGGCACTGCAGGCAGCTGTTTTTAAACACGTAGTCATTCAGAGTAATCCATTGTTATCGGTGCGGTTTTAAGGAACAGTTTTTGACCATAAAGTCTGTCTTCTCAAGGGGACATTTTCTTCTCACCCTTTCACACGGCACAGCTTAGCATGCATGACGGTGCTCATTTCTACGACTGATATGAGTCATTTTGAAAAGCTGCGTCTCAGCAGTAAACGGCCTGATGAAAGCATTGCACATCTGCATCTTGTCTTTCATGCCTCAGCAAGACCAATGTTGTTGAAAATACCTTCACGCCGAGTAATCAGTTTGTCCCTGTGAGTCTTGGTGTGACGCTATAAAGTGTGTCTATAAATACCAATAAAGGATTGATCACTATGATCAGGAGAAAAATATTTAATTTTTAAAACGATGTGGTATGTGTGAGCTAGCAGCGGCTTGTATGTCGTATGGAAGGAGTTCATTTCTATGCCGCCTCAGCATCCGGAGACCCAAACGTGTGTGGCTGTGGCCTTAGCAAGATTATTTTCCCAATGGATTTATGTGGAATGGGGGGCCATGCATTCACATTCTTTTCTGACATGAGAAATAAATTCCTCTCTTATCCAGCCTGCCCGGCACCCCAGATTCATTACACCAGTGAGTCTTTTTTAAATACCGCCGGGCTCCAAGGTAAGACCCTTGCTGTGAGAAAAACAATGAAGATAAGATACACGACCGGCCATTTGCTCAGTTGGTGGAGAACTACGGCACCGCAATCTTGAGGAGGACACCGTACCGCCCACGACGTAACGGCCGAGTGGAGAGGTGAAGGACGCTGGAGACGCTCCCAGAGAAGGAGAAAGCCAACTGGAAGGAGCCAATAAGCAAGCTCCATTTATGCACAAATAGCCTCCCCCCTCTTGTTCTGGATATCGTCCTATATTCCTTCCCAGCTAACACCAGAGACTGGAACCCTCAGATCACCAGCAATACATGAACAAATGACAACTGAAATGCAAGGACATCTGTAGAGAGAAAGTCAGATACTCTGTCTTGGAATGAACACCAGGGGTGGAAGACTGTGTTGTGACTTGGGAGACAGGAAGAGTTCTGTTCGCCGACCGGTGTCCACTCACAGTCGGGGCAGGGACGTGGTGGCAGGTGTCAGTTCAATATGAGAAAAGGTGATAGAAGGCTCTCTGCACATGTTGCATTCCTGTCCTGCCCCTCTACACTGACAGAGGTTTGTGCTCTGAAAAGCGGTTTTGCAGGAGGCATTTTCGGAGACCCCCGGAGGAACTCCCAGTGAATCTCCAGATGCATCTCGAGTGACATTTAACCTACATTAACCTACCCTTTCTTATGCAAAGAAAGTGGTGCGGTGCTTAGCACTGTCGCCCAAGAGCAAGAAGGTCCTGGATTCCAACCCCCCCCCAGCACCTATGCATGTTCTCCCAGTGCCTGCGTGGGTTCTCTCTGGTTACTCTGGCTTCCTCCCACAGTCCAAAAACACATTCTAACATGTCACATTTTAATGATGTAGTAAGACGAGTTAGTTGTCAAAGGTTTAAAGTTCCTATAGGTGAATGTAACCAGAGAAGTAAAGCAGGAAACACTGTGCTTTATTTTGTAATTTCCTGCCTCTCCTGTCGATGGATTAACTTCCCTTACTGCCCTGGTGGGTTTTCTCCCAATATTTGGGTAGTCCTCACTCCTGTTGCCTTATCCTGCTCTCGCTTCCTTCCCATTTTTACAGTTTTACTTTGTTTTGAAACGTGATCTGTGCTTGAGTACTTCTGTTCCTGGACACTCTTCACGAACACTTTAGGTCTTTCCTTCCATAATTTAATTTTTGAGAGTAGTGAAAATGATTGTTGGTTTAGGTTCCTCAAATGTTCAAATTAAAATATAAGGAAGGGGAAACAAAAGCTACCACAAATGTGTTAATTGAGGCACAAATCCCCCTTTAAATAAAACCAAACACACACATTTATTCTGAAATATCTGAAAAAATATTTATGGAGGTTGACCTTGCTTCTATTCATTTATTGGGTTGAGACAAATATACAGCATGAATACCAATATGCCAACAAGGTAAATAATATATATTTTCATCTGATGATGATATTTCTGAGTAAATGTGGAAAAAAAATCCTTCGCAATTCTCTCACTTACTTTTCACGTCCTAACTCAACACCAGTCGGATTTCACAGCAAACTTCTCTTCATCTGACTTTCTCTGAGCCGTGTTTGTCACTTACCAAGTAAAAATCAAATAATGGTGAAATTAATATTAATATTTCTCTACTGATCTGTGATATGAATATAATTCACATATGTTAATTGGACCATGATTTAATAAATTATCATCATGCTATATTGAGGACGACTTAGTGTCAGTCTTTGTTTCATCCGATTTCATATATTATAATATTTCAGATTTTTATCGACTTTACTCAAAAGCTCTTTCCCAGCATTCTCAAGCCCAGTGTCTGACGTGTCTGACTGGTACGCTTTTATTCTGAAGGCTCAAAGCAGGAAGTCGCTGAGCCGCGCGCTCGCATTACCCCGCGGAGAGGAGGAGGCGCGCCGCAGAGCCGCGGAGCCGCAGCGCGGGATGGAGCACTGAGCAGCTCACCGGACACCTTCTCATCCCCGGATGTTCCCCGTGTGATGGCGCACGCGGGGCTTTTCTTTGTCGTGGTGGTGACGGCATCTCTGACAGGCGGTGAGTAGGAGACCTAGTGTTTTATTCTTTAATAAAATACACTTTAATGAGGTCACTTTATGAGCACAGATCCAGATTGTATATTACTGACAACAACTTCCAAATAACAGAGGTTAAGATGATAACAAATGCACAGAGCCCTTTTTAGCCCATTCAATAACTAGCTGTGAGACAGAATAATGATGCACAGCCACCTGTTTGATATTTTTACGTTTTAATCTACCCCAGTTAATAATCTATATTACTATCATAATTACCATAATAAAAGACTATAGATATTGTCTGGATTTGTTATATTGTAATATCAAAAATGTTTCTGATGTATTTTACACCTGCTGATATCCACATTACAACAAAGTGATTAACACTCAGGATGACAGGATCTTAACTTACACATCAATAAATAAATTGCTACGATATTTTTTAATGTCCTTTCCTTTCACATGGCCGTCAACCAGCCGGTTCCTCGTCCAGCAAGGATGTGAGCCAGAGGAAGGAGGTGGAGACGGCCGCGGTGGAGCTGCTGCGGCCCGGCGGCGTGGATGGGGCTCCGGCCCGCTCCGCCTGCGACCCCCGGGCCGGGAGGAGGCGCTGCAAGAGGTGCACGTGTTACACTTACAAGGACAAGGAGTGCGTGTACTACTGCCACCTGGACATCATCTGGATCAACACGCCAGAGTAAGAGCCATCCTCGCACATGTTGCATTCGGTGTTGCGATTGCGTTGCCATGGTGATTTATAGGGATGCAATTATACAGCTAATGATGTCATTAGTGATGCAGTGCATTGATTCACTGCATCACTAATTCAGCCTGCTGTACTGGGCTTGTGCAAACTATTACCACGTCAGGAATCAGGAAAACTGTTTTATTGCCCTTTCAGTTATCGAGCTGCTGCTTTGGCTGTAAGTGTTGTGAGTGTCGGCCCGGGACGTCGGCCTTCTACGATGTAGTGTGATGTCATCGGCTGGTGATCCACAGGCCTTGTGAGCAGTTTCACGGGACTGTGGTGAATACTCTTCACGGCTGATATCCAACACACCCCAAAACAATCAAGATTAATAGAACTACGAGTATGAGGGGGAACGCATGTGTTTTTGGGGTGAGCTGTTAAGTAGTGACAGCATTTTGAGGGTGAGCTCATGCTCAGGATTTACTCATTTAGTCCCTTTGAGCGTCCCGATGCTTTAAAGTAGGAGTGGAGAGCAAGCGAGAGCAGCGCAGCGTGGTTCCTTCGCTGCTCCACGCTCCTGCAGGACTCGCAAAGGGAAGATAATTCAAACCCTTATGGACTTGATCAGACCAACAGAGACGTCCCAGGAGGACATCAAGGAGCCGCCGTCCTGCTGTGTGAGGGCCATGTTTTTGACGTATACTGTCTCGTAAATCGTATTCATTTTTCTTCCTTTGTTGGCCGCGTGTTTCACCGTGTGGGATGAATCAAGACTTCGGTATGAAAAAACAAGCTCTAGAATCTACTCATTAAATTACAGGTAACGATTTGCACTTGGTTTGTTTTGGTAGATTTTACCAACTAAGATACACTAAAAGTAATGAGTTAAAGTCTTTATACACTTTATACATCTGATTACTTAAAAAAGGAGGTAATATTAACTCTCGCGCTCGATACCTAATAATTGTTATTAAAAATTGGACCTTATGACTTATTAACCATTACTTAATCAGGGAAGGTAAACTTTACTTTAAAAATATATTTTATTAGGCTGTAGTTGTTACTGTCAAAAATAGGTAGTGTAGGTGGAAGTTACCCATAATTATACATTTGTTTGCTGACTAATACACTAATAATACAATACAGTAAAATGTAAACGATTTGCATGGGGAATAATTATTAAAGGTTCACTTGGAAAATGAGCCTTTTGTGTTGGAATCGATCTGCTGTTGCCTCAGCGAACCCGCATAAGTGGTTGAAGATGAGAACAAGAGGGAGAATATATTGTATGTGCTGATTTCCAGAGCAGAAATCTGAACATGCATAGAGTCATGTTCAATGTTTTTCCCCGAGCACATTTTAGATCAAACTGGCTCCCTTTACGAGTCTCTTCATTTGTAATACTTCACAAATAAACACCTCTTTTATTATTAAAAGTAAAAAGCTTACGTTGGGCTATAAAGGAACTACGGTCACATGACTTTACGTCCCCACCAGTGAGCTACACACATTTACACACTTTTTAAAGACCCCCGAAAGCTTCTAAATTCACGTGGGGAATTAACTGGCACTTTATATGAATTAATAAAAATGTACTGGTTTTAGGAGACAAGGAAACCAGAAGTGCCAAAACGAATACTCACTGTCCTTCAGCACAACATGAAACCTGTCCACGCTGCCGGAGTTCCATTATGCTCACATTCCTTCCAGGCCAGCATGAGGTTGGGGCTGGACAAATGGCCCATGTCAGGCTCCTGGTGAACATCTGGTGCCCTGGCTGTTGACACTAGTCTGCCCTTGTCAGAGGCTTTTTTTTTTTGGCCAATTCAGCATTTTGGAGAGAAATCCGTCCGATCGGCAGCTTAGCCTCAGCGAGGGAGACGGAGGCGATGAAAGCTGGCCAACGAGTACAGAAAGAGAACGGAGCTCCTCTTACTCCTCATCTTCTCTCATGCGTGGACATCGTGTTGTCTGCTGCGTGCGTCCGGCTGTGTTCCAAAACAGGTCTTCTGGTCTGAAGGACGAAAACTGCCCACCGTCACCTGGCGCGGAGGGTTATTTGCTCTCGATCCTACTTGGTTGCCGTTTGACGGCCGGCCTGCGGTGCAGATTGATGGGGACCGGCCCGCTGACCTCCACCTCCAGTTGAAAGTGAAGACGTATGGGGCAGATGCAGAAATGCCTCCAGAAGTGCAGCTCGGCAGCAGCTGCTGGTGACAAATTGTCGGATGTGATTGATGCGGCGCTTGGTGTAGCTCCGCTAGATAAATCACAGTGAGGCGGAGTCGGGGTCAAATGACTGTGTCCCTTTGGCGTATTTGGTGGAGGTGGAAACGAGGTTGCGTCTGTGTAAGATGAGTAGCTTCTCTAACGCTTTGATGTCATCAGTCGGAGTGTCCCTCAAAGCCTCAGAAGAGCCGATCGTGAGTGAACCAACCTTCTGTGGGATTAAGTTGATACGAATGGGATCAGTAGAAAGAGCAGGATTGACGTGTGCAATGTGGGATGTCTCGTGCTTACAGATCAACAAAGCCAGTTTGGAACTTTCCTCAACTTTAACTTTTTGCAATGCCTTCAAAAGAAGGTAAAAAAAGGTTTGAAGAGCACTTTGCATTCTTTCGCTCAACCCCCGTCCGGCCCGCAGGGACACATGGCGACGTAACACGATCCGTCCTTTCTCTGCAAGTGCTTACTCCGATCCCAGCATTTGGACAAGGGACATTATTCTTGTCCGAGGTTCGTCCACTCCCAGTGCTTTAGATGTTAACGGCAATTACCCGTCGCGCAGACGACCCCTGAGGCGCTTTGTACTGTCATCAGATCATCATACGGAATGAACTCTGGCGCTGCTCTCTCTGAAGGAAACCACGATGACACATAACCGTCTGGAGACGCGTCCCCGGTGCCTTCACCAACGTCCCCGCGACCCTGATGTGAGGAGAGGTCGTGGAAAACTAATGGCCGGCTGAATGCTCTGGTTTGTGTTCCATCAGCTGACGTCAGCTTTGATATCTACCCTGCCTCTGATGATGAGGACGTATCAGGGTTCTATGGTTACACGGCGGTGCATTCAGGCAGCGTTGTTCAAGAGAACCCCCGCTGAACTCCGCCGGTAGGCCGGGCGCGGGACCACTTTGATGTTCAGTTGGGGGGCTTTTTTTCCTCCATCGTGGCTCGCTTTGTCTTGGTAACAATTTCCCAGCCTCGCGGAGGACGAGGCTCGAGAGTCTCACCACACGCATGCTGCGCTTCCCATCAAACGCTCCGTTCCTTGCTGTGCTCACGCGCTGCCTGTGGAGTCTGGGAACCGGGAAGCGGCCACACGTGGCTGCTCGTAGAGACGCGCACTTCTCTGCAGGAGAACAAGAAAGGGAATGGGAGGATTATACAGCTATGAGTCAAGAAAGGAGGGATAATCGTCTGGTAGTGTTATCATAGTAAATAAATGAGTCTTAAGTTGTTATTTGACCATTAGTGGCCACAAAGAATAGCCAGTTTTCTCTATTTCACTCGAGGGAAAGCTGAGATCAATAAATCTGTTTAATCGGCTGGTAGTAAGCGGCCTCGTACCGTTTAACCAACTGTCCAATCTATATTTTGTCTTTGTCGATCCCCCGATGAATGACGGCTGACTGCTCTCCAAACAGGAGCTTTGGTTTCATATTCGGCAAAGAAAATAATAATTGCCAAATAGTTGCATGAGTTCACCAGCTGCCATCTTCTCTTCCCCTCGCTGAGAGACACAGAGGCAAATACAAGTATGTTTAAGCATTATTTTAAGATTCAGAGGGGTCTGCATATGCAATGCAATTGCTCTGTCCTGCCGCTGTTTACTGTGTCCTCAGATTGGACATCAGATCCAGATTTACTTCACGTTTCAGGTTTCCCTCATTTACGCTGCAAGCGAGAGCCTCGCTCACGCTTTACTTTGTGTCAGCAGCCGAGGGGCTGATGCGCCAACACACGTGTACGTGGACCAACAGACACGCTTTGGATGAGCTGCATTCTTTAGGTAGTTTGAAGTGTGTTTTATAACCAGAACAAAAGCCAGATGTGCAGTCGGTGTGCTAATGTTTTTTGGCCCGGCGGGAAAAGGGGCCTGAAATAGTCGGCTAGATCTTCACCGACACATTGAGCTGTACTGGCATCGCACCACACGCACTACGAATACTTTTCAAACCTTGAACCTAGTGGAAGGTACGTATTTCAATTCAAAACACTCCTCCAAACAATCCAGCAGTTTTTGCTTTTGTTGTGCCGCAACATGCTGCTCCCATCTTCAAATATCAGAAACAACTGTGAGTATAATGCGGCCCAGCGTGCGTCACCCCGTCTGCCACCAACGAACGGCCCCGAGACGACCCCGTGTGAACATCGCGAGCAACGCAGCGCGTGCAGGACTCATCTGTGCGTGTGTCCTCCCTGCAGGCGCACCGTCCCGTATGGAATGTCCAGTGACCGCGTGAGACGCTCCCCCCAGGCGGCGCGGCGGCGGAGGGGCGGGGGGAGCCCCCGCTGTGCGTGCACGCGGCGGAGCGACGCTCACTGCAGCGGCTTCTGCATGGACAGGTAACTCCGCCCCCGACCCGATGCTTTTGAATCCAGAAAACCAACCCTAACAAACGATGTGCACTTTTAAAATTGTATTAAAAAGCTTTTATTTGTGTTGGAGTTTGGACAACGGACGAATCTTTTCTCCCCACCAGGCAGAGGAGGCCGACGCCATCGGCGCCAAACGCAAACGAGACTTGGGCCTCTCGGCGCAGCCGCCCTGAAACGGACAAATAAGTGAGATGCGACACGACCGCCGGCGTCCTGCGCACAAGCCGTCCCTCATTACTCAGCGCCTCCCCGTCCGACTGACGGACGCACAACCGCCATGCTGCTCGCACGGAAACACGCAAAGCAAAGGTCACCGGCCGGCGTCGGCTCGGGCAGGTGTGCTCATTATTCTGTCCCAGCTGAGGAATGGCGCACGTGGCTCGCCCGGCTCCACCGTGACAGACCGCCGGAGTTCCCACGCGTCCCCGAGCTGGAGGCCGCTGGCGTGCGACCCCCCCCCCCCCCCACCACCTCGTCGGCGTGTTGAAACCATCCGTTCTCCACAAATCCCCCGTGTGTCGCAGTCACTGACACGTGCAACATATCATCCTTTTTTATTGGTTTCGACAGGAACAGCCTGAATCCTCCACAAGGGACTTTTATTACTCCAGCCTTGTGAATAGGAAATGTGTTTCAATATATAGGCTCTAAATTATGAAGATGATAACAAGATGTTGTGCATAGAATTATATATGTGATCACGCTAATCGCTATTTTCTTCATTCGTCTGTTTATTATGTTTTAAACTCCAACTCCTTTCCCCATAAACCGACCATCTGCCCACCGGCGGCCTTTACACGCTCGACCAAACGCTGTGCATATTATGCAACTAGGGTTTTACTTATGGAAGGTAGAAGCTGGTACGCTGTGAATGGGAAATAGCAAATTTGCTGATGTTTGTCTTGTAAACAGTTGAATTGGAAGCTACAGAACCTAATAGTTAATTATACAGTTTAAATGAATGAAAAGAACTCACCCACATTCTAAAATCCCACATGCATTCATCTTCAGGCTGCTGTCTGTTGGGATCACAGCCGCAATCTGCCAACAAGTCACATCGCTTTTTTAAAGAAAAAACACAGATGAAGTCAAATTCTTCGTTCTCCATCGCGTCACTCGTGCACCGCGGTGATAATCACGTGACGCCTCCCCGTGTCCCACGTTGACAGGGGCGCACAGACCACGTAGAGGCAGTGGTTCCGTGTGTGAAAGGATTTCTTGCTGTGTGACTCTGATCCTTTATTTAGAGCTGGACGGTACGATCAGATATGTGTTTTTTGAGCTGCAAACCAAATATGATGCATCACTGTTGGTGTTTAATATTGACTATAGTATTGTTAATATTGAATATCTTTACAAATGTACTGTATAAAAATCGATATTTAATTTTCTGAAAACCCTTTTTATGCCTTTGTTTAGTATTTTCAAGCGTCATGGCGGGTGTTTTACGCTGCGGTTGGAATTACATTTAAAATGAAAATACATCCTGAACCTGGAAAAATAATATCTGCTAAACCACGTTTGTTTGATCAGAAGCGACGTTGACACCCGAAGCGAGTTGAAATGATGAGAAACACTTAAACAGTCAGAACGTTCTGCACTATGCAGGCGGGACGACGATCTGTGGTTTTTATATTGTTTCTACTCGTGAATTACAGGATCAAACTATTGGCACTATACAATATGAATGCTTTGAATATTTTGGCCACTCTAGTACTACTATACTACTACTAGTCACACAATGTGTATTAAAAATCATCATTAGGAGACGCATTGTAATCATACACAATGTTGTACAATAACTTTTATTCACAGTTTATGGTCATTATGGCAATTTCACCCTGATTCTCTATTCATTTTCAAGTACAAATACAGTTTTTTTTTTATATTTCATATTGCAATAACTTGTTTTAAGTGACCAAGGGAACAGTTATGCAGATCCTATGCACTGATGATTCAGCAGCCATGCAGGGCTCTGAGCACGATGATATCTGCTCCATCCAGCAGCAGCAGATGATTCGATCCCTGTTTGCTGTATGTAGTGTGACACGGACCAGATTCCACCTACCGGACCACACGTGATGTGGTAGGATGAAAACTGAATGACTGGATCTGTTATTTTGTTCCTCCCCATCTGGCATTTGAACTGAATTTACTTTAGTGAATGTATTAACCTGCTATGTGTGACTTAAGCTGCAGACGAGCTCAGTATCTGGATACATTATAACTGGTCCAAAGCTTGTTTTTAAATGAATAAAAAGACTTTCATCATCTTTGTTGGTGCAGTTGGTTTCAATGTGTGACAGCTGGAAAATGGCATTGGGGATTTTAGACCCCTGGAAGAACTCACCACTGACTGATGCTGGTTCAAACAGCTCATGCTGACCTGCCTGATTAAGTAGAATCTGAAATATTTAACGGTCAAAGAAGCGATTGTATAATGGTGGAGGAGCACAATTTATTTACTCCAATATATTTAAAATAAAAGCCATTTGTGCTGATCATTAGTTGACGGGTATTTTAAAAAATAGCTAAACCGATTTCAAAATGAATTATTCACACTACAACTCCCACATTTTGTCATTTAAAGGCTTTTATTTTGTAGGAACATATAAGTAGGCTTATCATCAGCATTAACAGCTGCCTTCCCCTTTGCTCTCCTCTGGGGGGATGATAGAGACCTCCGTTTGACACACTGCCGGGATGCGCTCCACGTCTCAATGAGATCAGAACCCGATGTGAGACACAGGCCACCTCAGCATGCGGTCGGCTTCATCGCATTCCGATGCGCGCCAAGTCCAATATCGGAGCGTCCAACTTGGAAGGTCGCTGCGCCTCAAGCGTGATCGGATGAGACAAGCCGCATAACCGCGGCTACACACAAAATGTTCTGTAACAGACATGTCGGGGACGGAAACCCTTAATGTGCCGGACATCTTCAATGAATGAGTTTGAACTCATCAACACAGTATTACACGTCACTGGAAACCTGTGCCAGCAATACTAACGATGCTCTAATGCTAATAGTGATGCAATACATGGGTTCCCGAGTTAAATGACTGCACACAGACCACAACACCCGTTAAGAAATGTGCAAATATTCTCAGTTCGCCATGAAACTGTGGCGCGTTTAACCATTCTGTGGTGGGCTACATGTCAGATCCCATTCATTTCATTTTAATGATTGATTGTGATTGGGAAAAGATCCCACATGTTAGCCGCCAGTTAGGCCTGGAAGATATCACCAATAGAAATACCACGTGTGTCTGTCTCTTTTAAATATGGCCACATACACAGCAGTGCAAATAAAGACCACAGAGTCCTTTGGGAATCAGTAAATTGGGCTAAACAAAGGACATTTCGCTGAAAACCTTTGCATTTTCAGACCACACGACGTTTGCTACCAGAACCCCACACGGACGTCGGAGACGCGCTTGTTTATGGAATTTCATGGACTGAAGAAAGCGTGCGGCGGGGAGTGTCGGCGACGCAACACGGCACCGCACGGCGCTGTGGCGTCTGCAGGGCGTTGGAGGAGGCGACCTCTTGTATGCCGCAGATTCCACGTGCATTTTCTCTGCAGCGCCTTGCTGATTGCGGCTTCGGGTTCAATAGTGTTTGGAGATGTTATTCGGAGGCCGACCACAATGTTATGAGATTACGGTTCCAGGAGCAATTCCTCCGAGTAGCGCCGCATGATAAAATCTCATAACAACTGCAAATGTTTTTAAGTTGACCTCTTTGAGCTCTGCAGAATTTGACCTTTTGCCTTGAGGCGTTAACATTACAAGCCCGCCGCCCCCATGCCGGGGTTCCTGCACCAACACGTGTGCTCATGATGATGAAGCGTGTTACCGCGGCTTTAGGAACATTGAGCTTGTCTGCTGCAGAAGCTGCCGAAAGAACCCCAAAAAAATGGAACCCCAGATAATTGGTTACTATGTGCTGTCAAGAGATACGCCCACATGTGCGCTTTACGCTGATTATTAGCTAGCCGACTATTATACAAAATTAAATGGAACACAAGCACAAATGAAAAGCGGTTCATGATCTGCACGAAAACCGTAAAACTAGCGAATCAAATAAAGATCTTGGCTTTCTGCTGCATTTAAATCGAACTATTGTACGAACTTGCGTCCGTATGAGCAGCCGATCACCTCCATCGACATCCGAGGACGTGAGCAGTACCACGCGGGATTGTCTGGAGATCACGTGATGTAAATACACACACAGGGACAAGGGTTTGATACAGAAATGAATGAAACAGACAGACAGCGCGCACTAAAAGCAAATCCTTTACGCTCCTTTAAACAATTGTTTATTCAAATGAACCAAAATCACAAAAACTAAAATGATTGCACAATATGTCATGGAGGGCATCATTGATTGTGTAAAGGGCAAAATCATTGCACAAGTAAGATAAACACCTGGAAACAGTGCAATTATAGGTTAATATTGAACCAATTAGGAGCTAAACAGCACTATGGGACTGTGTTGCCTTTCAGTCATTTGTAAATTCCACCTCTAAAATGTTGATTTTAACGCTGCCTTGAAGGGTTCGCACCCCTTTGCTCTCTGCCGCCTCTCCGAGCACGTTGGAGAGCTGCGGCCTTCTTGAGTTAGCGGTCTTCTCACGCGGGATGCGTGGAGGCATCCCGGGCTCACTGCTCAAACAAGGAGGTGCAACTGCAGCTTGGAAGCCAAAAGGCGGCTGGTTTGAATTACCGCGCCGCTAACGGCTTTCTTGTTCCGAGCTGATGCTTCACCTTTGGCCAAGTGCAGGCCGAGGCTGCTACGAGACGGAGGATCATCGGATTCCTTTGGTTCCACCCAGTTGGTTTTGGCCAAAGGGTTTTCAAATGTTTTTTTCTGCAGGATTGTTTGAGTTTATATTAAATAGTTATTTGACATGGTTCATTTGGTGTGTGTATATATATATTTATATATATATGCACATATCGAACACAATTCGATGGTGTTGTGTTTCAATCTCCAATTTGTTGAGGTTATTATCTGGGTGTTTTTCCTGCGTTTTTCAAAGCAAAGGCGTCTCTCGGTGAGATGTCTGCTATGCTGGTAGCATTTCTGTGTGGAGTGAAAGTGGCACAAACCCCATGAGTCGAACGTTTTTATTTTTTTTGGTTGCTTTTGAACCCTGGACAACCTGTAAGGCGAGGACCTCACAGGAGACCACGGCTCTTTGCACACAGCTTTCCAATTAAGTTACTGGGAAATCAGACCCAGCTGCGCGTCTTCGGAGCGCGGCGCTCTGGCTGGTGGAGATCGTGGCGCCAGAGGCCGACTAGAGATGAACAAGGTGAAACCCAAGATACAGTCGTGTGTTTGTGTTGTCTTCGTAAGGTCTGTTCTTAGAAGGCTGTTGGTCTACCGACTACCATCATCCCGTCTGTCAGGTTGAATATTCTACTGCATTGCAGTCAAAATGCAACCTTCATCTTCACGGTTAAACAAGGAGATATAAGTTTCTACAATGTTACATCTTTACAAAACAGGTAAAAACCTGTGGCACCAACTTTGGCCGAGTTGGGCAGCGTAATTTACTAGCGTTGGCTATTGCCTTTTCTCTGCAACGCAACAGAACGACCAGCTTCTAAATCAGCTTCACACGCTGGAAATGTATCCTTCAACTGCACATGAAGCCGCGTCCTTTGGTCAGGGAGGGCGGTTGGTGATGGTGGGTCCTCCGCGGTGGAGTGGGACGCTCATTTGGGACTAAAAGAGAAGCGGAAGTGCGAGACCTTGCAGGACCCCGAGGAAGAGTCAATTAGGCACAAATGCCTTCCAACAACTTCAAAGCCTCCACACCAACCCTGTAGTTTGAGTCCATAAATTCTATTTACTTATGTTTGTAGTATACTTTAAACAATTAATTTATTGTTCAATTTGAAGAAGAAACATAAAAATTCTTTCTTTAATGTTAATTGTCAATTTGTTTTGTTTTTAAGTATCAGTTCAGGCACCTTTTAGTCACCAGTACCAGAAAAAAACATCCCTACTTACGTTTAAATGATGCAGTGTATTAAGATGGTGATTTTTAATCAGTTTGTAGTTATTTATGGTGTTAAACGACTGCTGAAATGAACTCTGACCCCGGTAAAAACAGCCAATGAGCTACATTTAGGTTTAAAAGTGTGTCAAGGACATGAAAACCTAATAGCTGCTTGTGGCTAAATGGGTTTGTGTGTAATGTGTGCGTGTGTGTGAGACTGATGGGACTCTGGTGGACAAACGACTGCACTGCGTCTCCAGAGGAACTCATTCATCTCATCAGGAAAGCGGCAGTCTCCTGGACAGAGTCCCACATTGTTCACACCGACTCCCCTTCATCTTATTCCCCTGAATATGAACAAGAGCCTCCTCACATTCAGTTACACATTCGCCCAAAGTGCCACTGCTGCTGCAGCCAAACACCCTCAGGCCGGTCCCGAGGGGGACGTCACAGGCCTCACGGCAGCTTTTTAAGAAATGCCAGATGCCCCCCCTCCTCGTTCAACGCTCCCCGGGACTCCCCGGAGAAGCGGAGCAGGGATCGGGTATGAAAAGCAGTGCTCTGGTCGACTCTGTTTTGAAATGAAACACTTCCACTAAAAGAGCAAAGTTCCTGAAGAAAAAAAAAAAAAAATCCCCAGCCTTTCCCTGAACCCCCGGGACTCCCACGTCCCTCCCGCCGAGGGGGGTCGGCTGCCTCCGTCTGCGCCCAGCTCTTCTCCTCCCTCTGCGCTCGTGAGCGTAGGCCATGTTTGCATGACGCCCTCCGCTGGACGGCTCCGTTCGGGGGGGGCCACCGATGTCACCGATCATTGTGCGGCATCCAGCCGGCTGGTCCGGTGGACGGCAATCCATCGTTTATGAGAAACCAGCTGCCGACCATGATGAACGTCTGCTGCTTTGCACCTCCAGGTGTTTGGAGACGGTCGTGGAGTCAAGATGCCAGATGCAAAACGACACACACATCTGTGTGAACTGCTCTCAACCTCCCAGCTTGTCATTTGTCTTGGAGTGGAATTGAGATCGTGAACTCGAAAGTGGCTCCGCGCCAGCTGCTGATTCAGAATCAGCTCGTACTTCATCTACGCCTACAAGGCAACGGCAGCCTACATACGATCGCAAGAGGCGAGCGCGTCGCTCACAGCCGCCGAGCGAAGCCGGGCGGCCGCTGCGCTCGGCGCTCACACACACCGCGTCTCCATCGGACCGGTGGGGAGTGTCGGCGAACTGAGCGGAGGAGCGAGCGCCGTGTCGGTACCAGGTCCTCGGGGCTTGGACCCCCGTTTAGGAGCACTCACAGAAGCTCGGCCTCTCGGAGGATGTTATGTGCACTAGTCCGTGTCCTCCAGAGCATCCCGGTCATACAAAGGAACAGCTTTTCAGCGTTAGTGTTTGGAAAAGCCTGGAGCCCAGTGCGTGTCTCCCGCCTTGTCTGCTTGCATTCCTTCAACCGCTGGTGGACAGGAATTTGGCTTTCAGCACGTGTGATGCAGCTGTGATTTCATCCTGAGGGTTTTGCTGACCGTTCACTGCTCAGTCACACGTTTGTTTTTTGAAAATGTTTCCCAGGAGGCCTACGGAGGCAATTAGGCCACACGGGCTAAATGCCTCATCAGGATTCGGAGCAGGTTGTATGTGCGCTGATTAAAACCCGCTTCCAACCTCTGGATCAGGTTATGCTGAAGTTTGTGAAAGCGTCTGTGCTTTTGGTTCGGATAGTCAGTAATTTATCTGCTTACTGCTGGGCTTACTGCCCGTGGAACAAATGAGGCTATTTTGCCTCCCAACCCAGTGTTTACCCCAGAAAACAATTGGCAATTGGCTGTCTCTTTCAGATGGAGAGGGACTTTGGATGGTTTCTTTCCTCCTCCTCGTCCTCCTCACAATTCTGAGAAGGAGGCCACGTCTCACCTTCTTTCCCCAGCCTCTGTCCTGCGATCTCAGGGGCAAATGAGGCTGTTGCACAGATGTACGTCTCACCTGGCCTGGATGCTCCTGAGAGCATCAGAGGAACATCCTCCTGTGTGGCTTTGCACAGAGGAATGGCAGCACGGACACGGTGGAAAGAAATGTGTGAAAATTGAAAACGGGTCAGAAAGTGATTGATTTGTGCCACAGTTATAACGCCACTGAAGATACTTTTACATTCAGGATATTAGATTATCTAATTTGGCACTGCTTTGGGGAAACATAACACTACTGTTTGATAGCATAATTAAGATCGATATTGTCACCTTGGGATACGTCATTTTTTTTGTGATTTTGTTGCATAACTTAAGCTCCTCATGATGCTTCTGGTAAAATTTCTTTCAGACAAAATGTTTTCAAACAAAATGCATTCAATCACCACATTTTCCTGCAGACAATGTCACTTAGCTGACACTTTTATCCAGAGAGACCAGTGGACATTTGTACCACATGGTTTTATACATGTGCCGTGGGAGCAGCTAGCGGTCGGGTGTCTTGCTCAGGGCTCGAACCGCCAACCCTGCAGTTCCCAGCGCTCCCTGTCTGCTCCACGCAGCACCGTCACAGAGCCACTGCCTCACCCGGAGCTCATCCGTATCAGCGAGTGCATATTTGCATGCCAGCAGGTTTGCATCAGTTCCCTCAATGAAAAGCCAATAGGACAACCACATTGGACTCGGGAATATTGTATGAACTAAGTTCTGTTGAACTCATGTGACATCTCAGTCACATAATCGACCAAAAGCACGTAGATGTTTACCAGCCAGCCTCGTGTAGCCACTTGTTTTTTATCTGCCTTTTCTAAACTCACTTCATTTATTTTAAAACAAAACACATGTCATGCTTCTCACCGCAGACTGTGTACGAGAAGTGAATTAGTCGTCAACCACTGTTTTGTGGCCTTGTGAACACTTTTTGCAACCAGCGGACGGAATTGACCACATTTGAACTGCGAAAGAGTGACGTAGACGACACATGCGCTCTAGTAATGGCGACCTGTCAATCACAAGGTATTCCCGCCCTGCTCAGCTTGGATGGATCATCATTTACTAAATGAACATCATGCTAAATTGAAGGAGGAACTAGAGATTGAGAGCATAAACTCGCGTTTACTGAGGGGATAAACCGAGAGAATCTTCTCATAGACTTCTACAGGACCAGAGGAGTCGCCCCCTGGTGGACAGTAGAGAGAATGCAACTACAAAAACATCTGCATTTGGAGGCCAGTAAAGTTTTAGCCTGCATCTACCGAAATAAAATATATTAAAAACGTTAAAAAACATTGACTGAATTCCAGCTTTTAGGACACATTCCCGCAGCGCTCTTAACCGCGTGGTGCTCTGGTAGATGGATGATGACAGCTAAATGAGGTCTCCCCTCCTCCGGCCTTGTTGTAGATGAGCAGCAGGTCCCCATCCTTTGACTCAGAGAGATCCATCAGAGCCAAAGGAGAGAGTGAGTAAAGAAAATAAGTGAAACTCACTCGATCACACCTCCACGCTCCGCCCGCTGCGTCCGTGTCTTCTCAAGCTCAAACGTTGTCACATCGTAATTAAGGCTGTGAGGAGTCTGAGTCAGGGATGAAACTAAAAGTTACGCGGTGAGCGCCACTCCCTCTGCTCAAAGGAAACACCCAAATGATAAACATATTAAATGCATTTATTCAGGAGACGAGGTGCTAAACAGAGTAAAGGGACAAAATCCTGCAAAAAAAAAAAGAGTTGAATGACAACAAATGCTAAACATTAGCAGAGTAAAACACTCTTAAAACCTCGAGCAGCCCCCCGCCGCCTCTCTGCTGCCACCTAGTGGCATTTCCCAAGCTTAGTGCCCCCCCAAGATTGAACTAAAAAAAAAAAAAGGTCCAATGGAGCTCTTTTTCTCCGTATTTCTTGTCCAACGGTGATCTTTGGGCCTTGAGTCCTAAAAGGTTGAAGAAGCAGGAGCACGACAGTGACCTGACTGAACGAGCAGTAGGAGTGGCTAAATGACACTTTCTGCATTAACTACGCTGTTTTTGTAGATTTGAGACCAAGAACACATTGTTTTGGCAACAAGAAAAAGCACATGTCCTAAAGGCAGGTGATGGAGATGTTGACTGCCTCCCTGCTGTCAGTCAGCCTCTTACGTCCCCGTCGGCAGTCAGCAGATCCGACGTCATCTCTTCAGGAGGCTGTTAACAGCTCGGACTTCATCGGCGGACAGAGGAGAAAGATTGTAGCCTCTCAGCTCAGGTTTTCCTGCAAACAAGCGAAAAGACGCACATCGTGTTCACAGGATGAACTGCAGCCGACACCTTCCTGCCGTCTTCACAGACGACACTGCGCTCGTGACATTACACAGTAAACAAGCCGTACAGTTTTGCAGCTAAGTGCATAATAAGGCTAAGATAAATAATTTGTTCATATGTTTTAATTTAGTCTGTTCGGTCACTTTTTTTTAAGTAAAAGACCCATGAAAGTCGGAGCAGACACCATGATTAATGAGGTTTGTGTAGCACCAACTGAGATGGTCGGAAATGTCAGAGTGGACAAACAAGCACCATCCCCTCACATCTCTTTTCCCCGTCCTCTTCTTACGTGGAACTCCTCCCAACATATGTTTGTGCACAGGTCCAACCAACAAGGTAACAGTAAAGTAGAATCAGTTTGGAGAAACTGACAGGAGAAGCAGCAAGATAGAAAAACAATGCTTCAACAAGTCATTTTCACAATTAAAAGAAAACTGAAAACTGAAACATGGCTCTTATGACACGTGCTACACAGCAGTGTTACAAGGTGTCAACTGATTATCTTTAGGTGACTAAAATATGTCTCGCTTCACAGCAGCGTCTATCTTTGCTCCTGTGCCGGTGCTCTGGTCTGCTTCTACAAACTACACCTACTGTAGTATGACCGGGACTACAATAAAAACCACACATCAAAACATGTGAATTATCCCTTTCACATGAGAGGATCGATCTTCTAGCAAGCGTGTTTCCCAAACTGTTGACGTGTTCCTCTAAAGCGCATGCAACAGTGGGAGAACTGTGATTCTCCTCATTACCTTGCATCTCATTTAGAAGGTTGACCTTTGCTTTGAGTCCCGCGCGGAGGTCGTTTATCTCTTTGTCCAGCTGCTCTTGGTCTAACAGACGAGAAAGAATGAAGGAGTTCACGTGGATCTCACATCGGGCCACAACCTCTATTTATACTCAAATGTAAGCATGAAATCAAGGCAGTTCATGAAAAAGGAAAATTAAAAAAAAACCTTTCTGGATCATCTCTCTCGTCTTTGATTTGGGAAGTTTAATGAACAAGCTGCCGAAGCAAACCTTCACCTTATCTGTGGATGACAGCAGTGACCGTTATCACAACCGACTCGACACTGTAGAATAACCACACGGATCGTTTCCCCAAACTGTGCCCATGTGAATGGTTGATCACACCGAAGCCAAAAGACAACTTTTCTCTTCTCTGACAACCTCCTGTCACAAAGTATCGGCTCACCTGTATCGGACATTTCATTTTTCAGTGCGTTCAACGCCTCTCTGTTGCTGTTTCTCTTGGTGTCCAGGTCCACTATCTGAAACATCCACACGCATGTACGGCAGGTCAGGCTTTCATCACGGCGTGTGAACACAATGCGTAATCTATTTAAGAACTAGTTGGCTTGATGATGAAACATTAGACAACAGTCCTGCTGAATAGTTGGGTGGAAGAATAGTTCTAATATGTCCAAAGGGACTTTGACTAGTGGCATTGTTTTAAATGTCTGTATATCATTACATCATATACATCACTGTAATAACACGACTAAATGAAAAGGTCAAAACAATGCAGTACAATAAAGTTTCAAGTCACATTACCAGCTTCTGTATTTATCAAAGTGCTGCCATTTGTCATTGAAGACTTCTTTCATGACAATAGGAAATATTGTTGCTTTGTCTGCATATTCAGCATCCACTAATGTAACATTACCAGCAACAGGTGTAATCTGATGAAAAATACTATTTAAAGCTCATACAATGAGCTCGCTGGACTGCAGGGCTAATAGAAGTTGCTAACGTTAAAGCTAAGCTAGCTGGTGTTAGAGTGTAGCATTGCCTTGTACTCTAAGATGTTTTTTTATCTGGTCAATCAATGTCATCACACGGTATCACACCGTGTTCCTGGGTAGGTTTGTTCATTTGACGTTATTGAAATGGAATATAACAAGTTAAAACCGATGCTAAAGCGCGAGCTAGTTAGCCGAACGTTAGCTGCTAACATCGTCAGTGGCTGACGTCACGTCCTCCCACGTTACACGTTATTAACATCTTATTGTTGCCCAGTAAGTATTTCATTACTTGTTGTTTGGTGGTGAGGACATCCTCAGCTGCCTCCTCAACTTCTGTCAAGTACTCCAAAACACGCACGGGTACATCCTCCATGACGGCGGTGAGCCTTCAAAATACGTCCGGCCTCAAACAACGACAGGAAACAGAAAGGCCGCTTCATGACAACAGATAACGCCCATAAACATGGAACATTATATAATATACTGCAGCGTAATGTGCCAACACAACAACACAACCTTTTTGTTCATGTTAACATCTATGTCCGTCATTTACGAAGGTGTAACTTACACGTAAACATAATTTGATATTTTCAAGATTGCATTAATAAAATAGAACATTTGTTCTCGACAATACACTTTTTTAGGGACTTTGTCACTTGATCAAATAGGCAGCGCTAGATTTAAAGTGTTTATTTGAAAAGCTTTACCCTCCTCCCCCCAATTGTAATCACCTCAGGCTGTTTAGTAAACAGCAATATGCAGGTTCAGTGATTAAAAGTACATTGGACTGAGGTCCAGAGACCAAGTTGACCGCTTGTTGTAATGGCTTCTTCTTTGGCTTGATCTATTTTTTGAGCCATGTTGGTGGTTATTATTTCTTTGTCAAACCTGTTGTTAAAGTGAGTTATTTGTCAAAATGCAACAGGGTATTGGCCCTAGTAGTTCTTCATTTACCGCCGCGGAGCTTTTCCCACACATGTACCCATGAAAGAACCACAATCTTTGTAACCAAGGATAACTTTTATTATGCAGTTTAACAAACAATTAGATTCATTGTGTACTGTGCTGACGAAGGCTCCCTGGGTTGCTTTAAATTCAAAACTACAATAGACATCCACATTCTCAAAGGATCTATACGATCAATAATAGATGTAAACATCAATAACAAATGTAAACATCCATAGTCATATTAGCTTATTGGACTGTAATCACAGCATTGGATTAAACGTAATCATTCAGCTATAAATAGTTAAGATAATAAAACATCTGACAAAGCAAAAGATCCACTGTAGAAAGAAAAGTAACTTTACTGCTTTTTGTCAGTCTGTTCAATAATCAAATAATAAACGTCTGTTCATGTGGCATAAAGAAATACACAACGGCCCGCAACTTGCTGTTAGGTTACAAATTCAACCTGTTTCGGTCTGTTCGCTCTGTTTATCGGGTAATTCTTGCACCTGGGTAAATTATCCGTTATTGCGTCGACGGCATCAGGTGTGACGTCCCGCTCCCCGAGCCCGGCCGCCCTCCTCCGCTCGGCTGCCTCTCCTCTGCACTCGGAGCCGCTTCGTCTTTCCTCAGGAGCGCCTTGTTGTCCCCCGACTCCGCCTCGTCTCTGCTCAGAGCCGCTCCTCCTCCGAAACCCGCCGGGCCGCCGGTCCGACACGCCCCCCCGTGCTCCCAAAAGGTCCCCGCCACTGGCCTGAGGCTTGGCGTTGGCGCCGTGGACGGGGTTACGGATGTTACCCGACGCCTGCATTCTCCTCAGGTGGCTGTTGGTCCGCGTGGGGCTGCCGGACCTCTGAGCCCGGGACGCGGAGCCCCTGTCCGCTGAGTGCACCCGGCTCTCGCTGTAGCTCCGTTTGGGCAGCGACGCGGGGCCCCTGCCACCGCCGCGCTCTGGCGCGGGACTCGGTCTGGACGACGGCGTCGTGCAGCAGGCGGCGTATCGGATGCGGCAGAGCGTGCAGGCGCAGCCGGAGAGCAGGGCGCAGTGGCTGGCCAGGGAGGAGAGGAAGGTGAGGGGGAAGGAACGCTGACACTGAAGGATGCACTTCGGAGAGCTGAGGCGCGACGAGGCGGCGGCGGCGCCGGCCGTCCCGTGGCAGCTGGATACGGCATCCGACGCCGCCGGCGTCCCGCCCTCCTCCTGGACAGTGCGAATCTGCCGCCACTCCAGCTGCAGCATCCTCTCCATGTACCTTTCCAAAGGGCCCACGGGCCTGGGCCGAGGGGCCCCGCGACCCTCCGTGTTGTAGAAGACAGCCAGCTGGCCGAGGCTCCAGGAGTTGAAAGGCGGAGGGAGGAAATCGGGGAAGTCCGAAGACCCGCGGTTGTTCCTTGACGGCCCGCAAGAGGGGCGGCCGTCACCCTGGATGAGCTCCGGCCTCAGCTGGAGCCGTGGAGGAACCCGAGAACAGGGCGACACAGGAAGCCTCTCCGACTCAGACAAGTCGGTGTCACTGTCGCCCCCTGCGCGGCCGCTCTGGCTCCCCGCGTCCGGGTTCGGGGACGCCGTCCGATGTGGGTCACGGCTCGAACGAGGCAGGCGGTGACGGGGAAAGGCCGGCAAACGTCTGCTCCCTCGGTCGCAGTGCTGAGCAGCCGACTCGGGTTCCGAGGTTCCCTGAGAACTAGCGGAAAAGCAAACCGTTGCACGTGAGCTCAATGGGAATGGCACAGCATTTGCATGACACAGAAGGTCTCACCTGTGTTGAGCAGTGAGACGTTTGGTCGACGGGGTTCTAGGTTTCTGCTTTCTTCTCTGCTGCAGCTTCTGTGGTCACAGAAACACACCATTAAGCCCACACACATAAATATACTCACATCACTGAAAAATGACTCGCGTGACCGTCGAGCGACTCCTCTGGTTGTGTAGAAGTATATGAGAAAATGTCTATTTATTCATTTCTTACCTCAGTAAACATGACTTTGTGGATTCGCTGTCACTCCTCCGCACTCCCAATATGTTCACTCACATTAAATGGTTGCAAAAAGTGTTTGTGTTAAATGTTAAATATTTAACAACAATGTAGCAACACGTTTTTGATAGCTTCATTGTTTAGCATTTGATGCACCTAGTACTGCTTCACAGTAATGTAATGTGATGTATTTAAAACAGTTATTTACCGCTAAACTATTAAACGTATTCAATATTACTGCGGTCAACTCAGCAGGCGCTTGAATGATGTACATAAATGCTGACAGGAATAAAAGCTATTTAATCAAAAATTCTGGACAATGATTAAAGTATGTGAAGGACCTCTCGGACTACTATGATAGTGAAAATAAAATATCTTAACTGTACAAATTTAGAGATTAAAAGCCCCGTAATTGCAAATTCAAAAAGACCATTTGACCTGCAATAAAATTACTTTTCTCAGTGATTCCACACAAAGAATAACACGTGTTAAGGACCTCTCTGACTACTATTATACACAAAATGAACTATTTGTACTGTTTAGCTGCGCTACAATTCAAGTCCCTGCTGAGTTAACCGTAGTTCAATGTAGTGATCGCGTTAAAGCAGAGAACACACACACACACACACACACACACACACACACACACACACACACACACACACACACACACACACTAATGAAGCTACAGCGAGTAATTTTGTGCTTGACAACTAGATCATCGCTGCTCATAACCGGTGTCCGGTGGTCGGCTGCAGCTCGCTCACCTCCTCGTTCCTCTCCGGTACCGGCAGCGCGTGAGGTTGCCGCCTGCTTGAAGAGAGGAGTGTTACACACCGAGCACATTAAACGGTGCGTTACCGGCGGCGCACACACGACAATGTAACAACGTAAAGGATGAACGCGCGTTAGTATTTAGATCAAAGCGCATCTTTGTCTCCACGAGCGCGCGGTGAGGAAGCAGCGGGTCGCGTACCCGAACCCGGCGGGCCTGCTGCTGCTGCTGCGCGCCGCCTTCTTCTTCCTCCGCTCCCGGTCCCCGGTGGAGACCGCGTCCGGGGATCTGAAGGTCCCGTTCTGGAGAATGGTACCCATCCCAAAGCTGACTGAAAGGGGGGTGGAACCCGACGTCTTTTTCATAGAAAACACGACGGGGAGGGAGGTGCGCCGTCCCGCTGCCGTCCAACAGGGGGCAGCGTTCTGCGTGAGGTCGAGGTATCCAACCCGGGGCTCGCGGGCCAAGACACGTTCAAAACAACACCAATCACCATGGAGGGGATTTTAAAACACATCTGTGTTTCCGGCCATCGTTGCTGTGGGAATCATGTTTGTGAGTAACAATTTACATTGTACAACACAACTATAAAATATTTAAATTTGCATTAACCACCAGCCCTCTGACATCTAAAACACAACACAATGACTTTCAGACAAACAAATCAAAATTGCAAAAATTAATTTGGGACTTAAAATGGTTATTTTTTCACAGAAATACACTTGGTGATGAGTTTTCAATGACTGGAGAACAGGGCAACGCACAGGAACCCTGTGTGTGTGTGTGTGTGTGTGTGTGTGTGTGTGTGTATGTGTGTGTGTGTGTGTGAACATGCGTGTGCTGCTCATGTTATTGTGTAACACCTGTAGGGTTCATCCAAATTACACTTAACCAAAGTGATCCAACACATGGTGCTCAGCAGTTATCAATAAGCGAACACATCCTCATTAGAAATGTTATTTATTTGGACTTTTCTAAATAAAAGACATATTAGAAAGGAAGGCAATCTGTGAATAATTTATAAATCGCATTAATTACAAAACAGTCATTTCAGTTAATTCCAGACAACACTCTCTACAACATGGCTCCGTGTTGGACTGATTAACATGTTAATTACATATCAGCAGTCACTAATGGGACACTAAAGGTATTCTCGATCACTCCAGCGGCCCGCTGACCCCGTCTGTCCCTCTGCTCGTCTCTTCTGTCCGTGTCCACCCGTCTGTCCTCAGGGAGCTGCTGTCTAACTGCCTCTTCCTCCAAGTGCTCGGACCTAATACTCTATGGTGACCGCCTTTGTCTTCAGGTATTCGTTGAGAGCCTCTTGTCCTGTCGGAGAGACAGAGGCACCGACTGTAAGTGTGGACATCAGTCACCGCTGCAGTGGCACAATGGATGTGATTAAATTCAATCAACGACAAAGTGTATTTGTCTGTATATATGTGCACTTATGGTAGCGTCAACCTGGAAACCGTCAAAGCGCTTCACCCTTTCACAGTCTATTCACGCATCGGACATTTGTCATAGTGGGTGGTGCATCAATTGGACATTAAGCTGCTGAGCTTCAGAACACCACCAGCCAGTGGCAGCACGGGCTTTGTTCCCAGGCCGACGGTGTCAAATGTTAAACATTTCCAGGTGTTCCTGCAACCTCGGCCCAAACGTCTTTCCTTACCCAAGTCTTTGCCAAAGCCGGACTGTTTGAAGCCTCCGAAAGGCGAGGCCACGTCCGTCTTGTTGTAGGTGTTGACGAACACCGTGCCGGCGTTGAGCTTCTCGCTGACGTACAGAGCTCTGCTGATGTCCTGAGTGAACACACCGGACGCCAGGCCGTACTCCGTCGCGTTGGCCCTCCTCAGGACCTCGTCCACCTCACTGAGGCAGGGAAACCCAGAGGAGACACGGGGTAGGACTTTACATTGTGCGTTTTTTGTTTGTCAATCCGTGCAACGCACTCTAATTGATTCGGTTTAGGCAAGAAAAGCACTTTTTTATGCTTAGGAGAACATTGTAGTTTGGGGGAATTGAAGAACCACATTCCTTGCTGGCAAATAACTGCAGCGTCTCATAGAAACGATAAAGGTCTCACCCGCTCTTGAACTTGGAGAGGATCATGACGGGGCCGAACGACTCCTCGATAGCGATGTACATGTGGTCCTGCACGTCAGTGAACACCGTAGGCTCGAAGAAGAAACCTGCAAGCAGACACGAGGGAAGGACTCGGGGATAAGCCGGTCTGCATCGCCATGGTAACACCGGCGGTGGACCACACTGGCTTGGTTGCCCGCGTTGCCTCACCTGGCCGCTGCACCTGTTTGCCTCCACAGATGAGCGTGGCTCCCTCCTGGACGCCGGCCTGACAGAACTCCAGCAGCTTGTCCAGGTGGGCTTTGTGGTTCTGGGGGCCGTGGTTTGTGGAGCGGTCCAGCGGATCACCGATCTTCATCTTCTTGATCTCACCAACCTGAGCGAGGACAACCCGGGAGGAAAGGTCCACGCGCCGTCAACTTCTCAATTCAGTGTTCGGAGAAACAGAGCAACGTGAGCCGGTGAGAGGTCGAGAGAGACGCACCACTTTGGTCAGAAACTGGTCGTGGATGGTTTCTTCCACAAACAGTCGGCCGGCTGCGATGCAGTTCTCCCCTTTGTTGAAGAACACGGAGCTCATGCCCTGAAACGGGCGCAAGAGGCGTTCACCTTCACGCCGGCTGCTGCGACGTGCGCACCGGCTGCCCGCGGATGAACTTACCACGCGCACGGCCTTGTCCATGTCGCAGTCAGCGAAGATGATGAGAGGGGATTTCCCTCCCAGCTCCAGGGACACCTTCTTCACGTTGCTGACGGCGCAGCTGCAGGTGGGGCAGGACGCCAACGCCGTGAGCGGTGATGTTACGCTCTTTGAGTTTGGTCAGAAAAAAAGCTGCCCTTGCCTCTCACCTCCTCATGATGTGTTTCCCTATCTCAGTGGAGCCGGTGAAGCCCAGCTTACGGACGTCAGGGTGGTCGGACAGACGCTGACCCACCACAGCACCTGTCAATCACAGTGTGGCTTCATGCGTCAAAGAATGCCGGAACGCATGTGATGCAACGCGGGTGGGACTCGTCAAGAGTTGGCGTTATCGGACCGATCCGAAGTCAGAGTGCTGAACAATGAAAAGCCGACCACGGCGGCGGCGGTTCCTACCTGATCCAGGCAGAATGTTAACCACTCCTTTGGGAAGTCCCGCCCTCGCCGCCAACTCGGCGAACTTCAGCGCGGTTAGCGGAGTCACCTGGGAACCAAAGACCATTTCAAGCAGAGGCCACTCAGGTACCCAAGGAGACATGTAGCTAAAATGTAGTTAGCCACCTGCTAAACAAAACCATTCATCTGGCATTAACTGCTAATCAAATGTTAGCATGCTAAGACCAGAAGTGGTACAGCTTGTTAGCATGCAGTCGTGCTGCACACGTGGGGGGGGGCGCACAAGGCCCCGTGTGCCGGGAGCCTGACCTGAGCGGGTTTGAGGACCACGGTGTTCCCGGCCGCCAGGCAGGCCGCCGTCTTCCACGCCAGCATCATCAGCGGGTAGTTCCAGGGGATCACTATGGCACACACGCTGAGAGGAAAGATGTGTCACTTAGTGCCGGAATCTTCAATAGCTTAATCTCCAACGGAACCGCCGTTATTCACACAAGGGGAGCTTTTTCTTTTCTGCTTCAAGTCTATTTTTGAATCTTTTTTTTTTGAAATTTCCCAAATATCCAGCATATCAACAGAATCCATTGGGACTCTGAGCTCTGTGTTCTTCTGGTTCTCTACAGATTTTTTCTACACCTTTGGGTTGGCTGAACGAGCGGACCCAGAGTTGTGACTATGGTGTCTTTTATTGTATACTATATGAGCGCGTTTATCATCACGACAAACCGATAATCTCAAAACTATGAATGTGATCCTCAGGTCCTGCTTCCAATGGGGGGGATCCCCAGTAAGATGTGGATGAGAATGTGGATCATTTGCTTTTCATGAAAGGTGCTGCATCACTTTGTCCCACTTTAATTCCTGCGTGTAAATCATCTTCTGCCTGCACAACATATTTGCGTGTTTGTTTTTGATGTGCAAAATCACCCTATTGGCTCCTTCTTGGTGAAGGTCAGGTTCCGATTGGGCCTGGCCTGGTTGATGGGAATGGTGCTGCCCTGAGAAGAGAGGACACCATTTATTTATATCAATGTATTTATTAACATCACATGACTGGCCAACTGTTATTTTGTAGCTTTTAAAACAGTTTGATCTCCTTTCACTTACTTGGATCTTGTCACACCAGCCGGCGAAGTAGCGGAAGGTCTGGATGGACATGCCCACGTGGGTCTTCAGGGCCAGAGTGTAAACGGCCCCGGAGTCGATGGCTTCGATGGTGGCCAGCTCCTCCTGGTGCTCCTCCATCAGGTCAGCCAGCCTGTGTGCGGCGGGGAGGAGGGAGGCGTTTTCTCTTTACTGGATATATACAACAATGTTCCTAATGGATTATTGAGTCACTAAACAATTAAAAGCATTTCCTTGCGTATTGCTTTTGAATGTTTTGAAACCGGCATTGGTTACATGGTTGCCAAAAACTGTGTACGAGAATTGGACGACGTTGTTGTGAATGTCACCGATCGGTTCGTGGGCGTGTTTTTGATTGATCGACAGGCGAACTGACTTGTAGAGGAGTCGTCCTCGGTCTCTGGGGTTCATCCTGCCCCACTCGCCCTCTTCAAAGGCCTCCTTGGCAGCAGCCACTGCCTTGTCCACGTCGCTGATCTGGGCCAGAGACACGTCACAGATGGCCTGCGGGACAAAGGGGCAGAAGGGCAGAGGGGCAGAGGGGTGTGGGAACATCACCAACGGTACAGTTTGAAAAAAGCAGAAACGGAAAATAAAAAGAAGTGAGCGGTAATGTCGGTATGTGGTTGATTCGCCCTCACCGTGCCGTCGGTGGGGTTGATGGTCTTGTACGTCTTCCTTCCCTCCGCGTCAACGAACTCTCCGTTAATGAACAGCTGGTGGGGCATCTTTATGGTCATGTTGTTGGTGTTCTGCTCCACCTGACGGAGTTGAACAGGGATCCAGAAAGTAAACACGCGCTCTTTTCCCCGGGAGGGGCCAATTCACAAGAAGTAGCATCCGGTAGCATCAGCTCACGTAGTCCACAACCAGTTCCTCCTCCTCGTCCTCCCCTCGCAGCCTCCGCACGCACATCTGGATGAAATCCCGGAATGTGCAGTTCATGTAGACGTCCTCATTCTGCAGCTGGCAGCCGCCGGCACGCAGCTTCACCTCCTCCACAAGTCTGCAGGAGACAGAAGACGTATTCAGCGGCACGAAAACAAAGGAAACTGGTGCACTGGTGATGTTAGCGCTTTGAGCTAAATGCTAACGCAGTGATGTACATTGTTGATACTTGGTGTTTGAGATATTGGTAGGATTTTCGTCACCAAATACTCAGCGCTATACATTAACCTCTGTTTGAATGAATGAATAGATAAAAGAATACAAGCTTGACTTGGCACACGACAGATGTAGTGATACTACAAAAGACCCCCGTCTGTACCTGACCACGTCCATGGAAGCAGCGCCGGACTTGAAGAAATCCGTGGAGTCTTCAATGCGACTGACATTAGTCAGAATGCTCTGCCACACCGCCTGCGAGGACACAGTCCAGAGTCAACGCGGGACTCGCCGTTCTGAGCGGACGGAGGCAGTCGTTCGTACCCTCATCTCCTCAGCGAAGGAGTTCTCCTCCTCCGTCAGCTCCACGGCAGCACTGCTCCCCGAGCTGAAGTACTGCGCCGCCGCGATCATCTTCCCGTCCTCAAACTGAAGATTCTTCACCAACAGCTGCAGGGGACACGACAGAGGTTTCATCCACGGGACGGATGGACATGGAGGTCATATTTTAGACTTCAGTGCGCTGCCGAGGTCGTTGTCATCCACTGCAGGAAATGCATGTTGACGATTCATCGGTCCTAATCTGATGCGTCCCTACATGTAGGTTATGAATGTCTGACGACCTAAATAATAGTAATAAACTTTATTTATAGACCACAATCCATACAGATAATCTAGCTCAAAGTGTTTTACACACACCTTCTTTTTAAAGATCAAATAAATTAAACTCATAGAAAGAAATCCTGTATTGTGTCAAAATGTTGACAGGTGGATAAAAGCTGGCATTTTACATTAAAACATCAGAATAATGAAATAAACTAATGACTGCTTCATTAGTGTTAAATGCAGTATTGTAAAAGAAAGGGGTTCTTTAGTTGTTTCAATGTAATATATTATATTATTGGTTCATTAATATTGATGTAATAATAGTTCATACTTTAATCTACAACAATGCGTCGTATTTTATTCACTCGTAAATACGAATTGTGACGAGAAAAGGAGGAGAAAGCAGCAGCAAAACTGTACTAGGGTTACATTTACCTCCATCCACTTGGTAATGTAGCATCTTGTGCCAAAAAACGAGTGCAACCAAATCAGAACATCGATAAATATGCACATTAAAATATCGTGCAGGTTTCCCCGGTAACGGAAGCGAGCCGCTGCGGTCACATTCTGGTAAATAGAGGTGACGCAACACTACAAATAACGGCTACCGTAAACGCCACAGGAGAAGAGGAGGAACATCATCGCTGACCCACCGTCTTGCCGTCGTTGCCAAACAGCACCAGGCCGGCCTTGGCGACGACGCCGGGCCGGCTGGCTCCGGGGATCTCCAGAGGCCGTCCGTGAGCCGCGCTGCCGGCATCCACCAGAGTGGAGCCGTAGAAAGTGACTTTCTACCGGAAGAGAGAGAGAGACACTCGGCTGAGGACAATGTCCAATAAAACCCGTGCGTTGTTTGAGAGAACCCAAAAACCAAAAACCTTTAGTTGTACATTTCTTAAAAAACACCATTTATCAAATCCGTAAACGGTAAAAATCTAAATTATTGATGGAATTTTCAGTTTTCCCAAAGGTGCTTGAACGAGTCATGTGTGGAAAGGTGAAAGATGGCAAAATCTAACCGTAAAATAGTCAAATTCCATCAAATGATGTAATCCTCATTTAAGATATTGGCAGAAATAAACTGTGCGCTCCTGAACGCAACTGGGAAACCACAATGGACTCGACTGAGTACAACAGTCAGCTTTATAAAGTGTTTACAAGAATAATACTGCCGTCCACGTAGATTCAAACTCTTCATGGTGAAAATGCCGGAATTGACGGTTAGTGTTGCGGAGCGTTGCGTCTACCTGTCCGTCCACCTCCGCCCAGGCCCCGGGCACCTTGTCGTTTCCTCGGATCCAGTTGTGCAGATCCTCAGCGGACCGGTTCCAGTCAATCTGCCAACAAACTCCATCAGTAGGTCTCAGCAGGTAACGCGCAACACGGAAATGTTTCGCTTTAAAACCCGTCGGACGTTTCTACTCTTTCCAGGAGGTCACTGAAAGTGATTCAACTCAGACTTGATTGGTTATTCTCAGCAGTGTTCAATTTGTATTTTTCATCCTAAACTGAATGTCGTAAATACGATTGAGTTGAATTTTTAGATTTGAAAAAGAGTTCAATTTAAAGTAACGTTAATAGTGTTTGGAATATAGAATTTAGATCAAAAGTTTTGAGGAATTTTTAGATAATTTACTAGAATTCCTGAGTATACATGTGGTTTTATAAAACAATTAAAGAGCTTTATAACAGCAGTGGTGCCTTTACACAGAAGCAGTTGTCAAACTATTTAACTATTTATTGTAAATCTCAATGTAAACATTAATGTAATCAAATCAAATATGATTAATAAACAAAATGCTGCACTATAAAAGATGAAGAACCAGAGATTGAGACCTTAATGTTCTTACCTCAAGGTTTATAATGCTTACTGAGGAAATAGATCAAGAGAGAAGAAAGAACACCAAATTTAAAGGCTCTACTGCACTGGTGTGACTTTATATTACCTTGGCGTTGTCTTTCTTCTGAATGCACTCGTATGTGGCTCCCTCTAGTGGCTGGCTGATCCTCGGGGCTTTTCCCTCCGCAATCAGCCTCACTGCATCCACCTGGAACCAGAGCGGTGCAGCTCAGTCGCGGCTATCTATGGACTTTGCCCTCTTTGCCTTCTGCTTTGTTGGGAAATATGAACGGTCAGTGGTTCTGCTTCAGATTTTAAAAAAAAACGTTCAGCAGAAACGCGTAATCCTCACAAATTAGGAAAAAAAACCTTTGACTTTATCATAAATCTAGTGACGCTTTTTTTGTTTATTATTTATTTGTTGAGAGAGAAGTAGTCATCTTCTCAAACACTCCAAATTCTGATGTTAAATATTGTTCCCTTTGGACCCTTTGCAGGCGCGTTAAAGTTTAACCACCGCAGGGAGAACCACGGTGTCATGGTTCACTTCTTGTCGCCGTACTAAAGGGTGAATGAAATGTCTCCATGACGAACACGTTTCTTTCCCGATGAGCAACTCTCTCTCCACCCACAGCGCCACCACTCACTGTGCCCTTGACCCCCTCCGGGAAGAGGAATCTCTTGTAGATTGTGTTGACGGTGTCATCGCGCTCGACGTCACACTCCCTCTGCAGCAGGATGGGCCCGGTGTCCAGTCCGTCGTCGGCCCAGAACACCGTGAACCCGCCCTTCTTGTCCCCATGGATCAGCGTCCTGTGTCATTACAGACGACGGGGGTAAAAGACGTGGGGAACGGCGCGCCCCCCCCCCCCCCCCCGACCCGATGACCGTCGCGGGACTCACCAGTTGATGGCGGAGGCGCCCCTGTGGCGAGGCAGCAGGGAGGGGTGGTAGATGACGGAGCCGTGCCGGGGCCGATCGATCACCTCCATGGGGATGAACTGGGAGCAGAAGGGCAGGACGTTGAGCTCGGCGCCGCAGGCCTCGTACTGAGCCACCACCTCCGCGATGGCCTCGCCCTTCACGCGCCAGCGAGGGAACTTGAAGACGGCAACGCCATCCTTCTCCGCCTCAGTTGCTGAGGAAGAAAAGAACGATGGAACGCTCTCAGATTGTCCTATACTGTCCTATATTTTCAGCGTGCCGGTGAGTCAGGCTGCCATGTCAATCATATCAAATGGCGGCTTAATGAAGGAGTGAATTAAACGCTGCACAGATTCCCAAACTTATTTATGATTTTCCAGACTTTTCCTGTGCTTTGGGGTCAGTGGTGCTGCGTGTCTTGGGGGGTCCGGGTATGCAGCCCTGCAGTAGGCGCCTTACTGTGCACACTGACGCCTCAGTGCCTGCTGCCACCAAGTCCTGCTGCAGGTGTTTTGCACCCGCTGGAGGTGTTTTTTCACCACTTTGTCTCCTCAGGAATCTGGTGGCTTCCTCTTCCTGCCACGTCCAGGTAGTATAGCAACTGTTGCTTCAACTTTGAACCTGCAACTATTCTTCCAGCAGCATCTGTAGGAACACTCAGTGCTTCTCCCGTCCTTCTGTATCCTTCTATCCAGTCCTAAAGTCACTCCCTTAGTAAGTGGGCGTAGTCCTCACCTAGTGGATCGGCCTTGCCATCCTTGTCAGGGATGGTGAAGACTCCCACGATGATGTGGCCGTCCTTCCGCAGCTCTTTGTAAACTTCCTGGCCGAACAGACTCTGTCCGATCACTGCGATCTTCATGCTCACACCTCACTGGGTTCTGGAGAGGTGTCAACAAACCAGGATAAACACAACACATGCTTGTATTTCACACAATGAATCAAATGGATCGTTTCACATGTGAGAACAAAGTACATTTCATGTTGCAAGTGAGAGCTCCTTGGGCCAAGGTACACATACCGTGACCAGGTCCAAAGAGTCTAAGTAAACTGTGTACAAAAGGAGATGTGCATATGATTATATATATATCTCTCTATATATGAATACTTTTATACGCTAAGCATAAGAACAACAATCTATGATCACAACCAAGAAACAATTCCAACTTTACTGCATTATGCCGCCAGATATATTTATTATGAAGAATCTAGATTAATCAAAAACTTCCTAACAAACTGCACGTTTGTTGAACCCGAACAGAGAGGGGCGGGGCTGGTTGTCCTACAAACCAATCACATGCCTCGGTGAGGCCGCTTGCTCCCGTGTTGACCAATCGCAATCCCGCAGGCGTTGAAAGGATTTGACACCCCATTTAAGCCCAACAGCCCCCCCGAGACAGACAGTCCAAGACCCCCCAGTCAAGTTTAACCACGAACTAAGTTAACGTCATTAATCCCGCATTATCCCCAGCACACGTGATCAAGTCACGTGCACGAATAACATGGGGTTTAATACCCTCAACAGGTGCCGCAAACACCAACAGCCTCACGCAAAGAATCTGCGCGCGTCTGCGCGGCGGGGGGCCAATCAGCATCCTGCACGCGCGTTTTGACGCCCGCGTGCAAAGAACCAACGAGCGGAAGGAAAAGGATGAAAGTATGTGTCCTTACCCCCGGTTAAGACCCACAGCTCCTCTGCTAGCCTGGAAAGAGCAGTCCGAGCGGGCAGCGTTGGCTTTAATCCCCCCCCGACCTCACGGGCCCGTTGCATAACGAGCAGATGAAGCGCGTGATTGGACGTGGCGGGCGCGGGGCCGCAGGGGGCCGCAGGGGGCGGGCTGTCAAGTCATATGTTCCACAATGTGGACCGATTATTAGATCCCCAAGGAGAAATGTCTATGTTATGTATTATTTATCCTAAATGTTCTATGATATGATTGTCGGTGCCAATATATCGAACAACTGTTTGGTTAAATATGCTGTTCTAAAGCTCAAAATCTATGCTTCATGCTGGAAAAAAACGTGGGAAAATGATACATATTAAATGATACTGCTTCGGTGTTTCCTATAAACAATAACGTCCTTTTTTGCAGCGCACCCTATGTTGCATGCTGACAATAAATTATCCTTGAATCCTTAATAAAAACGTATCTACAACATTTGAAGTAAGAAAACCTGTCAATGCTGGATATGTCTGGATATGATTGATTGATTAATTGATGGGTTTATTGATTACATAATAAAAACAAATACACGATCAGAGACATATAGTGACAGATGACGACCACCAATATTGGTGACGACAAATCCCACAGGCAGGAAATCCTCCAGCATCACATCATATGTTTTAGGATGAAAAAGGGGCATCACGGGGATCTGATTGGTTCAAACGAGAAGTTCATGTCAAAAAGAACCCGTGGAGTTTAAGGGAATCTGAAGCTGCGTGTGAGCCGTTTCCATGGAGGACGATGGATTTGCGATTTCTGAAGGAAGTCTTAGCTCGGCCTTTTGGGACCGGGGTCACGGATGTTGAGGTGGAGGCTGGAGAGCTGACGTAGACTAAACCCAGTAGCAGCAGACCGGATCTCGCATGTGGCCGCGGCTGTGGGTCAGGCGAGCGCATGTTGGTCCCATGGATGCCACCGACGGCCCATTCGGCAACGCTTGTATCACAAATCCACAAGCAGGACAATTAAGGGACAGTTAATTAGTGTTTTAATGTCCCCCCCCCCGGCCCTGAAGACGCCGTCTGTCCCTGCGGGCGTGAAAAACACGGCGTGGGTTTGTGCCAAGTCACATTGTCTCACTAAAATAATAAAATACAGCCCTCCCTCTGAGCTGCGTTTTATTACATGCTGTCATCCTTTAACTGTTACAACAGTTCACCAGCTCAACTGACTGAAACACACAAATGAGCCAACGAAGGCTTAATAAACAAGCTATTCGCAGGACAAAGAGCGTGACGATAAAAGCGGCTTGAGTTTGTAATCCCAAGAAACCATTTTACACTTTCAGTAAATGTAAATGTGCAGGAATGACCTCCAGCGAGCGTCTCCCTGGAGGTCATTCGACAGCCATGAACTCCTAACAGGTCGTCGATTCAGCAAAGCTCCAAACGAACGTCAGCATCCGCAGTTGCACAACCCGTTTTGGCCGTGTGGCTGAAGCCCAGCGGAACACTCACGTGAAACGGGGGGGAGGAGGGGGGGGGGGGGGTTCTGCCTCCCCGGTGGTTCTTCCCTCGGAAAGTGGACGATGTACGTCGGCCTCCTGTGAGCGCTGTGATCAAGATGAAGACAAACTCACTCACTGACCTGGGAGCTGACAAAGCTGTCGTTGTCACTGTTCAGAAGGGTCAAAGGTCGGGAAGGTCAAAGTTGGTGTTTTGAAAAAAGTGCTTTAAAACAAAGCACCTCAGAGAACGACGCCTCTGTTCATCCAGCTGATCCTGCATCGCTGCATCTCTCATTATCAACACAACCAAACTTCTACGGCCAACTGAGGGCAAATTTGAGTTTGACCTTCGAAGTCCGGTTTTACGGCTCATGTTTGGGGATAGAATAAATATTTGACGATGCGGTCGAGGTTAGAGGGGGCTGCTGGGAATGCTTGATGGGAAAACTGGTCCAGAACCAGTTCTTATCACTCATATTGATGATCCACTCAGCAGAGAGACACTGCGGTTGGACACTTTCAGCATTCTGTGCCAAATCAAGCCAATAAATTAATACATGCTGCTATTTTGTTTTTAATTCTTTGGGGTAAATAATTTTTATTTAGTGTAATCTGTCATTTAACTCTTTATGGGGAAAAAAAGATTTTTGATTGTCTTTCCTTGTTTCATACACAAGGGGTCAGTACCCCCCCCCCTGTAAAACAGCCCCAGGCTCCAGCTTTCTATCAAACGCAATTCAGGATCAAATGTTTTCTCAATCACAGAAAAACGTGAACAACAACAACATCTCACACTCTACGGAGCAATACTTAATTACTAAATTACTTTAAACATTACTGCCAGACCTCCTTTAAATGTCTTCCACTTTGTGTGCAAAGCGAACATTTCTGTTTCTTTCATGTGTGTTTCACATTGAATATTTAGCTGTTGGAGGTAGAAAAAAACAGGTTTTCACGACATAAACAAATAAATAATATAATACATAAACAAATATGTAAATGAGAAACCCAAACTGTAAAAACACGCGGCGGTTTCCGAGATCTGGCCTCCTGCTTGTATTTCCCCTCCCGTGTATTTCAACGTGTTCTACTGCACTCTGCAGTGTGCTCAGGAGCGCCGCTCATCCATCATGCAGACCATCATCTTAGCTCCTATGTGTGTGTGTGTGTGAGTGTGTGTGTGTGTGTGTCTCCTGTGGGAGTCGCTGTTGTGTGTCCAGGCGTCTGAAGAATATTTTCACACGACGAACTCAGAGCTCCGAAGCTGTAGATCCGCTGGTTATAAATACACCGTGAGCTCCGTCTCCTGGAAATAACTAAAACACCCAACCAACCCCCCTCACCCCCCCTCCATCCCCCCTCCATCCCCCCTCCATCCCCCCTCCATCCCAGACACACCCTACCACTCCAACCACCCGACTCACCCACAGCGCTGAATGTAAATCCAACTTCAAAACCACAAACAAAAATGCGACGCTGAAATCAGTTCTCTCTAAGAACCTTGGCGCCTTGTTGAGCGGAGCCTCGTCGCCCTGCAGGGAGTCTGCGGGCGCGAGCAGGACGCCGCTTTGCTCCAGTGTGAGGTGTGCGTCCATGAGGGGGCCTGCATGAAGCCTGCTGCACGCTCACCCCCCCGGGACTCGCAAAATTGAACTTTGACTTTGACTTGACGCAAGTCCAGACTGGATGCGTGTGGAAGCCGGAGGAAACAGGCAACCTTTCTGTTGCTGACGTTGGTTCCTTCATCGTGATTGTCCACAATCACACTCTGTCATCTTTTGTCATCCTTCAGAAAAAAAGACCCTTCTCCCAAATGTAGAATGAAATTTAGCTGTTTTTATTAACATTATTTTGTAGGGACCTGCATTACATTTTTAACCCGTGGCGTTTATATTTTTGCCCGGGGAGCAATTAGGGGTCAGGTGTCTTGCTCAGGGTCACTTTGACGCGGGGCAGCCAGGACTCAAACCACCAACCTTGTGGTTCCCAGTGCACTTTTGTTTTTATCCCACAAAAATATTGTGCTTTAATCCATGTTTTTTGGGCATTTAGCGTTTCAAAATAAAGGTACTGCAGAAAACCGCCTGCTACTTGGACTTGCTGAGTGCGACATTTGAATACGTGCAGGTGGCTTTTAAAGAAACAGCAGATTACACGCTTTTATTTCACATTATGCTTCAGCAGAATCGTTCAACCGGCACTTTAGGCCATGCGCTGCAGAGTGTTTGAATCTGGAATCCTTTCAGCGGTTTGAAGGTCTCCTCCTTTGCGGGCAGAAGTCCTGCTGAAGACAGCAGCCGAGCATTCCTGGTTTGCATGATATCCGATGATGAAACCCACAGCCTTTGCACAGCTTAGGGAGACGGATAAAACTACTTCTCCTCTGCATGTTGCAATAAAACTGCTGCAATCCAAACCCGATTGGCCAATAATGTAAAAGAAGCGCTGAGGTTTCACGAGGCGAAAAGGAACTAATCCGTTGCATTTTTTGTCTACAGAAATCAAAGTTTATTCACCGTTTTGTAAATGACCTTTACAATTCGTAACAAAGTGTTATTGTTACAAAGGAATGCGGCGCTTCTCCTCCAGCTCTTCTTTCCTCGTGGTTCGCTTTTCAAATCAGGCGCCACGTTTTCATTTGGAATCTCGAATCTCTTGACGCAGCCAAAAAGGACCATAACTTTGATTGAGAGTAAACTTATAAAACAATTCTTGATGATATATTACATCATTCAGTACACTTTAAGAATAAGTATTGCTGAGACTACAGCAGAAAATATACAGGAATTCATACATAAAATTTGGATATAATCTAGTGCAACTATATGTTTGACTTGGCCTTTTTTATCCACAACTGTACCTCCGTTCTATTTATTTTTACTCTTTAAATAAGGGGCCTGTGTCCGTTCTGTTTATTCCCACAGCACACGATGTCTAGCCATGTTTCTTAATGCAATTTAAATGTGGTGTCGTCCATCAAGTTGTGATGAAGGTCCGTCCTGTGTCGGTGTTGACGCGCAGTCAGGAGACATCTTAATAAACGATGTGCCTGGTTGGAGGCCGTGAGTTTACGGAGCCCTGAATAACTCACCCCTGACCGTCGTCAGCTGCTGGATGATTCCAGTCCACACATCGGCGGACGCAGTCCTCTGCTTCCAGCAGTCTCAGCGTCAGCGAATGCACCAAATTAAGCGGCGGCCCGTGACGCGTCCCCTCTGTTTATTTGCTCAGCGGAGCCTGTGAAACCGAGCTCCCTCTACTTGCTGCAGATCTGACCAGCGAGGTTTCTCAAACTCACCTGGGGCTTGTTTCCTGACCACACTCTTCGCACAGGCTTATTATTGAGATTGGAATGCATCGTGACTGTTTTGGGGGGGCGGGGTGGGGTCTAAAATGGACCCCCAGATGATGAGGAATGTAGTTTTAAGCGGAAACCTTCTGCAGGTTGTGGCCTAACTGGGTAGTTGCTGGATTTGCAGCGCTGCGTTGTGAGTCAACACCCAAAACAACGGGTGGGGTGAGTTGGCATCCCACCCACCCATCTGAGACTCAAACCCTCCAAGGGTCCGGCCGGCACGGGTTCATTTGACATCCCTAAGCGTAAATA